TCTCTGGACTAGGCTGAGCCCACCTGAGTCTCTCTCCCACCCCTCCAGCTGTTTCCCTCGCCACCTCCAAACCTTCCCCCATCGCCCTTACCCCCATCCTCCAAATTCACTCACTCCCAGTCTCTGTCTATGACTACAAGCCTGGTGCCACTCAGATGAGCTCATTAACAGTGCTCATGTATCTCTGCAGTTGTGTAATGTTTGTGTTTTTGCCTCCAAACCACTTTATCGATTTGAATTGCAGATAATCGTGCTGCAAAGTAAAAGTTGAGTTGCTGCAAAGACACTCCATGACCTGTAATACTTTGCACTGACAGCTGTAGCCCAGTGTTTTCTACTGAATCGACTCCAGCTTTTAGACTGCGCCACAAGCGGAGCAGTATGAATTCCCATATAAGGCAGGAGGACCCTTTCTAACCTCCTCCTCCCTCCTCCTCCTCCACTCTCTCTTTTCAACCCCCTCACTCCTTCACTGCAACCAGCTAACACTGTCAGCTCGCTCTTCCCTTTCTGCTGAGACCGTGGTCTAATGCCCTTAAGACACACACACACACACACACACACACACACACACACACACACGGGCAGATATCTAACTGAGGGTTGCCTGAGAACAACAGTCCTGTGTCAAACACTGGTGGTTCTTTCAGTTTGAATGCTGATACTTGTCATTTTCTGTTTTCAGTCCGTCATTCACTGAAATACCTGTCTGGACATCTTCATTGCTGCATCACCGTAGGCTCCACAACACAGTAAATATTATACCAAAACTTCAGACCAAGCCTCACAAACCCAGTGGGAGGGATGAGAAGAGCGGGAAGCGGAGTGGGAGTAAAGATGGATTGAAGGGTGAAGATACTGGAAACAGAGAGAGGGGAGAGAGAGAAAAAAAAAAAAAAAACAGAGCTGATAAGGCCCTCGGCAAAGGAAGTGTCATTCCCAGCCAATCCCCAGTGGACTCCCAGTATCCCACTCTTCCCCTGCTGCAGGATGTGTCCCCGTGTGGGAATACGCAAGGAATGTGGCCCCTTTTGTTTAGTGTGCGATAGGCTCCTGGTTGGCGGTCATTTGTGTGTCTTATGTGTGACAAGCTCCAGGCTTGGCAGAGGCTGATCAGAGCAACATTCAGCAGTCCTTTCTGGGTAAGATCCTCCTAGGGAAACAATGACTGGTCCTATGGCTGCTATCTTTCAAAGCCCCTCCTTGGCTGATGGAGCACTTGCTGGGCTCCCATAGTCTACAGATTAAACAAAGAGCTAAGAAGGCATCTGCATCATCAGTTCCCTACTTTTTTTTGTCAGTAGTAGCCCTAAAGCCCTGTCAGATTAGTGCTCATTTGAACTGAATCTTTTCTAACACCATCATTTATATCAAAGTGGATAATATTGTCAACTTCTTTACAACTGAACTATTCATGTTTAGATGATTTGGTGATGTTTCACACATAAGAATGACAACTGGGTTCAACCTCTGTCTGTACTTTTAATGCAGGATATACTGTATATAACGATTTATCCATTATTTTTGACTTTTCATCTTAGCTAACTATGTCATGTTTATCCATTAGTTTTTGCTATTTCAACCATTAAGAATTTTAGCTTTTTTAAAAAAATCATTTAGCTAATGCTTTTAACAAACAGAAGCCGGTTTCAACCTTTGACACATGGTGACTTTTAGTTCACTATATATAACAATTTATCCATTATTTTTAGTTTCCTCACGATTTACTATGAATTTATGCCATACTTTTTCAACCGTGTAGTCTTTAGCATTCATCCAGCCTTAGCTTTTTCACCATTTAGCTAATGCATTTAATGTTAGCTAGTTCAACTGTGTATCCATTACCTTTAGCTAATTTTTTAAAGAATTCATCCACCGCTAATACCTACATCCATTACTTTTACATAACAAATTTTAGGATTTATCCATTACTTTTAACTCTAAGTCAACCATTTATCCATTTCTTTTAGCTAACTGGTAGACTTGCTAACTTGCATGATAACTAATTTTCATGAACACACTGAATTACAGTAGTCAGGAACCCTTGGTTGGCTATCATTGATCTACATTCAAGTGATTTTATCGAACCAGTGATTTCTTCATTTCATTCAATGGACCAAAACTTTTTTCATCAGACGTCAAGCATTTGGTGACTATTCATTTCATTCACTGTGGCTAAATCAGAAACACTACTAGGTTGAATGTTTCAGATACACTGCAAAGACTACAACTTCACGGTGGATTTTTTTTTTTTCCCCTCTAGAGACCTACTGTTCTCTTTGCCCAAGGCGTGAACAAAAGTACAACTCTTTAAAAGGCCTTTAAATAGACTGTAAAACTGACAAAGCCTACCTTGGCCTTTTACGCAATAATACGTCTACACAGAGAGACCATTTCTGCTTGAGGCAACGTCCTACACTTGGAGTGCTACCTTGTAGAGCAGTAAGGGAACATGATTTCTTTATGAGCGCTTACTGGGCAGGTAAGACATTCGGACATGAGTAGACAGAAAACAAGGCATGGTGAGGTTTATTGAAGAATTCATGACAGTTCCTTTGTGTAGCCCTCATGTTGACAGTTTCTTAAAACACAGTGATACAAGCTCTATTTAGTAGTCAGGACTCAAAGCACCTGATGTAAAATGAAGACCCTTCACTGACTACGACGAAATGCTTTACATTAGATATCGACAAAACGGTCTATCTCCGATTAATGGAGAATAAAGGCCATCATAATGTTTGGCACTACTTAATAAGCTGAGAAGAAATAAACAGTGTGTAATGATGAGTAAACAAGTCGCCAATGGTCTTTTTCTTTAGTGTCAAGTTTTTACCGCCAATATTTGGTATCTTTTCAAGCTTTTATCTTAGTACAAACCTTAAGAATGCTGAGCAGGTGTAGTGACAAAAAGGTTATCACATTTAACAAACATCACAGCATTTTGGGTGAATTCATTCATTTTTGAGAAAAACAACCACATCTTTGGTTCCACGGTCAATTTCTATGCTGCACAAATACACTAAATAAGCAAAATACAGGCAAAAAGAGGCAGGGAAGCTGTCAGCAGCACTGTATCCCACATATCCTTCAACAGATTTCAAGATGAGTTATTTGATATGTTTCACTTGCTGAACTGTCGAGAGAATCCCTGCTGTTCAGAGGCGACCATTTCTCTATTATTTATGAGGAGTTTGGTGCAAACTTTTTCAACGTCACCTCAATTACCACAAGAACATTTCACCCTGACAGGGAACGTCAGGACGGATATATCAACCTATCAAACTTTGTGTGAATTAGCTCCTGTAACTGTAGCAAAAGTAGGCGAGTGCTCTGGGTATATGCAAACATGCAGGACTGCTAAACATAAACATATCGTACTGCATGCCAAAGGACTTAGGTCTGAGAATAAAAGCTTTACACTGAAATAGACATGAATGTGTCACCACAACTTGTCACCAAGGACAGGAAGACCGACAGACACTGTGAGTAAGTGATTTCTGTCTTGACAGACATCACCTTGGTTTAAATGTTGAAGTGTTTTATGAAAGCCCAGGACTGTTTTGCTTTCAATCAGAACTGGCAATGGTGAGTCAGACACGGAGGTGGGATAAAACAAAAACGAGGAGAGAGCCAGGGACACTCTTTGAATTCATGTGAACTGTCTGCCTATGCACTCAGCCAGTTCACTGCACAGCTTGTGTGTATGTGTGTGTGTGTACATACACTGAGTAGCTCAAAAGGAAAATGGAAATGTCTTTACATTCTCATTTCCTTTGCAGTCTCTCTACTCACCTAAACCCTTGATTTTCACTGCAAACTGTACAGAATTGCACATGTCACGAACAACAATACAACTGCTGATATGTGTTGTCTTGAAACCTCGAGCCATGCAACACTGCTGTAGGAGACGCTCCTACTTCTGTCATAACCTTGGGCTGACAAAAAAACAAAGAGTCATACTGACTTTGTCAAACAGAGGCATGTGTGGTACATTCACATCGCTCCTCCACCTTCCTCTGTGAACTCTACCTCAAGTGTCTGAACGTGGTGCTAAAAACAGGGGCGACACCGCGGTCAGTCACACAGGAAACTGAGAAGGCAGACAACCTCACATCCTGCCTGAGCTTTGGAAGAAACACTTCCTCCTTAAAAGCAGCAAGTGCAAGCGCTACAGATCTCTCACGTGAAAGGCAGCGGTGTTGTGCCGAGTGATGAGCAACAAGATAGATAGTATACATCCCCTGATAATCAAAGCCTAATACGGCAGACGTGCACCCACGTGCCTCTTTGGTGAAAAACAGAATATTATCTCGATGATCTTTGGAGGGAAATTACATTCACAAACATTTCAAGTGAATAAAAGGAAATAACAAAGCAATGTGATTAGCCTGAGGCAGCATTTCCATCACAGACACGAGTTCAAAAGCAACAAAAACAATGGGGTCTCAACTCCGGGATTATGCACACTGGTAATGGCTATATGTTGAACCTGAGGTCCAAAGGATTGTTTGCCAGCAGGCACCTTCTGTTCACTGCTTTTTGTGGAGCTACTGAGACTGGTAGTAAATACATCAAGGCAGTGCTCAAAAACATTTGCACAGGCAGACACGTTTCTCACTTGTGTCAATCTAGAAAATATCCCTGTGATTGCTAAGATTTCTGAACAGGGAAGGATGCTGTGCGTCTTGATCTCACCTTCAAACTGGCAGTGACACAGATGAGACAGAACAGCAGCTCTGATCCAGGGATGGAGCAGTCTGTTTGCTAATGTAACTGAAACCATCCTCCCACCACTCTGTTATCTGCTGACAAATACCACGTAGATACTTCCCATACAGTCTGCACATCTCAAGTCCAGACATCACACATTTACAAAGCGCTGCTGCTCTTGTGCAGCAGTACAACAACAATAGCTGTGGAGCTCAGCAGCCTTCCACTAAAGCAGTCTCCATTTGTTCACTTCAGTCTCTGTCTGTGCGTCCGCCCTGAGCAGCCAGCCCCCCCCCCCCCCCCCCCCCCGGTTGCCATCAGGGCTTCTTGGCTGCAGTTTTGGCTTTCCCGTTGGGTCCTGTTTTGATCTGGGTCATCTCCACATCTGTCAGGGTGTCAGGGGGAAGGCACGAGCGCATGCGTTCAATGGTCTTCTGGTAAGCTGCCCTCTCCTGCTCCAGAGAGCGAATCATGTGCTTCATTTTGCTCTCCCGAGAAAGGAAGTTCTCCACGCTCGTCTCCAGCGTCTGAATCTTCTGCCGTGCAGCCTGGAGGACACAGACATTGTACCTCACAAAACACAGGGTATAACACAAAGAAAGAAATTTGGACAGAGGGGAGATTTTTTTTTTTTTTTTTTTTTTTTAAAAAGCTCAGGAGATACAAATACTAAAAAGTCAACTAGAAGTTAACACTAGTGTGACTTTGTTCTGGGATCCCATTTAAAAAGCTCAACAATGAAGTGGAATCAAACATAAATGTAGTTAATACAGAGCCAGTGGCTTGTTTAAATCACTTATTTAAATACTGTAGTAACAGTTATCCAACACCATGATACTGACAGTCCACTGAATGTTCTCGGTCGCATCAGAGATCACAGCAGCTCAAAACTTTCATTAATGTGAGGACCATGAGGTGTGACTTCACCAGATTTGCATACTGTTGATCAGTATACAGTATTTTGACATGTATACAGCTTTCAATTCCTTTGTCTTTTCTATCATTTCCACAGTGTTTTTAATCTTATATTTTAGCGCCATCTATGGGTAGTCTGAGATACTACCATCAGAAACTACCGTGGATGTGTAAACAACACGACAGAGTCCCTCACCACCAGTCCATCCATCCAAAGAGGGAAGTATAAACTGATAACTTAATAACTTCCTAATGTAACTGTTTCCCAAAATCATTTAGACTAATGTTTATCAAAGGTGATGGATGAGGAGATGGTTTCACCATGGAAGTCGGATCCTTCTCTTCCTTACCTGAAGTTTTTCCAGCAGGTCCATGTTCTGTTTCTTCAACTGCACGTTTGTCTTCTCTAGTCTGTCGAGCCGGTCCGAGTCGTCAGGCAACGGTCCGGCATCCAACATCTCATCCTGAAGGACGTGGTACTCCACCTCATAGGCATGCAGCTGCTTGGAGATGTCCATCTCCATTACCTGGCAAACAAAAAAGGTCACACATCAAGACAGTTGCCCTGCAGTAATAAGTTCACTATTTACTCCTGTTAGCATAGTGTCCAGCTGTTTTGGTTAATTATTTAGCCCTTTTCTTATATTAAGGATATATATTTTGTGACCAATTTTAAAAGATTTACATCTTCACTGGGAACAAATGGGTTGGAGGCTGAGAAGCAGGAAACTAACCCCTTGTTGGTTTGGGTTTTTCCATGGGATTTGTTGACAAAAGAAAAATATCTAAACTTACCCTTTAATGTTAATATGCTAGATAATATTTACACAATTAACTGACAATCAAATCTGAAAAACTGACATCTAAAATTGAGTTTTAAAAGTAGACTATTGTAATAAAACTAAATTGGACTTTTGACGACTGTGGATGAATTTGGTATTATCTTAAAGACTGCACAGAGGGAAAGCAATTCTTCCTCTATATGCTGTAAATACGCATTAAATCAAAATGCCATTGATAAAGTTTTATTTGCAATAACTTTGAAAATAAAAATACCACTTTATATATATATATATATATATGTATTTATTGTTTTGATCTGCTCTCCACTCCATATGAGGCCAGGGTGGAGTAAATGAACTGACAGAGCCTACCACAAGAATGATTACAAGAATAATGTTGGTCTTACAATATGCTAAATAAGTAATGTTGAACCTTTTACAGACCTTTAACACATTTTCCACCATCACAAGCACTGAGGAGCTTTTAACCAGTGACCAACCATGCAATATGTATTACGTTTCCATGGCTCACTGGGCTTAATTATTTGGAAACCTGAGACCGTATTTCATTGAACTTCACACTTTGTACCTTGGCAATGGTCTGCTCCATTTGTGTCTGAGTGAGAGTGGGAAGTGTAGTTTTCAGATAGTCCACAATGCTCTCAAAGCTGTCACACTCCACTATCTCCCCCTCATGGCTGCTCAGCAGACAGAGGGCCACTTTAAAGATCACTTCCGTCCCCTGGGCAAATACAAAATCTGAAAAAAAAGAAAGAAGAAAAATAAATAAATAAATAAATAAATTCAAACCACACACACAAGCAAAACACTAATACTTTACACACTTTTACCTTTAAGCTTTAAGCTATTTAAATGCCAGCCTCTTTAGAAAATAGCATTGTGCTGATAAGCATTTGTGTGTGAGCAAACGCAGGGGGCCATTATTCTAAAAATATACCAAAGATGCGAGACACGAAGCCGAGAGGGAACTGCGAAGCGAAGAGGGTGAGGAACCACGGCGCTGCGTAGAGGCTCGGGCAGATCTCGTGCTCCTCGAAGTGATTGTACAACTCGCGGTGGTAGTCGTGTAACAGTCTGGAGAGCTGGTACATCTGAACCTGGGATAACACAGACACACAGCGTGCACAGGCATAAACACTCTCGTATTAAAAACACATATATATATGCACATACAGGTCGAAACAAGCTGTGCCAGAACAAATTGGCGTATCTGGATCTGCAAGGGAGAGAGTATCACAGCGCTAAAAACAATTACCAGCTGTCAAATGAACCTTTACCCAAGCTCCTCTAGTATTGCCAGTGTTGTCTTAGAGACTTGCTCAGACACGCACACGGAGGGCCAAGCATTTGACGAGCAATACTAACTCTCTTGCAACACATTACAATGACCCTGACAAGTGCGCCAGTGGAATGCACGGCAGACAGAAAAGAGAAGCAGAAGTCAGGTCAAACTAAGATTAGCCTGTTATCAGTCTTTAAGTTTCCTGACAGTTACATAAAAACACAAACGGTACCTTTATGTCCTCGCACTAAACCCGCTGCACAGAGGAAGAAACAAACAAACAAAAACGGCACAAATCCCTCTTTTGAAAAACTTTGGGTCGGTCTTGCGGCGTGAGGGAGAACCAGCTCTCGGATAAATGGTTACCTGACACGGATTAAACATTACCACGCCTGCTGACGCTTTCGCCCAGGTGAGGTCAGCTGATGTTTAACTGCAGCTAACAGAGCAGGCACATACAGGCGTGGTTTGAATAAGAGGTGGAGACACTTGACTGCTGTTTGCTCTTGCTGACTAATAAGCCACATAGGTGAGAGGCGAGCTGGGCTTCTTTTACAGCAGGCCATACTGTTCTTAATGGGTTAGACACTTGTACAACAGCATTTAAATTTAAAATGCCACAATGTGTAATGATAGCTCTTTTATTCTTCTGAGCTCAAATGCTCAAATTATTCAGAGCACATGTTTTTGAGAATGAAAAACGGGACGATCCTGTGGTGCAGTACTATGTGTTGCTGTTTAATCCCTGCGCCCTTTGGTCATATCTATGCGTTGCTGTCTATCACGGTGTCTTCTTTGATACTAACAGCGGGTGTGCTTGTTATGTCTGTTGTCGATCCCTAAATGATCTTGCAGGGATGAAATGTAGAGGGTTCTGCTGCTGTGTTGAACTGGTCCTCGCACTCATTCCACTACTCACCTGCAAAGACACCATGTCAGGTCTGTACTGCCGCCTGATGCCGAGGTCATACATCAGGAACTTCAGCATGTCAAAGGCCTGTTCCTCGCTCATGTGCAGGAGCAGCACTCCAGCCACGAAGCTGATACCCTGGCAGTAGCCAACCTGTGTGGCACAAAAATATAAGAGCGCACGCCACGTACAACCAGTTTCATGACATTCGCCACCACGTTGACACGCCAGTGAAGTGATTTACTGCGGGGAAACAGGATTATGGTTCTGTACCTCTGTATCCAGCAGAGAGTAGGCTTTGAGGAGGTTGTAAAGGGAAAGCTGCCCTGCACCCAGCTGGGCTGAGAAGTACTGGTGGGTGGGGAAGGTCCGGCCTGAGGGGGAGGGAGACAGATGATATTTAGCTAACATGACAAGAAGAGGCAGTTCGCCAATGAATAAGTAATAGTAAGGAGAATAACAACCAAACTACTTCTCCTACAACACCTACAAATAATCACAGCTTCTACTCATAGAGCAACTGAGGCTGAAGTTGTCTTAAAACTTCTTCCTTGACATGGATCAGTCTGAATAATTTTTCCCATGTCTGAACTAAATAAAACCCCCTTTTTTTCTTTTTTTTTTGTACAGTCGTGTGCACACCTAGATCCACCAGAATAGCGTGCTGCTGTGCGGTGAGCTGCTTCAGCAGGTCATGGTAGGGGGTGTCCGGGGCATGCTGGCGCTGGGGCAGCCTTTGACGCAGCCGGTGCTGATGGGAAAGGAGCAACCAGACCTCCCCGCGCCTGCTCTTGGGAACACCTGCACACAAAGATGAAGATTATATCTTCACTACCCCTTTCTCTCGCTTTCTTTCGCACACAAAAACTTAGACACACACACACACATCTATCACCTTGGCAGAGTGCGCGGTATATCTCCTCCTTGTCTTGTGGGACTGTCGTTCTGCCTGGGGCGGTCAGTTTTCTCTCCCACAATGCCTGCGCGTCTTTGGAGCACTGGCCCACTTCCTGGTAGTTGAGCTTCATCTTGCGGATGTGCAGCTCATCTCTGCTCGCTGCAGAGCACCCAACAGAATCAAAAAGAGATGACACCGATGAAATGAACACATTCAACATCATTTTATCGATTAAGATTCTCTCCTCGTGGCAGAAAACCAACACCAAAGACCAACGAAGGAGGCTGTACTAGAAAAGTATGAAGCCCTTCTGCGTTTGCTTTGGTAACACAGAATGTACCTGATTAAAAAAAGATGTCAAATCTGAGAGCAGCACCTTTTGCCACCAGTTACCATGGAAAGCCTACCATGTAAACACAAGCCACAATACCCGCATTAACATCAAAACTCCATCTTCACTATGCTGAAGTCATGAGAGGTACAAAGGACAAAAGAGACAAGAACACCATGAAGTATGATCGTCCCTGAACATGCAAGCAAAATAAGCTGAATTGAATGAATATAATAACCAACACCCAAAATCATGCAAACCATCTGCCTTGATCCCAAGGGGCTCCCTTTGTATGGCTTACCTTCTATTGAAAACGGTTATTCACAGTTAGGTCCTCAGACCAGCATTGGTGTCATAGTAACAAACAAAGGGAAAGAGATGTATTGGTATAGTGAATCATTAAAGGCCACACATGGCAGGTGCATCCCAAGGCTAAAACTCTTTCACTCCATCTGTTCCCTGGGAACAACATGTTAATGTGAAATGCTACTACATCATTTACAAGATGGAGTTTATATCATGCAACTTCATTTTAAAGATCTATTTCTGATAATAAAGAAGCTAATTAACGGTCCCAACTGGCCTCTACTTCCTCTTCTCCTCTCTATCCCCCCTCTTGTCTCCTGTTAACTTCCTGTTAAGGGACAAGTGGTTGTGAGGAGAGGAGTGAAAAAAAGGAGGAGTGCTAAAAAAAAAAAAAAAGTCTTTGGAATGCACCCTAAGTAACCTTGGCCATTAGAGGGCGATGTTCTGTCAAAGCTACTGTATATCCTGTTATTTTACTGAACTCTGAACTAATAGTGCTGCTACTGTTGTCTTCTCAAAAAAAAAAAAAAAAAGGAGAATTAGTTTGCATGCTCTTTAACCTACTGAGTCTATGCATGTTTGTGCATCTGCGTTATGTCTGAAACGTGTGTCAGTATGCAGGACCGCAACGTTTAGCTCTAAATATAACTGTGCTCCAGAATCCCAAACCAACACGGCAACGTTTGACCTCTCAAAATAAACAGAAATGAAAGCTTAAAGAGTCGCTTACTTCTGAGCCTTCAATCCCTGTCCACGCTCATAAAGCCTCAGCTGGGAACAACAAGACTCCAAGTGTCAGAGAGTGAAATTTTGATGATAGGTGAGGAAAAGGGACAAGAGTGGAAGCTCCCACTGTGATAAATTTCTTCATAGGCTGATAAATCTTAACAATAAGAGCCAGTGTGAGCAGATTTCAAAAACTACAGCCTCATGACAAATTATAAATACCAGCTGTGTCTGCAGAGAAACTAATGCACTAAACATCAAAGTGAATGATCTGGTCGCAAACAAGACTACAGACATTGTGTTCTTCATTTTTGTCAGTCATGTGACCAAAAGAGGGATTTGTTCAAGGTTGATTATCATTCTTTATATGCATAGTAGTGACTGATACTCACCCTCCAGCCTCTGGTTCTCCTTCTCCATGCGCAGCAGCAGGATCTGCTGGTGGATGGCAGTCTTCCATAGGGACCGGTAGTCAGCCCCCTTCTTCTTAGGCCTCCCCCCAGACAGGGGGTCACCCGTCGGCGACAGCAGACGCCCGAAAGGGTCCAGACTTGAGTCCGAGGAGCGAGGAGAGAGAGGCAGCAGCTCCCTTGCATCAGAGTGATCTAAAGCATCAATTAAAGTACACATGGAAAATAGATTTTTAACTTTTTTTTGTATGAGCAATGAATCTAATAACTGTCTGATATCAGCCAACTCTGCATCACTACAGAGCTTTCCAGCATCTTCTAACTTGTTGTTTGGGTTTGACAGCATATTCGTTGTATGGTTTAATCTACCACTCTCATCAGCCCTGTTTCCTGCAGCAGCAGCAGCCACTGTAACCCATTGTGATGCTAACTGAGCAGCATCAAACAACAAACAGATGTAGTGACTAGCTGGTGAAGCAAGTGGACCATTTAAAGAGCCAGATTTGTTTCTCAGGAGTTGGTGGAGACAAAACCGGGGCTACAGAAAGAGTGCACATATTATCGGCACTGTAAAGCATTTTGGATGAAGGCGTATAAAATGAAAACCTGTATTAGGGATGGGTGAGGATCTGTGCTTAACAACAACAAACACAGGCAATTCAAATACGGCTGCTGAAGTCATGTGACCGGTTTTCTCAGCGCAACACCACTTTTATTCTGATTTGCCTTGATAAGGTGCACCACTGCACTGAAAGCAGCATTTGCAAAATAAAAAAAACAATCACACAAAGCATGACTGACAATTTTGTGATGTTCGTTCCAAGATTCACTGAATCTGAGAATAATCTGCTCGCTACATTTCTTTAAGATTCCCTGAGTGAGCTAGGAAAGACTATTCTAAAGACAAGAACAGGTAGGAGGATTACTGTTGCATTCATCTTACAAGGATGAAGTGGGAAAATACCTCTTTCCTTTCAACCTTTACTGCTTTCCACATGTATTATTGCAATTTTAAAGTCAGATGTTTCGGAAAGGAAATTTCACAAGAATCAATTGTTCCTTCTGCCTCATACTCATTTTCTATGCACTATTCAGACCTTATTCATTGTGCATCATGTTGTGCCTTGCCTGAACTGCTAGAGGGATTTTGTTACCAGACCTGGGTGCTGCATGGATGCGGACGGCTTATTCATCGGCGAAGCGACTCTCAGGAAGATCTTCTGTCTCCAGGAGACCCTGCGTGGGGTCGGAGGGAGACCTCCACTCACTGAGTCACTGCTGCACCCAGACAGGGTCCTCTTCCTGCCTTCCCCATTGCTACGAGAGAGGACAGCAGCGTCACAGACACCCGATAAATCAGTCAGGTGTCATCTGACACCAGCGCTCCTTCAGCACTCTTTTACAAAATGCAGGCACACACGTACTCATCCTTCAGTACATGAGCACAAATACTGATCTCATCTCACACTTAAGAAACCTTATACAAGCTTCTCATCTCAGCTTCTCCGAGCTGATGAGAAACGTTCAAGATTTACCTGAAGCACACGGATGAAAAACATGCGCCGATTCCCGATATCCTTGTTAATAAAGCAGCAGTTCACCATTAGTATGTAAAATGACAACAAACGTCAGCCACACAAACAGCCAAGAAGTTACTTTTTTAGTACAGAAGAAAACTTGAGCTGCTTGGGGTACTATTACTAGTATCTCTATTATTAGTATCACTTTTGGTTCACATTTACATCGAATCATTTGGCAGATGCTTTTATTCAAAGCAACTAAAGAAGTGCACAGCAAGTGCAAGTTAGGCATAGTATTGAGTCATAAATGCAAATCTTTAATTTCACACCTACCAACTCACTAAATGTGGGTAAAAACTAATTATACATTAGTAAAAAAGAAACGCTTGGTCAGTGCTCTGCCAAATCTTAAAGGGCCAATTTTGATGGTGCAAACAGTGTTTCATCATATGTGCAAAAACAGTGAGGGTCTGTGAAGTCCGCCTGCTGTTTGTTCTAACATGCTGCATGTGTGCTTTATGCAGAAGAGTTTGTGGTATATAATAAGTCAAATATCGTGTTTGCACCATGCAACTACCAAACCCTACAGCAACAAAACTATTTTTTTTTTTTTTAAAGTACAATGAGAGCAGCTTTTGGGCAAGGTTGGGTTGCTTATACTGCACACATGACACTTTTCATTATAATGTAATTATCTGAAATATTACAGTAGATGAACCGTGTCATGGTGTTTGTTCTCTGTTGCTCAGTCTCTTCCTCTCTTGACATTTTGCACTGCAGTTCATGAACAGCAGCAAAATTAAATTTACACATTTATTATATTATTTATTTGTACAAATAAATATGTTGAATTGCTGGCCCCGGATCTACTTTATTTACAAATTACAACCATTTTGGGTCATCAACATTCAGAGTACATTATATTAGTTATATGTTAAAATAAAAATGTTCAGTACTCAAGCAATTTCATGAATACCGTGTACTTCAGATTACGTTCTACTTACATTCAAGAAACAAGGTTTTAATATCATTCACTGAGGCTCACTTGAGTTACTGTAGATAATAAGCTTGATCAGCAAGCAAGTGCCTGCCTGATCATGTGGGCAAGGAAAAACAGGAAGTGACCTTGGACTGAGACAAATGTCACAGAGACAAGGATTTTGCTCTTACAGGCTGTTCTGCACATTTAACATCGCCTCTTTCACAGATTCAAATTCCTCACTTGACACATTACCTCCTCTTATGTTTTCCTGTCAGTCAGGTCATGAAGAAATGTCGCAGAAAAAAGTCACCGGGGTAAAGTAAGCTCACAGCGCAGCAGAGACGCAAACCTGGCTGCGAGTATGTTGACATCTTCGGATTTAAATACCCAGCAGGTCGAGACTTCTCGACAAGTCGTCTTTTGAACCTGCTCTTATTCATCATCGCAGGCAGAAAAAGCATGTCTTGCTCCTTTTGCCGCATTATCAATGCAAATGCTCGGGAGATTGGAGCGCTGTCAAAGGAGAAAAACATCCTGTGGATATGACATTTTACAATAGTCGGCTTCCACTGAATCTCATTCATAATGGAAATGTTAACCTTTACGATCTGCCAACCAGACACCTAACCCTGTCAAGGCAGCGCGAGGAGAGAAGATCTAGAGACTGTCAGGCACGTCCACGGCATGTCGCGTTTTCTTGAACATACTATATTAGTTGATTAATTACTGCAGCTGAATATTGACAACAACCTTTCAGAATAAACACATCACTTGACTTGAATCAGCATGATGCTAAGAGTAGCAACCCTAAGGCATTGCGAATACTACTGGTCAGGAGAGGTGGTGGCACAAGTGTGAAATGTTGTTTTATAAAGGCCATAAATCCAGGTTAAATACAGTTTTGCCGTGCAAAAAAATAAAAAAGCTTCAAATTCACATGCAAATGCAACAAGAGAGGGGTGTATCAGCATCCCCTTCAACTTCTGAGTGAAACAGGAAGAGGGCGAGTCCAGCAGCAGAGACGATGGGGAAAAATAAAGAAAGAGCTGGAAAGTATCTTTACTAATAAAAAGTTGCAGTGGATAGACAGGAAAAGAGTACAAAGATACAGGGACAAAAAAAGGCGAGTGTTAAAAGGTTTGACAGCCAACATGTATGCGGCTACTACCATCCCAGCAAAGACCAGTTCGTCCCTCCCACCCATCTCATCCCCTTAATCAAAACCCTGGCCGGTGCGTTTGGCTCTAAGCAGGGGGGTTTTGTCTGAGCACCCCCTCTCACCTCTTGAAACTCCCACTGTCCGCCAGGGAGCCCAGGGAGCCCTGGTAAAAGCTTTTCAGGAAAGTGGGAGCGGAGAAGGAGGAGGGGAGGCTGAAGGAGGACTCGCTCTCCGAAACGCTGCGCTTTCTCAAGACCGCCACGGGACTGGGCGAGCCAAACATGAAATGCCCACAAATGGAAAACAAACATTACACAAAAGAAAAAGCCTTTTGGTCGGAGCACAGAAAAAAAACAAGGAGGAATTCATGAGGGATCAAAACCGTGACAGGAAACGTGTGATGCCATTGTTCAAGGATAGAGGAGCAGGAGGTAGAGAGATTTAGGACTGATCAAAGTGCTGCAAATAGATCACATTGTCTGTGTGCACATCAAAGGTCAGCTAAATATTTAGTTAGTGTGAATCTGATTAAAAGAAAAGCAACATGTTCTGATTTTTTTGAGCACAGTTAGCATTAGCGATATCTTCAAACAAAACAGAAGCTCACCCTTGCAGAAAGAAATTTAGTAGAATTCACTCATCAAAACATCAACTTTTGCATTTTCTGCACTGATCACTCCTTTCTCCCAGAGGTTCAAACTAGCAACGCAGTGACCGACAGGTGAGGTGCGAGTTACCTGCTCTGCAGAAGCTCTGGGTTAACAGACTGCTGTCTGCGCAGCGGTGCCTGTTTGCTGACGCTGGCCGGCTGACCCTCGAAGGAGATGCGTTTCTTCACAGGTGGGTGGCTGAAGGTGTGGGCACGCCGACGGAACTGCAGGCCGCCTTCCGGGTCGTCATCGGGGAAAGCGGGAGGGGAACCCGGAGGGGAGTGACCAGGGGATTCCTCATCCTGCTGAGGAGGGAAAAAAATGTAAGCGGGAGAAAGATGTCAGCGCTTAACTGAAACCCTTCAAGAGTAATTCACATTTATGAGATTCTGATTTTTTTTTTTTTAAATATGGTTGGATTTTCTGATCTATCTGACTCTGACTGAGTGAAAAAAATGGCAGAATAATGACAAGATAAACACATAATACAATCCCAAATTCCACTAAAATATCATGTATCACTATGTAGGTCAATAACCTGGGAATAAGCAAAATGATTCAGATTGAAAATCACTCTAAATGTCTAGTCAAACCACACTAATTCTATTTCAGAGACTCAGCCTGAAGCCAGACGAAACACTCAGTGACTCAAGTTACAGGTCTGCACTCACCTAGCCAATGACACCCCACAGCAAGGCTCAGTCCAGGTTCAACTTTCCTCTCAACACTCTTAGACTTCACTGTTGCTTCATGCCTGGCAGTACAACCCCCACACATCTATTGTATTCTAATGGACAATGTCCTGTGACTCACAGCATCACACACTATTGGCGGGGAGGATCTTTGGCGACGAAACTCCACATGAAAACCCTGCAATCTCCTCCCATCATGCTCTTGGAGACCTCCCTCAAACGCGATATTTGAGTTGCTTTTTTAAATACTTGAAGAGAATTTTTTTTTTTTTTTTTTTAACTTCAAGGTCTAATGGAACGACCTCAAAAGTCCCTGCAATGACAATCACATTGCAGATCACAAAAAGGTCACTTACATCTACCGCACACATGTAAGTCGCACTGAGTAGCGCTGTCAGCTGAATGGCTTAATTGTGATTTGTACATTTGAGGAAACTGATAAGATGAAGTGGCTCAGATCAGACACTCATGCAGCGCGCCGTGTCCTGTGACAGGGCCGAGAAGAGGAAGCCAGGACAGGCATGGCTCAGCAGATGCAAAACAAGCTGGACATCCTGACTTGGATTTCCTGCCTGCCACCGGCATCCTGACACAATCCCCATATGACTACTCACTCGCTTAATGACAGGGCAAACAACATTCTTCTGATTGTTAGAAATAAAACACAAGGGCAGCACCTGAGAGTGAAGAACATCCTTATAAACACTTACTTGGAATTGCTTATGAAACTAACAACAATACCCGCTCTTTATAAGTAGGGTTGTGTGTAAATCTGCAAACACAAAGTTTTGGTGGCTTGGTGGTTTAACATCACAAGCATCACATCCTTAAAGGGCAAACTTCAAAGATTTTACACATCAAAGTCCATTGCGGAGTACTTCTGCATGTGTGTAAAAAGTTATATAAAGCCTTTTGTGGCCTCGGCGGGAGCCGCGTGAAATCTGATGACGAAAAACGACAAGTTAGTTGAGTTAGAAACGCGACCTAGCAGACCTCTGCAGCCCGCTCCTCGTCTCTGCTCGAAGGCTAGAGGCTCGAGATTACATTAGCCGCCGCTAACACCCAAATCCATGACCAAACTGTCAGAGACAGATGCAATGTGGGTAATGTAGGCACTGAGTTTTGACCAGAAAGAAAAATAAACAATATATTTGGTTCTGTTGCATCGATTTTGATCATTTCATCTTTAAAATACATCCTTTGTGCATCTGACAATGTGACAGGAGTGCAATGCTAAATGAGTGGAGTTTTTTTTTTTTGGGGGGGGGGGGCGGGGGGGGGGGGGGGGGGGGGGGTGTCAGTGGGACCACATCACACCCTCACTCCACATTCTGCACAGCAGTGACGCAGTGGAGCCAACAACCCCAAATGGTTCATGGACAGCTCTGTAAACACACTCCCTGCCGCACGAGTCTGTCTTCTGGCCAATGCATCTTCATCATGAAAACTATGTGGCAATAACTAACAGTGCGGAATCGTGTATCCATGTGAGAGGAGCGCTGTTGGCAGCCTCCAACTGCTGACACCGATGAAAGTGAAAGCATGCTTATCTTCCTTTCCTGAGGACAGAGTTGGAATATAACATGCTTTTAAAAGCCACTGAGTAAAAAGTGAGAATTCCCAGAGTCCCCCGAGCGAAGCCCTGGAAACTCTCTGCTTCCTCCACAAGGACACTTACTCTTTCAAAACTGCCAATGCTTCCCATGCTTCCCAGGCGGCCCCGCATTCGGCTGGCACCCTGGTAACAGAGGTGATTACACAATATAAAACAAGTTCTGGAAATACAAATGGAAAAAAAAAAAAAAAACATAAATCATTAACAACGTTTTTACACAGCCATTTTTTCTGTTATTGACAAAAAATAATTGTTGGTATCGTTGGTGATAATAACATTAACAAGTGTTTAGTTTAGTTTCGTCTCTGAGACAATAACAGATGGCAGCAGAGGTGTCAGATTGCCTGGGTCCTTCTACTGAGGAATTATTGTGCTGTCTCACTGGCAGATATGGGTCAATCCAAATCCCTTGTATGGCAGTGGCACAGAAACAACTGAGCAACTGATACAGAGACTGAGCAGGAAGACGCTTGAAGGTACACAGCACAGTGACTATATTCAGTCTGGTGTGGTGGAGGAGTAAGAGGCAGAGACAGGGATAAACTTAGAGAGGGAGAGAAATGGTGAAGATAAAACGAGCAGGAAATTAAATAAAGATGAAATTGGGAGGGGGGGGGCAGAAAAGGAAATGTACTCTCTCTGCTCAGACGCACCCTTGCAAAGATGTTCTCTAGCGAGCTGGTGAGGGAGGTGCGTGCTTTATTCTTCAGAATATCAAGTTTGAAGCGACTGCTGGTGGCGGCGCCGTCTGCTGCTGCCGAGCTGTTTGCTGCATTCTGTCAGACGACAACAAAAGGACAGAGGACAGAGGAAAGATCAACACAGACACGATTAATAAAATGTGACTGCCATGATTAGTAAGTACACAAACTCAGTGTTACCCATACTGTAGCAGACCCACATGGCCAAGGCTGCGGGGAGTAGCCTACGGCTGCTGGTTGCTTCAGTAATAGCGGAACTGTTGTTGGAGCTCTGCCGTTTGAGTGATAATATTTAACATACAGGCCCTCAGGCGAGATCATGGGATAGATGATGGGTAGTGCTCAACTTTACATTTAACATTTGTGGGAAGAGAGCACAGAGGGGTGAGACACTATTCTGAATAAAGTCCTTTTCCCTGTTCCCTGTTTTATTTGATCCATAAGAAGATATATTTGTGGTTTTAAGAACCACAAACCACCTCAATGTAGTTTTACACCCCCTCTCTGGCTTCTCTCTGGAGCTCTAGTGACAAAATGCAGATTTCAGGTAAATGTTCAGAGAAACCAAATCCTGCAAGCCTGGATGGTGGGTCTGGGTGGGTGGGGCTTGGGCCATGGCTGCGAGCGGTGACTGCTTTTGTTGTGACATCACCAGAAGTCTGTAACAGCTCATTTTAAGCCACAGTTTCTCAATACAGACTGTGTGCATTCCCCTGAGCGCGCTTTGACACTTTCACAGTATTAACGTAGCACCTAGACCTGCTTTATAATCAAGAAAGACATGGAAATCTCCATGGAAATTGACTTTTCTGACCATCTCTTTGACCAAGGCTCTTAAAAACCCTTTGGGCATTCACGCTATACATTTTAAAGAAAACGTTGTTTCCGCACTGGAGTGCGAAGCGGCCGGGATGAGTGTCAGCACCTTCAAGTCTGAGGCCATGGTTCTCTGCCACAAAACAGTGGATTGCTCCCTCCAGGTTGGGGGTGAGTTACTGCCCCGGGTGAAGGAGTTTAAGTATCTTGGGATAAAAGCGGTAAGATGGAGCGTGAAATGGACAGGCAGACTCGTGCCAAGTCAGAAATAATTTCCAACATTCCCCCCTATTGTCATGAACTCTAGTAGTGACTAAAAAAAACTGAGATTGCGAACACAAGCAGCTGAAATGAGTTTCCTCCGTAGGGTGTGTGAGCTCAGCCTTAGAGATAGGTAAAGCTGCTGCTCCTTCGAGTCCAAAGGAGCCAGTTGAGGTGGTTTTCAAACATCAGCCCTGCCTACGGGAAAAGTGTTTACCTGAGGGGCTTCTCCAATGTGAAGGTGGGACTTTTGTTTGGTTTCACAAAGGTGTCTCAGATGGAGAATCACCAGCTCGTTCTCCTCTTGGTCTGACTCGGACTTCAGCCTCTGCACACACGGACACACAAACACCCGAAACTCATGATGGAAGGAAAACACTGCTTTGAAGCAGATGCAACATTTGTATAAATACTATATACAACTGTTTCTAGCAACGAATCACCAAAAAACTGTTAATATGTCTCTAGTTTTTCAGGCTTCCTGTAGGCAAAGGCGAACCTCACCTGAACTCGCTCAAAAATCTCCGCCTGCTCATTGTCAGTCAGCTGGGAGAGATATTTTTGGATGGCTAGCTTCGCTCTGGGTGGATAGAGACCTAAAAACAGAAGAGGAAATAAGACTTCTCTTCCATCTTGCTTTAACTCTGAGAAACAGGCCATGCATCAATATATTCATAAGTCAAGGCGGAGAGCAGTGCAGGATGTGTGACTGCGTTCATGTGGCTTACCTTCAATCCGCTCGCAGAGCTTGTGCAGGTCATGCATTGGGCAGGCTTCACATAGCTGGACCTGGGTTTTGTTGCTTTGTAAGGCTGCTGCTGTAGTGAAGGCCTGCTTCAGCGTCAGCATCACCTCATCTACCTGACACACACAGTCAAACGTGGGGAGAAGACACAGACACAGACACACACACACAAAGACAACACAGACATTTTAGGGGAGATTACAATAAAAAAATATTGAGTGAAGATAAAAAGCTGAAGTGATTTTCAGTGATGTTCTGTGCGACTCACCAGGGACTCACTGGCACACTGGAACACGTAGCAACAATACTGACTGGGACCAGGCTCCGATTGGTCCCGACAGATGAAACCAAAATGGTCGGTCTGCTTGATGCCCTGTGTCAAAGTCGAGACAAACAGGAAACTAGAATAAATCTCAGCGAGGGAAGGCCATACTTCTGTATCTGTGTATTCAGTCAAGCCTTACAAATGATAAAATAAAACTGAAACTAAGAACAGCACATGTCACTGACACCATAATGGCTCTCAACATTCTCCATTTCCATTTTCCATTCAATTAGTAAAAGCACCATTTTGCTCTTACGAGACACTGCATTATCTTTATGCAGGACGTCCATTTAAAGGAATGGGATTGCATCGAGCAGTAATAAAAAAAAAAGAAAAAAAAGAAAAAAAGAAAAAAGAAAAAAGGGAACGGATTTCTACATCACTGATAAAGATGTCATTTGCCATCAAATTAAGGATTGAACATAAAAAGCCTGCTGCACTGTAAAGACGGGCACTAATGTATTAGATGTCTCGGAAAGCAATGGATGAAATTAGTCCGACCTTATCCACTGAGTAGGACTGCAGCAGAGACACAAGAGAGAGGCTTTTAGTGTAAATACGACGAGTAAAAATAAACCAACCTGACAGCAGGATGAGATATCTTTGAAGTTCTTCTCCAGCACCACTGTTTTACTGTCTGGACTTATGAGGTTTACTTCAAAACGCCCCACCTGTGACACGCAAAAAGTGTATTTTGGTCAGACACATAAAAAAAACAATAACATGTTCAGGCTGTTTGTAGATCATGAATATAATAAGAGGATAGCAGTGACACGTATCTCATCACAACAACTATGACTATTCTCAGACCTGTTCAATGACATAAACACACTCACACACACACACACACACACACACTCAAAATCAAGGTCAACAAGTCTGCACCAACGATTTTTCCCATAATTGACTGCTAAGTAGAGTATCATATTGAGCGTTGTGTTCTAGTTTTTAAAATTAGCTTCATGAGGAAATGGGCATGGTGTGTGAGGAATGGCAGCTGGCTCACTCAGCAGCCCCGCATGCTTTTCATAAGGCGGCAGCCATACGTTTACACAGGAGTAGCGCCGCGGTCACAAATTCTACTGGGGAGTTACAGCCTCTTTAACTTCAAGCGGCAACACGAGGGCCGAGCTGGTCTGTACTTTATAACTGCCAGCGCACGTGCACATAAAAATGATTTGCAGTAATGAGAAGCTCAGAGGGTGAACTGAGCAAGCACCCAAGCTGCTGTGGCAATCCGCACTTAGGCTAGCAAGCATTTGGTTTTCTGGTGTGACAGGTGGGATCAAGTTCTTCAAGACAAGTTATGACTTGGAACTAATAGAAAAAAAACAAAAAAAAACAAACATCTTCTCACTGACAAAGGAGTATATTTAAAGTTCTGCCCATAAACCTCATAAACACTACAAGTTTGGACTCAGTCCAAAAGAGAATAAAACATCCTTATGACTCAGATCAACTGTAAATTGTATGTTGTCCATCTACACCACAATCACACAGAGTACTCATTCATTTTAGTTAACTGCAAATGACTGTAATTCAAATGTAACAGATCTCTCAGTCCAGGCCGAGCACTTGAAAGCATACTAAGCCATAGGTTTTAACGAGAGGACATTGCTGTGATGATAAATCTTCTCGGTGTCAACGGCCTGACAGTTTGCAGTCAGCCAGTAAGCTGGACTCAGAGATAAGATGCCTCTGAGCCGCTGTGCACATTCTGAAGCCAAGACATCAGCAAAACTGCAGCATCAACATTGCCACTTCGTGGAAATGTTTGTCTTTACCTGGAAGAGCATGGTGCGGTTCTTGTCTGCATCAGACGGCTGAACGTGGTTTGGTGCGCTGGCATGTCTGCGGCGTGTGGGGCCCTTGATGACGCCTTCCCCTGGCTTCTTCTGCAGACTCCCTGCCAGGCTGCTGCAGCGCGTGCGAAATTCCTGAGGCTCCTCAAATCCAGAGTCCTCCAGGATGCACTCGGGGAACGCTCCTCGCAGGCTGCTCTGACTGGCACTATTGGAGAGGCTTTTACCTGTGTATCCGACACAGATACACCCGAGTGTTTATTTAGATTCATGTTGAAATATGATAAAATGAAAGAATTTCGAGCGGTAAATCTGCCACTGGGATAATGTGCCGTGCGAGAATGGTAAGCTTGACAAGCGTAGCGACGGTAGCTAAGGACTGGGAAGCTTCAAGAGCGTGCAACCGAGCGTCGTAAATCTCTGACTAAAGCTACTTGCTGATTCAGCTTTGACCTTTTGTTACTGCCTTTACCTCCACCTCTGGTCACGTCCTCCACTCCAGGAACTTCTGGGTCTTCCATCCTCTCATTCAGAACAGAGGAGAGTGGGTCTGCTTCTTCCCCGATGAGGAACTCTACAGGGGCGTTCTCCGTGGACCCTCGCTGACCGTTCAGCAGGCGCAGGCGCTTGCGCTCCACCTCATGCTGACGAAACTTATCGATGCAATCATCAATGAGGGTGGATGGAGCCTTCTTGTGCCCGACCGTCACCTGGAATCCAACGGCATCCATTCAGTGACCTTGTATAAATGGAAACACACCATATATCTGAAGCGTATGCACAGATTCATACCTTGCCACAGTAAAGCACTTCAAACTTCTGGGAGTTATAGAAGGCCTCGTCAGCTTCCTGTTTGGGCCTGGCATCTTCCTTTAGGGCGGATTTGGACACTTGGCGAATGCTGCTGACCACTTCAGGGACCTGTAAGAAAGGAGAGAAGAGAGAAGGGATATGATGAATAGGAAAACGTTAACAAGGAAAGTCATAACAAAGGAGAAGAGGAAGTGAGGTGGAACCAAATACCAGGGGAGATTTTCTCTGCGGCTCATCCTATCATCCAACTCACCACATTAACATCAACAGCAATAACCCTTATTACCTAGAAAAGTTCAAGTAAAACGCCCAAATAGAATGTCCTCTGCAGCCTACAGTGAACCACCCTTCACATATAAAATAGTGCCATCATATCAGTACAGGTCTAATGTAGACAAACCGAAGTCAACACAAAACATGAAAACTATGTTTATATGGCATTTCCAGTTGGCTCAGGAACTTGATCTGACAGGCAAATTACATGACCTGACGTAATGGCTAAAACCAAATACAGTAAAAGGTTTGGACTAGCATAAGCTAGTCAACAATAGAGACAGACTAAACATTACAATGGAGTCAGAACAGGGCAGCCAGCCAGGGAACACCCACACTCTGTGGGACAGAAGACAAAAGGAAAGAAATCAGAGACTTGAAGGTCACAGAGCCCGTTTCTGCTCCACCGTGTTAGACACTTGCAACTTGTTCAACACCTGCAGGAGCAGCCAGCGTCAAATAGGAAATGTATTTTTTGGTAACTTGCCTCCAACAAGTCAAGACAGAAAATATGAACAAATTCTTCAGCAATACTTGAGAGTGCGAAAGGCAATTCAGTTTTTAGGCACTTTTTGCAATTGAGAGCAAAGGGGAAAGAGAGCAGTGAATTATTGCTTCACTAAAATTTTTGGCAGAGTGCTCCCTGAAAAGCAAGAGTGACCCGAACCAGGGCCACAGCCAAGGTCAGCCAAATACTGTGTTTAAGACAACAAGGAGCGCTAAAGCAAACAGTGGCTGCACACACTGCGCACACCTCCTATGGTATCCGATAAGAGCTGCGTACTGACTGAGCAAACATATTTAAAATGTAGAGTGGGGAGGGAAGTTATGCAACAATATACTTCAGAGGTGTGAGCAGAACTACATGGAAGCGAGAGGGGCAGACAAACAGGAAAGGAAAGACTGTGAAAGAAATAAAACATCCTGAGAAAGTCTGACCCTGCTCCTCACAGAAGCCCGTTCATGTACAAGACACAGAGATGAAGTACTTGTCCGCCATATTGCTGCTGTGGCAACACGAGCTATTTTAAAGCCCCATTTTTCCAAGTCCCTGCCTTCCCAAGGGCTGAGCCGTGCATGGCTGGTGACAGAGGACTGTATTGAGATGAGGAAGAGTGCAGGTGATGGGGGCAGCGGGTTCTTGGTCATACATACTCAAGCCTGTTTTTCACTCAAACACATCTCTGACCTGTGTGAGTCATTTTCTAACTGTTAGCTGCCTTATTTTTCAGGAACCGTCAAAGAGTGTTTTGAGATACTGCAGACCTAAAAGCCGCCAAAACCAATGTCTGCACCAAAATATCAGCACAAAATCACTTAAAACGTGTGCAATTCACCAGGTGTGAAAACACAGTAGCTTTGCGGGGTAAAGGGCAGTTCTGCGTTGGCGAAAGCAAGTGTTGACACTACAAGGTCGAGATAATTCAGAGGCCTTAGCGGCTGAGAATCACAGCTGCACTGTCTGTTCTGTCACACAATTATGTGTCCTGCATCACTTTACCGCAGAGGAAAAAATGACAGCACTTTCTTAACATTTAAAGGAGCTGCTGGATTATACATGAGTAAGATGACGCCACAGTACCATTAATTATTTGTAGTCTACCCAATACAGAGCCAGCAGAGGTGCTCATTCCTTGGGTGGAGGCAAGCACAGACAGGCAGAACGTTGTCAGGGAGTAAAGGCAAAGCATGTGTGTTTCACTGGGAACCTATTCAAACATGTCCTCCCACTCCAATGGTTCTTCATGCTGGTTTTTATGTCTGATTTTCACCTATCATTGCCTGGCTTTATAAAATAATATCAGCAACACTGGTTGTGATCCAAAGCTTGTCTACATAAACCAGCGGCCAAGCACGGCTTTAGAGCTTAGGAGAAAACAAACACAAGGATTGTCCTCTCTGAGCTGGTGGAGTCCTGAGCACTCTGAGCGCACGGCTCATGTAATGTCAAACCTCCCTACAAAAGGCCCTAAGAACATCTGATCAAACAGTCGCTGGCACGGAGTTCTGCTGCCCTTATCGGCACCGTTAGGTCCAACCACAGGGAAGCAGTGATGACCCAACACACTCGCCCGCATGATCTGCGATTAGGCCTCATTAGACACACAGGTTATCACTGTGTCAATAGAAGATAAGGATGAAAACAGACAGAGACAGAGAAATGGAAGTCCGCATTTCAGACCAGCAGCAATACAAGATTACACGCTTTTTAAGTTAAAAGTAATCGATGTAAATTCTTGCGGAATTACTGGAAATACATTTTAAAAATTCAGTTACAGCTAAACTTCCTTCGTACAAAATTCAAACGTCTGATTTCAACAAGTTAAAAAGAATTGAATCAGAAACTATGAAACTATGAAAAGCAACAAAAAAAAAAAAGTTGCTTATTATTAAAACTTCAAAATAAATATTGTTGCTTTAGTACACAAAACTGTGTTTATGTGCCTGGAGCTCCGATTCATTCTGAAAGCACTTCACTGTTGTCACGTTTGTATCCAAACCTCACTACAGCTACTGCCCTGTGTCCTCCCAGTGCTTTTCCATGTGCCTGAGGGAAACCTGCGTGCCTCAGTTTAACAAAGTTTATGTCCCAACTTAAAACAGAGCAAGACAAAGGCTCTTGTGTCACCTAAACATGGGGCGGGAGCTCATATCAGAGCTGGAAATCATTGTGTGTCAAGACAGCAGTGAAACAACCTGGCTTTTCCTTTCAATCCGTGCAGTTTTATTTTCTTTTTCTTTTCTTTTTTTTTTGGGGCGTCAAAAAACACGTGATTTTTCCATGGTGTACATCTGTATTATGTCATTATAAACTGATAAAACACCGCCAGTTCTCTGTTAGTACAAGTTAACTCTCATGATTTGCTGACAATGTAAAAGGAACTTACTTAATCCTGTGATTTGCATGGTCAATGTACAATAAATCTAAACAGAATTAACTGCAAATAATGGAAAGTATTGGCTGTGACAGTGTTTTGTGATAATATGGAAGCTAATGTATCCCTGCTTGGATGTGACATGGAACAATATTCTATTCACTGTTGAGGATGACGGCACTCTGTCAGACTCTATCATGACAACCAGATAACAATCTGTGGTCTTTCATGTCTTGTTTAGCAAGAAATGTGATCATGTTAACAGATAGTGACTGGGCCACATCACCTGCCGTGGCTGACAAAAGGTCAGCACAGGTGTGACAAAGGACAAGCTTGTCAACACCACGCAATGGCGGCAAATGGAAAAAGTCACGTTTGTGCTTTATGATAATACAGATGGATTGAAAAAAAGAAAAAAAAGATATCCATGTGACCTAGTGTAAAAGCTGATAGGCAGACAATAATGACCTTTCATCCCACTTTGGCTTTGAAGCACATGAATGTCTGATGTCATGTGCATCACTCTTGGCCCGACTTGGCTCATGAGCGTGTCCCACTGTCACTACGTGCCACTGAAGGATGAACAGCACTCGCAAGTCAGCAGAGGGTCACCCAGTGAGTGAGGCCACCGTGGTCCAGTTCCAAGTCAGAGCAGAGGTGGAAAAACACACCCAGGGCTTGTGGTTTACACTGTACAGGATCAGACTGTATGTCACTGGCTTGATAATGGCAATACTGAGTCAGGTTGAGTCTGTGTTAAATTTGTGCCTGCTGCCAAGAGGCTGTAAATGAGTGTCCCACACTCTGAGCCACTTCAACGGTTACATTTAACCTCTAAACGACAGTGTTTGTTTAACTCACTGTTTGATATTACACTGGCAAAATCTTATGTCGGGCCTGTTGTCATGGATACCTCAATCAAGAGTCCACTTATGTTTGACTCTTAAAAAGAAAAATGGCCAGACCTTATGCATAACCGATTACAGCTGGATCAAAAACCTTTATAACAGAGACGAGGACTGAAGTTGTTTTTCGAGTTGAGGAAGTCAGACTTGATTGTCAGTGCCCGGCTTTTCAAAACAAAGGAACACACATCCATGTCTACGTACAGACTTGGCTTTTGTTAGCATTTCTTCAAGTTAAACTCCATTTATTTCTATGCACACAAGATATACTAAACTGCAGTTGAGCCAACTTAGCTTCTCTGCCCTTCAAGACATCATGTATGTCATTTTATTTTAACCTTTCACATCATATTGCTACAGGCCAGGCGTCTTTCCTCAGGGTTTGCACAATGTTCCCCTGTCATGTCCACAGCTAATAATAGATTTGAAAACACGCCTGTCGCCCAAAAATAAAGCAATAATTTATCATGTCTTGAAAATCAGCTTGGCTGAATAGAAAATCCACAGTAGCACAATAAGAATGGCTGTATTATAAACAGGAAGTACCTGGCAAATAATCAAATCATCAACAAGGACTTCAGCAGGATGTTGTGTGTGGCAGCAGTGAATAACCCATGCATTCCACATGGTCCACCTTGCACATGTTACTTGCTTGCTGGCTGCCAAACCAGTTTTTGTTGCGTAATAACGCTAGGCGAGGTATGTTCAAGATGCCGTTCTGCCTGTTGCAAACATTTGGGATCCAAGTACAGAGGCCAGACACCTTGAGAGTGTGTCTGCCTTGAACTTGGTGCGTCTTCTCAGTTTTGACTTACAGACACACTGCTTGCTCAGGCGCCTGCACATACCACAGGAAACATTATACAACGCAGGCACATATAAGACTGATGCAAAACATTGTGCATAACACATTATTTCTGTTTGTGAACACCGTCTGTGAAGGTTTCCTGGTTCGTTGCAGAAACAAGAACGACGTGAACAAGTGTTTGACACTTCAGCTTGTGTTACAGTACATTACGAATCACGTAGGCACAACCCCAAACCACATGATTCATGTGTTTACACAAGAAAACACAAGAAAACTTCACTACCACAAACTCTCACTCAAAGCTTGCACATCAGTGCCACTGGGGTGAGCTCTTGAGCATGGTGTCAAACGCGTACAGTATAACCTAAAGTGCATCTCAGCAAAGACGAAAAAGCACAACTGCACATTGATTTTCAAACACTGACTCCCACCTTCCTGATTTTTGACTCTCTCTTTGACCACAATTTGCTTTATTACTCAAGAGTGGCGTGCTGATCAGCATGTAAATGTGCTGACTCGATATTGTGTCTATACAGTTGTGGTTGTTATCACACCATAGGCACCAGGGAGATGTCTGATCCCCTGAAGAGGAAAAGCACAGGGATGGATTAACTTTACCAAAAATCCAGGGTGCTCTGTTCATCATCCTCTCTGACCGCTGGCCTAAATACTTAATACCAGAGCAAACATGTTTTGACTATTGACTAATCTGCTGTGTGTTTGAGATTAAATGACACAGTTGTCACCTCAAGGAGATTTTCAATTCAGGCTCTGCAGGGCATTCCTTTGTTTTGTGTTTACAACAAAAGCAAGATTCAGGTCATCATAGATGGGTGATCATCACTGTAAATCATGAAATAATGTAGATTTATAAATCTCATATAAAAATATATCTTATTTATGAGCTCCATAAATAAGACTTTTAATTTGAAAACCCTTAGGCATTCACTCTAAAAAAAAACCTAGACATTACAACGAAACAAATTGGACATATGAGCAGCATATGAGAGGTCAATGAAACCTCACATTGGGTTTATAATATTGCAGAAATACTGTACAATTCAAAGTGAATTACACCACTGATGCGCTTGTTTTGTCAGTCTGTTGTCCTTGGTATGAGGTGCGCTCCCTTACTGTTCCTGGCACAGCTGTGAGGGTATTTTTGGCACTTGAGCAGGCCTACCTGGTTGGGGTCGCAGGCCTTGAAGACGTGACAGGACATCTCGGACTCGGGGTTGTCAGGCTGACCCCGCAGGAGATAGGCAAAATAGGTAAGGTCATTGCTGTTGTGAATGAAGCGAGAGATGAGCTGTGCTTTGTGCTCGAATATGAAAACTGAAGAGTTGTTGCTGCTGGAGGGGACACATCGGACGAAGTGGGGGTTGAGGACCAGCTGAACTTCCCTCGGCTGCACCGCGGGGCCGCAGTCGCCTTTCTCGCTCCTCCTGCGGATCTCAGCCACCAGCCACGGCAGCATGGGCAGGGTGGTCCGCCTGTCCAGCGAGGACCAGCCGATGTAAGTCAGCGCGAACCTCCTGTCCGACTTCGGGGGGTTGTTCTCCTTCTCATCCTGACTCTCCATGTCGACCCAGCAGACTTTCGGCCGAGGCTCGTTGACAGCTTTTGCGGGACTAAAGACTACTTCAAAAAACAATACCGATGTACCATTCCTTGCAACCAAGGTCGTGCGTAGTTGTGGTTAGTTTGCAACAGTTTCCATGTCCACATCCACAGTGAAAGTTCATACAACGAAGCGATTAGCTACGTGCACAACATGTGCTCGCCCTGTGGATCAGCTACAACACTCCATGTTATCCAAACCTCTCCAGATTCTCTCCACGATGGACTGTTTCCCCTCAAGGATTTCAAGTCAATTTACTTGTATATGGTTGTGTATTTGTAGTTTGCTCCCTTGCTCTGTTCCTCCACTGTTTGCATGGGCAGTGAGTCAAACGCTCAACAGTCCTGTACTGTACTGTCCCAGCCAGGCTTGCTTGCTTGCTAAAACGTGGCTTTGGATGGCTCCTGTGTAAACACAAGTCGCCCAGAGGAATCTGATTTCTTTGACGTTGCTCCTGAGCGCATAACGGGGCGACGCATTTACACAGTCCCAGCCCCAAAATCCCGCCTCACAGAAGCTCAGCTGGCACGGTCGCACTTTTCTTTCTCAGCGGTCTATAAAATACATACATTGATGCTTGTTTATCGCCTTTTAGTGCAACCTCCCGATTGTGGGTGATCCTTTCTTCCACAACGCCTTGGAGGCGGAGCAGCTGTCCGAGTTGATGATCCGCCCAACCATCCCATGTGCTGGGGGAGTGGGCAGGGCAGAGTCGCTGTGCGAAACGTGACATGACGACGCTCCGCCTCTCTGTGTTGGCAGCACAATGATCATATGCAATATTTCATGAAGGCGGTTTACAACTATCTGTTTACACGCAGCCTGTGCTGAATCAGTTTTGGACAGCTGTGATCACATCTGATATGCATCATGCACTAGATTTCCATGTGCCATCTGCCATGAATCTGCCTATCCCAAAAATAGTAGCTTTGCCATATATAACCTCATCACTGGGGCAGTAGCCACCAGAGTTCTGCAACCTACCAATCCCCACACTACTGATGAAGACTATGAATGTTCACGTTTTTACTGTGGAGGAATTTCATACTGCAGGACAGGCCACCAAACATACAAACACTACGCCCCAAAGCCATATTTCATGAAATCCTGTGGTTGTATTTTTGTTTCTTGAATGTTGACATTATATTCAATCAACTGTCTAAAATGCATTGCAGTGGGAATTGAGTCAAATCTAAAATATCATAAACATCAATTTAAAAGAAATCTGCACACTGGATAATTAAAGCATTGGTCAGTATGCTGCAGACCCTCTGGACTCCCTACCAGAACAAAGAGAGATCCTCAGACACCCACATCAGGAACCAGTTAGGATAGGAAGTCTATCCAAAAGTACCTCAGTATTATTTCTCTGTGGATTCTGTCAGATGGTAAACCGTGACACTAATTTACAGATTCAATTGATTTAGTGTATAATTGTTTTTACATCGATTTGCCACGAGATGTGAAGTTGTGGCAAATAACCCCCAAAAGGGTTTAGATTTAATAGTCATTAGTTGTGTCACTGTTGCATCACACACAAGTGATGATGGGACAAAAAAAGGCAAAGGCCAACTCAGAAAACGGAGTAAGCATTTAACAGTTACCATGGAAAACACAAACAGCAAAAGTCTTCAGTCATTAGCAGAAAGCACAAGGACTGTAAAAAAAGTTCACATGCTGCATTTTACTGAGAAGCTTTTCAAACTAATGACTGTGCTGCAAAGTAGTTATGGAAACACTTTCTGAAACTATATGGTGGAGGGGATGTTGTATAGTGATCTTATCACAATCTCTTACCGTAGATAAAAACAAACAGTAATATAAGCAACGGTTGACTCACTGTGGAAATTTATTATAAGATCAAAGCCAGAGAAACAAAATGCAGTTAAACTAAACCATATCAATGTTTGTAACAAATAAACAAATGCAGCACAATTAGAATATTAGTCAGGGTTTTGTAGTATTAGCGGAGTAGTTATACACCAGTAGGGCTGAACAATATGCAAAAAAAATCATATTATGATTATTTTGGCAGATATGCAATACAACTTCAGTTGGACTGGTCATTTTTGAGTTTCATTTTTCACTGAAAAAACTATAAAAATGGTGGATGTGAAAAATTTTGATTTTGAAATTTTTGATGGGGCTTATACCAAACAAGCATGTTCCTTTACATGTGGGGAATATGATTTGTAGGCCAAGGCGTCTCTGTAGCACCACAATGCTTCATTTATGATATGCTGTGACACATTTTGCCTTTATCAAAAAATTGCAGCTCCTGCGATTTGGATATTGCACTTGGGCCATATTGCGATTTGGATTTCAATTAATTGTTCAGCCCTCTATGCTACATGTCCCTAAACTAAAATTCAATATATATGAATAAGTTAAAGGAGGGAGTACACTGAAATTTTGGCATTCAAAGTGACGACAAACATTTTCAGATATTTTACCGGCTGCAGTAAATCGCTTAAAACTGAAGTGCAAAACTGACAAATAACATTTGCAGTAATTCGTATCCACATTCTGAGACAGCCGACAGACAAAAACCTGGCTCGAGCTGTTCTTCCAGTGGTTACATGTAAACTGGGGCATATTTTCTGAAAAGCACTTAGGTGTCCTTGCAGCCATCATACAGTCTCCATAACAGCTGCCATCTCCTTGAACTGCTTGTGAAAGTTCTGCAGAGGACAAAAACAAAAATCAAAATCACGCCAGTCATAAATTACACCAGCAACACTGCATTTACGTCAATAAATACAGACCTGGAACTGGGGAATGGTCATCTCAAAAGACCTCTGACAAATCTGTCCAGAGGGCTCAATGATCTTCAGCAGCAGAGACACATACGGGGAGTTGAGAGATCGGCAGGTGTCGGAACTCACTGCCATGCCGAGCTTCCACTGTATGTCTACTAACTAGACAGAAACAGTAAAATAAACAATAACAACTGTTGTCAGGCCATCAAAAAATATTTGAAAATGAGTGACTGCTTTACTGCGTTAAATGTAGATATACCTGGCCGATGCTTAACATGGCCTGAACCTGTTGCTGAGCATGGACTAATGCACCATGTTCACTCCACAAGTTGTGCAACACCTGAAGGGAAGCTTTGGACCACTTGTTACTGCCTTCTTCCAGCCTCAATACAAGGTCATCTCCGGAGAGGTTGTTCTTCCCAGCCGACCTGGCAATACAAATGTTAACCATCACTGCTTACATTACAACAGTGTGCTTTTTTGTGTATGACTTTTACCTTTTGACGGGCTACATAAGAAATAAATGTGTGCAACATTTATCAAATTAACAAATTGCAATGAGAGGGAAAAAATAGGATAAAAAATACCTGAATGTTATCAAAAGAAATCTGATAGTGTTCTGCAGAGCTTCATGGTCAAGTCTGACTCCAGCTCTCTGAAACCTCTGCCCAGCAGAAAAAAAACAACAAAAACAAGTAATGAAAGAGGAACTTGGGAAGATGGGTTACTATAAGTTAAAAAAAATCTAAGGAAATATTGACTCACATCAGAAATTTCAGCTGAATCTACTCCTCTAGCCTGCCCTTGAAGATAAGTCAGAATGTGCTGACACTGTGGAGATTATAAGATTAGTTATCAGAACTACAGCACAACCTCTATGGCAACAACACCACATCCTGTGCAACTTGTGCAGAGCATGGCTACCAGTAGCCCTTAGATGACACTATTACATTGTATTTAGCATCCAGTTGTTTATCGCACTTAGGGGTTTAGTCCACAAGAACTTCACCTTGCAGCAAATCTTAAAAACTTGACGTGTGAAGAAGCAGGAAGCATGAGTCTCTGTGGTAATCCAACAAATACTAGTGGGCAGTAATAACAACAGGACATGTGACCTGTGTGTTTTTTCTCTTCTAAGCACTTCTATAATGACTCACTAAGCTATAAATGAAAGACTGTGTCGTATACTCAGATGTCTTTTTGTAAAAATGTAACTTGCTTTTGGTACACATGGGGATGTGCAGACAACTTGAGATAAAAGATACTCACTGCTTCCACTAACAGATCTGGAGAAAGCCTACAGATGTTGTCTACAAGTTTGTTGGTGCCTGAAATACAGAAGTGAAGCAATTCATTTATCACAAGGTCTCCCATACATTTCTGCAGCCACAACCACTGGTCTCAAGAAGCTCACTGGTCATGGAGTCATGTGAGTCTGACTATGGTAATTATGGTACCTCCTTGCTCTCTTTACAAGAGAAGGCAAGCAACTGCAACTACAATAGCATTTGTTATTCCCATTATTTATTTATTGTGAAACTATTACAGATACCAGCAAATATACTCAATGTTATCATCTTTGTCCTTGATGAATCTCAATAGAAATCTCTTTTTTTGTCAGAACTTTATTCAGTAAACAGAGGACAGTAAAGAAGGGTAAGGGACAGAGGATAATAAGCAGAGCCAACAAATCAAGCAAAATACAAAAATAAGTAATGACTGATAGAGAAGAGAATAGTTTCTAAATTAAAAATAAAATGACAATTAATACATTTTTTTTTTAATGCATGAAAGAAGGGGTGCAACATACAAATTTCTCCTGTTTCAGATTCAACACAATGCTGACAGTCCGCCGGCTACCAGAGGCCTGTACTACGAAGCAAGTGCATTATTCCCAGGATCTGGGTTAACTGAACCTAACATCGCCGTCCTGACAGGTAACACAAAGGCAACAAGGGAATCAGCTTAAAATATCTTTTGTATCATGCAGCGGAGGGAAAAGTGGTTCTTCCAGGTGGCTAGAAGAGATTCTGAAAAAACTATCGGAAACAGTAGGTTTATAAACGTCCATGTTTTTATGTTTGTTCGTTTTTCATCGCCGGTTAGCTTGGTTTCAGAGCTAACACACGAGAGGCACTAACTGGCGCTAAGGTGATGTTTAGGTGTAGCCACGGGTAACTGGTAGGGGTTAGGGTCAGATTAGCATCCCAGAAGACGACTGGTCGGGTTGTGTGTATCGTTTGGTTAAGATTCAGGTAAGGGGGAAAACACTTGTAGACAGGGAAACGCTCTTCGACAAACTCCCCGGCTAGCTACTGTGTTAAGTTAACGCTAACCCTGTGCGGAGTGCTACCTGAGTGCTACCTTATTAGCCTAACTTATTCGTCTTTCTAGTCGAACTACAACCTGCTGTAAACGCTGTAACGCTATGTGATGCATGTTCAAAATTAAAAACCCACCATGTAAATCCTCTGCTGCTGGCATCTTCTCTCCCAGTCAGGCTGCAGTTGTCACCGCAGTGCCAGTGTAACCAACTCTGCCTAGATTTCTTTCCTCTTTTCTTACCTCTTGAGCGACTTTTTAAAAAAGTAATAGGTTACTGTTATTTTCGAAAAAACCGCGTAGTGACAAATATAGAGAATTTTTGGCCAAACAACTCCTCTCCTTTGCAGAGAGTCGCCAACATTATTTTCCTTGTTTTATTTTAGCGGATTGTAAACCATCGTAAAAGGTGCATACTGCCACCTACTGTAACGGAGTGTCTTCTTCCTCCATCACCATGAACATGAATTTGGACAGACGTTTTGTTACCTGGCTCCCCCTCCCTGCAGGAGATAGAACAGGCCCACAGTGTATAAGGATGACAGCTATATGTATACAGCCATTTATTTACCATTCTTTCCCACTCATTCTTACATTCCCATTTCTTTCTTTCTTTGAAAATCATTCATTCAAAATCATAATTCAAATCAATTTTAAACTTTAAGTGGCTTTGTTTTTTGTAGCTTTGCTACACTCAGGGTGCAATTTTCTGTTTCTCACCTATTTTACTTTTTGGGAGATACACTGAGACATTTACTGATTTCACACAGGAGGAGGATGCACTACTTGAGTCGTTTCTTTGACTTGCCATAAAGTAATTATCCAGCAGAGGGAGCAGGTTCACTTATCTTTAAAATGGAATGAAAGATGTGTTGATATCAAAAACTAATGACCCCAGCATTGATTTTCTCTTTTCACACGCTTTTTGCTCAAGGAATGTTCAAAGAATATTTGTTGATATTTTAAATATGTATGGTGGTTTCACATACAGCAGTCTTTCAACATTGTTTGATGTGGGTGAGGAATATAAGCCCAGCATTATAGATCCCCATCAGTTGTGCAGACAGGAGGCAATGCTTTCATTTCAACAAGCACATGTCCAAAAACCGGAGAGGGAATGGTTTAAAAGATACTCTGGCTCGATTATGTCAGCAGCAAGAGGAAGATAAAAACATTTCAAGATTCTTAACCTCTGCTGGACCTGATGCAATATTAGTGCCAGAGCAGAATATATAATTCATCATACAAAGGTTAAAATTATCATAAGTCATATTCAGTATTAATTCAATACTTAGGATTTGTTGAATGTCTCCTTATTTTCATTATGGATGAGGGATTTCAGTTTTTAAAAGATTCTTACTCACAATAAGTGCGCCAAGCCTCATGAGGCATTTGGGCATGATTCTTGATATGTTTCAATGATATCAAACAGCAGAAAAATTAAACACCCCCTCCTACACATGCCTCATTGGCCATGTCTGAGGGAGATGAAGACCTTAATGTCTGATTAAGATTCCAGAAGTCTGGTTCTATGTTTCAGTCCAGAGGCATCTCCATGAAGAGTGTGGATGAAGTTTGACGCTGCTTCTCTTCTCAAGGTATACATTGTGTTAGACCAGAGAACAAAGACTTGCATTAAGAGCCCCTTGGACAATTGGAGACAGTGGGTTTAAAAGTGTCACAGTACAACACATCTGAACACTAATGGACATTTTACAACTTAAGGTTTAGTAAAACTACTGGTTTACCTGAAATAAAGAACATTGTCTGAAGAAAAGACAAACAAATATCAAAATCAACCTCCACTTCCTGTAGAATGAGACAAAGAACTACTGACTGACGTTAGAGCAAAATGACCTAAGCAAAAAAAAGAAAAAAAATACTTAAGGGTTTCAGTAAAGGTTCCAAGGTGCCAAAGACTATTAACAGATCTATTAATAATAAAATTCTGTAAATTACTGCTTTGACACTTATATTAACAAATTCAACATGAGTCTAAAGAACTTATAATCAGAAGGATCGTAATTACCACCCCACCACCAAAATGCTGCTTTCCATGTTGCTACATTCTGTCTTGATGTTGCATGTTGGCATCAGCTACAGAGTTTGAGGCTGGTGGGATTTAGCCACTTTTGGCTGAGTCCCCCGTTCGCCGCATGCGAGCAATGATCGTTTCCTTTGACACCTTCTTGCGGTCCTTCGCCAAACCCAGGAAGCACATGACATCTATAAAGGCAGTGGAGAGATTGAGCTTCCAGCCAAACTCACTGGCAGCGTAGTCAAAAGGGAATGTGTGATGGTAGTTGTGGAAGCCTTCCCCTGAAAACCAAAGAGAAAAACAGTTTGTTCACATGCATAACTTGAATGAAGATATGAATCTGCTTTATCCTAATTTGGACACATCACTGGATGGAGAAGTGACAAACAGCTATTGGCAGCATGTGACTGATAATTTATTTTGAGACAAAAAACCTTAAAGGTTGACTGTTATGTAATGTAACTTACAAGTTACCAAAACCAGATTTGCTAAAGGAGTCTTTGTAATCATTATGACACTGGTTGGTAACAGCACAGTTGTCTCTAAATAGATTAATCAAGGTTGAATCATCAGACCAAACAATGAGCAGATAAGGTTTAAAAGGAGTCTGGTTCATGAGAGACACAACAGCTTTCTGAGCTAAAATAACCAGGAATCCCATGGAGCATTACAGCAGAAAACATCAAATTAATAAGCTTAACAATCTGTTGCCGATTTATATTGCTGATAAAGTTTCAGCCGGAACTTGATGGATAATTTTAATTTTTTTGGACCTGTTATGCTCCAGTGTTTTGTTCCAGATTGCAATGAGAAAGCATTCTGAATATGCTACAACTTGTCTCCAGACCAAGCGGCTACAGTCTTTACTAATCCATTTACAAAATAATGTGTTTACTGCAGCTGCTTTGGGTGCTTATGGAAAAGGAAGTAACTTGGAAAAACTGTGGTAACCAGTTAAAACAACAGCATTCCTCAAGATGCATTAAATTACACAAAATGCATGGAAGGTGACAGTACAGGGCATTACTGTAGGAAAGATTACCGTAGGCTATAATGAGTAGCAAACATGCAGTTTCTTTACCGACGGCACTGAGAGAAACCAGTGGGTTTTCCGCTGGGTTAATGGTCTTGTCATAAGGCCTGTTGCCCCACAAGTGCGCAGCACTGTTGACCAGCCAGGTGCCATGGAGCATCAGAACGTATCTCAGGACCGCAGGGATGAAGTATGCCACAACCAAGGATTCACCCCAGAAGTACCAGGGCACCAGCGTGGGCATAAGGAAGCAAAGGATCACCACAGACAACTTGTAGTACCTAAAATCAAAGATCAAAATATTCCTCACACAGATCCACTCTCAACTGCCTGTAATTCAGCCTAACCCTAACCCCGAGACTAAATGAAATCAAATTGATTCTTTTCCTCTCACTCCTCTACGACCTCATGCCAGCTCACATCACATAACACCCACCCTCTTGAGATCGACAAGCAGTCAAAACAACAAATGACAACCCTTGACTGTGACACTGGCACTGAATCAAATTTCTGTCCAACAAAAGTCATGTATTTATAATCCCACAACACCCTTTAAATATGTCATCTCACCAAAATCTGTACCCATGTCACAGTGAAAGGCCCCATGGAAGCCACAAATTTAATCTTACGTTTTTATGAGGGAAATTATAAACATATTAACGGACTGATTATGTCCAGACAATTTGACCAAGTGACCAGTCAGTGGATGCGCACAGACACACTGTGGTTCAGTCCCTTCTACAGAAAGCATCTATTATCAAAAGATCTGTCCTGAAGTGTGAACATGGTCACAGTGACCAAGACTACAACATCCTGTACTATCTTGGACCAGAGGGGAATTTAACAAGACACACAGGAATGAACAAACCTAGTACTACTACACTAATACATTTATATGTAATTATTCTGCATTAGAAACACATTCAGTGGCAACATTCAGTGATAATGCAGGAAGTAGATGAACAATGTCCCATCAGGAAAAAAGATTACTTCTGCAACAGTTATGAAGCACCAGAGCTTATGAATCCAGTAAGTCTCAGTAAATAGCCTCAAGTGACTGCAGCTGATTACATATTTAACAAAAAACAGCAGTAACAACAAAGACAAACTCTATTTAGTGTTTGCTCACCTTCTTTGGAACATGACCACTTTATCTGCCTTCAGGTCTGATATATCTATTTTACGGCCATTTTCAATGACACTGGGATGCTTGCGACAGAGCAGCCAGCCAACGTGGGAGAAGAAAAACCCCCGTTTGGCATTGTGGGGGTCTGCATTTGTCTCGGAATACTTGTGATGAACACGGTGGTCCCTCGCCCACTCGTATATGTCATTCTGCACAGACAGAGACAGACAGAAATCAAGAGGATTACGTGACACATCCAAAGACTAATAATTTTGCCAAAATCATTGGCTACACATTTGTTTGAAGATCAAATTGTACCTTTGCCACTATTAATTTTAGTAGTAAATGCTGTAACAAGTAAATGTGATTAATCTAAAGCATAATATATTTTAAAATTAGGTAGAAACTTTCATGGAATAAATGGGAATACAATGCAATTCTTTCATTTTTTCTTGTTTTACCTGAAAGGCCATGGACTGACAGATAGCAAGAAAGACTCGCAAGGGAAAAGAAGCCTTAAAAGATCTGTGGCTCCATAACCTGTGTGCTCCACAAGTCACGCCGAGACCAGTGAGGATGTACAAAAATGCAGCTGGAAGAAAGAGAAATGAAAAAGGACAGATATCTTAGTCACTGCATTATGTCTTTTTGTTACACTTAGGCCCCTCTGTTGCAAGTAAAGTCATGTATGTGTGGAGATAGGAAGGCGGGAGCATGCAGGTCTGCCTTCACAAACCGCTGAGTGTATTTCAAGGGCTTTGGATTGGGACAGAGTATTCTGTCCATGCGAATGGGGATCGTGTAAATAGGCACAATTTCTATTTATTCAGTTTAGCTTCTTCCATTGAAATTCACATATTTCTAATTTGGAGCATACAACACACCCAGTCAAGCTCCCTCAGGCTGTATGTACTGTAGTTTGCAATGATCATACAACATCAGCACACAGTCTGCAGGGATTTACAAAAAGAAAAAAACAAAACAAAAGCTGCAAAGGCTGCTGTATTATTTACTAAATACTTACATAATGCGAGAGTTAAAACTGATGCTGAGGGAATGAGAAACAGTCCATAAAGCGCACCGATATGTAAGAGGGACATCAGTATGACATTTCTCCACACCACCACTATCGGTGGTTGGGAGCCCTCATTATCATTTAAGGTGTTGTCAAAAGCATCATCCACCTCCGATGTTTTTGCCATGGCTTTTCCATTTTCTTGCTTTCCAGTATGATGACTCCGGGTATCCGTTTCAGTCATTTTGCTGTCGGAGAAACAGGGACATGTTGGTCAGTTAAATGGAGAAATTGAATTACATGCAAAAACATGCAGGAAGGTGCAGCAGGTGGCTGCACATGCAGCAGTTAAAGGATAAGTTCACATTATCAAGTCTGAATTAAAACAATAGTCAGGGGCCTATAAGAGGAAGTTTTCAGTCTTGTTCATAGTGGTCCTCAAGAGAAATGATGTGGAAAGTGTTTTAAAATATGTGAAACTTTGTTACTGCGCATGTGCAGTTAGTGAGATAAAGCACAATGCTAATCGAAATAACATGTAGTTTAGAAGAAAGTCATCTGATATATATTAATAAATATATTGCTATATATACGTATTAATTCAGAATTAATATGAATCCTTAAAACGCCTTAAACGCCATATATAGGCCACACTTACACTTAACCATTAGGCTATATTAACATTTCAGGCTTAAGGTGTCATTTATTCAAACAAGGCACAAATGCACCCCAAAAAGCGATTTAGGAAACCAGGTCTATTTTATGGAGAAGTGACAGCTGAGCTGTTCTGTAATGTAATCAATCCAAACATTTATTATTTCTCCCACCAATAGCCTATATAAATACAATATGAACTTTTGAGATAATGTTTGGGCATTCCTCTGACTTTGTATCACCATTTTACTAACAGCAGGAGGACAGTTATAGAATCTTAGGTAAGATTTGAAGATGTTTTACTGCAGACAGCTGCTTCCAACAAGAGTAACAGAATACCTACAGATTTCTTCTCATGCCATATGCCATAGCAGGTAAGTAGGTACCACCTATCTAATACCACTTATAGAAGCGGCATGGGCTGAATTTTGCATTCAATTTCGTGGCTGCTTAAACAAGCTGAATGTACTCACTTAGTGCTCTCCAACCGCTTTTCCCTCCAGAGAAAGGTGTCAAAGCTGCAGGGGATGCTGGCGCTGTGAGATGCAGGTAAAAATGAAAAGTAAAGATTCGTAAGTTAACCCCACTACGTTGGTCCCCGGTTACTTAAGTCCTCTTATTCATCAGTCCGACGTCATTTGAAAGTAATTGGTGGATGAGAAAAGTGATACCTCCGGCTCTGAATATCCCATGGCTGTTAGCTTAGGCCAAGTGATGTTTACCATCATTAATGACAGTAGTTCCGTTTTTTCAAAGTGTTTGAGTTGTAAATGTGCATTTTTTTTAACGCAACATGTTTCGACGGTTTTTCCCAAGGCGCTGGCCTCTAGTTATTTTCTTATTGAAGTGACTCACTGACTGTGGGCTGGTCATTGTTACACAAAGAGTATTTGGCGGCGCTGTTCCAATATGAAGTCCATAAGCGCTTCAAGAGGCCTCAGTGGGTCAAGATGGACATGGCTATTAGCGTAAAGTGCAAATGGAAACTTAATTGAAAATAATCAAATGGTAACAGGAGAGAGAAGCAAAATTTGTACATGCAGTAAATCAAATCATTACAAACATTTCTACAAGGCCTATCCATTATTTTCATTAGCATGCAGTACATCATTATTCAACTCCCCTATACTATTTTTGTTATTTATTTATTTGTTGTATTTCATTTTATTGTTTTCCTGCTTTACTGTCTTTGGTCTTTCTATTTTGTATTTGTTTTCAAAAAGATGCATGCTAATTTCTATTTACAGTGGTAAACATTTAGACACTGTGATGAAATTGCAATAGATTTTGATTAATAAGGTATTTTATTAAGGGAGGACCTAATGAGGAACAACAGGGGCACCGTGAGGCGGCAACATGTTACTACACACTGAGTCCAACCGGTTTCTGGATTTGGGAGAATTATTTCATTATTATTATCATTATTATTATTATATTTTTTAATTATTATATATGCAAAATTAATCGTATCAAAAGGAATAAGCAACCACAGCCGCTGGGAATCTGTCTCTCTGAAACACGCCCATGACCACGGACTGGTCCACTGTTGGGTTGTTAATGTGGGTATTACATTCAAATATCCTTCATTTTGCAGACAAACAACCATGGCAAAAACTATTAAGGATATAAATCAGGACAAATTAATATTCATAACGTGTCTGTTTGTGTTATAAATTTCTGGGTGTGGTGTATTTATGGTTTTTGAAGAAGCGAGTACCCCTGCGTTTCACCTACATGTCAAGGTGCACTTTCCAGACGCGGAAGTGATTTGCAGCTGTCAAACAGATTTTTGTAAATCAGTTTCAGTTTTCTGCTGAAAGGCGACTAACACTTGACGTTACTGCAAAATGGACTGTCCACGCTGGCTGCCTCTGGAGTCGAATCCAGAAGTATGTACTGTTGACGTTTGTACCACGTTTTTATCGAAGTCATTCATTCAGAGAGCATGTGAGGGCCGGCTAACTGATGCTAGCAGAGAGAACAAAGCTGAAGCCGGTGTGGCTGCTTTGATGAACAGCAACAGCAATTTGATTAACATTTGTGTTTTTGTGTTTTCTTGCCAGGTCATGACAAAGGTGAGTATTTTGTTCCGACTGAATTTAACACCAGATGGGCCTGAATAATCGATGGCAAAGCGACGTGCAGACTGAGGCACAAGGCCTACCCGGCAGCGATGCTACGGCCAATGTAACACTGACATTAAAGAATAAACATAGGCTAATGACAGGAGACATGCCTCAAAGAATATTCCATAACCATTAGCAGAATGTATTGCTAGCAATATATTAACAGATTACATGGTTAGATACAGACGGGGACAAATTTAAAGGAAAATCTAAATAAATTAAAGAGTGGAGAAACACAGATGCTTCCACACGGTTTGATGAGTATGGAAATGATGCGAATCATATGCTATGGCCTTCGCAATCACCAGATCTCAACCCAGTTGAACACCTATGGGTGGTTTTTGGATTGACCTGAGACAGCGCTCTCCACCATCCTCATCAAAACAGCAAATGAAGGAAGAATGACATACCATCCCTCCAGTAGGGCTCCAGAGATTTGTAGAGCCAATGCCAACTAGCATAGAGGCTGTTTTGGCATCTTGTGGTGGCCCAACACCTTATTAAGACACTTCATGTTGTTTTTTCCTGTAATTTGACACCCGTCTGTACATTTCATGCAGCTGCCCAGGGTATTTTCTACCTGACAATGTGGCCTCTGGTCAGCAGTAAACATTAACAACTAGTAGAAGCTAGGTTGGCTTTATGTCCTTGCATGCATACAAATTTATTCTAAGCTTTTGTGCAGTTTGTTAATTGTTTGGGTATGAGGCCCACCTGGCAATTTGGAGATGTATATGGATTGGACCCAGAGCTTCTCAGCATGGTGCCAAGACCTGTGTGCGCAGTGCTACTCCTCTTCCCAGTGACAGAGAAGGTATTTTAATTTATTCTTGTTACATGTTTGGTGTATGATGCACCAACTTTTTGTCAGTTAACCATAGTAGATGTCTTCACATCATGCATATTTCAACTTCAGATCCCTGTGCACTTTGGATACACAGGCCTATGTTAATGCTAATGCGAAACAATGTTCAACAAATCTTTCTCTTCTCTCCTCCTGCTGTCCAGTATGAGGCATTCAAGCAAGAAGAGGAAGAGAAACTCAAGGATCAGCGACAGGACGTCTCGCCTGACGTCTACTTCATTAAGCAAACTATCGGAAACGCCTGTGGAACAATAGGGTTAATTCACGCAGTGGCAAACAACCAGGCACATCTGGACTTTGGTGAGTAGTTACTCTATTCACATCATACGGGACGGTAGGAAAAGATTCCTATGTTTACAACTCAATATGGTTGTATGGTTGCAGACTTGATTGTGTGAAGGTTAAATCTACAGTTAAATGACAATATGGCACTATTTGGGTTTTATTTTGAGAAATAATAAGTAGTGTTGATATAACGGCAAAACAGTTAGAGGTATTTATTGGTCACTTTATTGAGCTAGAATAGCTCAGACTTTGTTTTTAGACCAGGAAAAGATTACGTTTATCATAATAACCACAATACCTTACATAATATAATATTCTATCACAACATCTGTGTATTGATATATTATCCAGGTGAAAATCCAAAGCACATGTTCGCTAGCAGACACTTTTGTATTGGTTTTACTGTATGTTCCTCTCTCTCCTTAGAGCCTGATTCTGCTCTTAAGAAGTTTCTTGAACAAACCTCTAAAATGACCCCAGAGGAAAGGGCTGCCTTCCTGGAAAAAGATGAGGTAGGAAAACACCGAAGAGCAAATCTTTGCTCAAGGTTGGCACAATGAAGAGGTCAGAGATAGACACACGAGAAGAAGAATTACGCTTGTGGTTTTGGATTTGTTTGGCCTACTGTTCACAAAAGGGAACGGGGGGGAGTTGTGCTTCTTGGATATTTATCTTCAGTCAGTAAGTGAACAGATGACAAAATGATTTCCCCACACGTCACATGAGTTTAATCAGTATCTCGTAATCCTACTTCGTTGAATGATCTGTTTCCTAGTGACCCCTTTTACAATGTTGCAACACTAGGCCACAGACATTATCTAACAGAAAAATGTGAATATGTAACAGCTGCATAGATTGTTTTTTTGTTTTTTGTTTTTTTTGCCTTCCTAAGAACCCATGCAGCTGTTAAGCAAAAAATCTTAAAACGTTTAGGAGAAAATTACCATGAAGTATAATACAAGAACAACAGTTTTTCCTCCTTTTTGTTTCAGAGTATACGTGTTACACATGAGTCGAGTGCTCAAGAGGGACAGACTGAGGTTTGTATTGAGTTATAAATGATGTGTGTTGTCTGACATTGCAGAGATAACACCACACGTGCTCTCTTGAACTTTTACTGTTTATTACTCAACGTAAAGATGTGTTAACTCAATAGACCTTTGTGTTTATCTCTTGTCTGTTATAGGCTCCCAGCTTAGATGAGAAAGTGAATCTGCATTTTATAGCTTTCGTGAATGTCGGAGGACAGTTATATGAACTGGGTGAGTTAACCACAATTTAAGTATCCTCATATATAGAAAATATTTAGTTGTTATTTGTCATGTTGGTGGTGACAGAGTTTAAATGCCATTGTAATATTAACACATTGAAAACTCCTGATGAAGTGTCTTTTTGTTATACCTAGATGGCCGGAAGCCTTTCCCTATTCTTCACAGAAAAACTTCAGAAGATACTTTCCTCGAGGTACGACGTCACAGAATAAAACCTACATATCACGTCAAGATATCTGCTTAAGTGGAGTTGCAATTCATCATTTTCCTCTTGTGTTCAATTGCACTGCAGGATGCTGTAGAGGTTTGTAAGATCTTCATGGCTCGCGACCCTCAAGAAGTCCGTTTCACCATCATTGCCCTCTCCAAAGATTCATACTGAGGAACCTCCCTTGTGACCTGAGAAAACAAAGAAAAGATTACTGCCAAACATTCTCAAGTGCTGACTTCAGTGGAAAATTAGATTTCTTTTTTCAAAATACCTTAGCAAGTGATGTGGGGAAAATCATAAAATGTCAGGGATGTCATTCTAAAGTAATGTTATACATCACTTGTTACGCGTTAGATGAAATTGCAAGGGAATGCTGCTGTGCAACTAAAAGTAATTCTTGCTAAGATTAAAATCTTCCAGTTCGTCACTGCTGAAACATCTCTAACTATAATACAGATATCAGCTGTACTGCATTGACACTGCACTAAAGTGTTACATGGCGTGTTTGGCTTTCAATTGCGAAGGAAAATTTAACACATTTTTCATGTAACGGAGGGAACTCCTCTCACTTCTTTTTTTTTTTTTTTTTTTTTTTTTTTTTTAATTTTAATTTTTATTCTGGGTTCAGTGATAGATACCGTATGTAGTGATTTGCTTTTGATCATATGTCTAACACATGGTCAAAACCAGCTGAAGAAACATGTTTTGCAAGGCTTTAATTTCAGTCATGGCTTTGAAAAAGCAGATAGGCCTAATGCTATTTTGCGGTATGCAGTAATGGTGTTATAAAAGAGGTTATCAAAAAAGACAAACATGCAGACTTTGTGGAAGGTGCCTACATTTTTGTAATCAGAATTAGAAATTCTGTCAAATAAAATGCAAATTTATTAAACATTTCTTTCATGGATCTTTTCTGTGACACAAACATCTCAAAACTATGATATTGACAGGTTTATGGTCAGAGCTATGTAACTGGAACAGACATACCAGGCCTGTCGGAGCCTGAAGACATTTTTAAAAATATTCTGGTGCACTGGTGTAAGTCCTAAGTGTGCAGCAGGCCTCTCCATTGGGAATACAGCGCAATATTATTGATCTTGAATCATCTATTGGTCCTTTGTGTGTTATTATTTGTTGTGATGTAGTTCATAATTGAGGCAAACCAACAGAAGTTCCCCTGTTGTTAAAGACTGCATTTACAATTTTAAGCCTCAGGAGCACATTGTCCTTTTATTCACATTTACTCATTTGGCAGATGCTTTTATACAAAGTGACTTACAAGTGAGGGACAACACCCAGGCTTCAGTGCAGTGGGAGACCTTGAAGTAAGTACTAAGTATTTGCAACTAAGTCTGTTCAATAAGAGTGCAAGGAAATCATGTAAAGAAGTTCACCGAAAGTGCACAGTAAGTGCTAGTTAGGCAGCGTAGATACTTGACCAGGCAGCTCAAATACTGGGGTTTGTAAACTTCACTCCTTGGACTCCTGCACTTGGAGCAGTTTACTCTTTGTGGACATTTGTGTAGCGGTCAGAACAACAAGACTCCTCCTACTGCACATTGACAGATACTCATTTACCTTTTATGTGTTAAATTTTGTTCTGATGGTGAACTGGTTCTAATTAAGGCTGACGAGGATGTAGTACTCTCAGTTGTTTTTGTCTGCAATCTCATCCCTGTAGTTGTTGGAATAAGGAAGACGTGATGAGAGGGAGAGGACATACCAGTTTCTCCATCACCACCAGCACATGGTGATACATCTCTTTCAAGATGATCTGGCTATTGTATAGTGAAATGCTTATTGATCCAAATTACACTGAATGAAAAACTGAAAATGAGTTACACAACACGCTGAGAAAAAGCTTTTCAGCCAGGTAGACCCATAAACCATGATTTTCTTTTTCATTTTCAGATTATTCACCCCCATCAAACACCAAGAGAAGGGCTGATATTTACAAACTGATCGTGATTTGAGTCTAATCCAAGCCAACCATGTGTGTGCAGCACCAAAGATGGACTCTGTTTAATTAAGTCAAAGTAGAAAGATTAGAAAATATACTCCATTCCAAGAAAATGTCCTAGATTCAAAATTGTACTTGAAGAAGTACAAGTCAGATTGTTGCTCAGGCCCTCCGCTGCGCCCTGACCACCGCTGGGCGGCGCTGCAGGAAAGAGGTTTTGTCTTAAGAGGAGAGACGAACTCCTTCAAGTAGAGGAGTTTGCCCAGAGACTCAGGAACTTCTTGACATTTATCTGTGAAGTTATCATCAGACCGCAGATTCCAATCTGTGTATGTATTACAGTGAGGAGTTGAACTGCAGTCCGAGAATACTGAGTTGCTGCTTATTATTCGGTGTAGAATTTCACTATTGTGCATCTCGCCTACTGTTCGGGGGCAGCAGTGAAAACCTGGACTCAAGCGTTATCTTCCCAGAGAGGAGAAATAACAGTGAACCTCACAGCTTGTGTTCACCTGGAAGCCTCTCAAGGAACCCGTGGGTGGTCCCCGGACTTTACTTCTTTTCTTTTTTCTTTTTTCTTTTTTCTTTTTTTTTTTGGAAAACCCTCCCAACTCAACGCGGCTTAAACTTCATGAAAAAAAAAGAAGAAAGAAATCTCTCTCCTGTCAGTGCCAACCCAGCAGACGAGGTGAGCCCCGGGGTTTTCCCGACTTTGAAGAGTCGTCGCTGCGTAAAGGTGAAGCAGGACGCAGCGGAGAGTGAGAAAAACACAAACCGCAGGTGTGTCGGATGAAAGAACAGGTAAGCGTCGCGCTGCGAGATGATGAGAAAAGGGGGGAATGCGTTGCTGTTACACCTTGCATTCATTCCTTGATGAGCCGATTGAAGTGAACAATAGGGAGGCATATTTCATGAATGAGGAGTATGATTACGAGTTCACCTGCGCTCTACCTGGCCGCTTGACCAGTTTTAAGTGCGTCCCATTGTATGTGTGTGTCTGCTTGTTTGTAAATGGCTCTCATTTGTGTCATCGGGCCATTAGGAACCGATCTGGCCCGACGGTGCAGCTCCGATAATAATACGCTTCTGTGATGGAGTGGCGTGAACAGTCCTGCGTCAGCTGCGACGAAGCCTACTTGGAGGCGCAGAGGTGGATTGAGGTGAGTAAAAAAAAAAAAAAACAGCATAAACAAAAATAAAAAAAAAACTATCTGACGTGATTCTTTACTATTACTAACCACACTGGAAATAATATGCAACTAGTATAGCTGGTGATCACCATATGGCAATTAAGAAAAGTTGTTTTTTGTGCTGCTGTTTCTTTTATTTTTGAAGTTTTTCTTTATCCACATGTATGATGAGTATTTGGCTAATGTGAGTTTACATAAGAAACACTGATGTCAACCCTGAAAAGAGTGGCTGAAGTTGTATGTTTTTTACCTGATTACATCCCCGATTGAGAGGTATGTTACTGAAGTTTATGGCTGAAAGCTGATCAGGTTCCTCAGCTGCTTGCCCCCAAGCGCCAGATAGTAGCAGTCTCTACAAACGGATGTATGGAGGCATGTTTCACCCTTAACCTCACGTCTCAGATAACTGGTGAGATCAATCTTTACTTGTAGACACTAGAAATCTCTTGGCTGCTCCCTCTCTCTCTCTCTCTCTCTCTCCAGAATACAGATAGGCTACATGGCGACGACCCCTGTTCATCATCATTGTTTGCGTGCTCCTTTCATTGTTAGATCTTGCCTAGACCTGCTCTTTTTCTTTTTAAATGTTCCTGAGGCTTTGAGGCTCCAAATATCAGCAAAGCATTTTAGAGAAACTTCTATGAGTGACCTGAGCTGTTGTCCCGCTCACCTGTTGTCAGTACAGATCTACCCTCATCCATAATATGACTGAGTTTCTGGGTTTATACATAGTTTATGACAAATAAATGAATAAAATGTTTGCTGTTTTATACAGTATGTCAGTGATGAATCAAAAGCTAAAAAAGCAGTCACACACTCTGGCACATATGATGTTTTTATTGATAATTTCTGTGAATTTGTGCAAGTGATTCCTGTTCTGAGGCTGAAGTTATTTTTATGGTCATAATGTTCCCCCTTTTCTAATGCAAAAGTCAAAATGCAAAATAGCTACCACCACAGAAAACCCATTACTATCTAACCACCAGCTCTTTCAGTAAGTCTCTTTTTATTTCTAGTATGTCAGATTATCGTATATTTCCATCCAACCTCCAGTCAGACTCTAATTCTTTCTTTTCTCTGTACAATTTTCTTTTCTCTGTAAAATTATGCCTCCTCATCTCGCAAATTCTCTTCCCAGCAGGGTGGTGTGGGGCTGCTGCATGGCTGTAACTAAACAAATATTGTTCTAATTTCATGAGGGGTGAATCTGAATGCTTTCGATGTGACATCAGTGTCTCTCACACTCGCACACTGGCCCATTGTAGTGGCTCAGCTCGTGGACTGTGGTGGGGGCATGATCTCAGGCAGGGGCAGGAAGATTAGGGAGAGTGCGCAGAGAGCTGAACAGGTGAAGGTACAGAATATGGACGTGGAGCTGTCGCATTAACAGTAAACGTATGAGAAGTCTTTGCTACAGAGGAAATACAAGAGCAATCAGAGACCAAGTTCTGGCACGAGGCGAACGGTTTCCCTTCAAAGAGAAAGTTTTGTGGATTCTGCCACTGAATGATTAACAAGCTGCTTGGCTTCACAGCACTTTAAACAGAGGCATGTGTGCATGGCAAGGTTGGCGGTGTTGTTAAAAAACTAGACTAAATGGTCTGGAGCCTGTCACATGGACACATTCCTGCATTAGCTGCCATGGCTGTGAACATAGCCCCCTCGGAGCTGGCCGCTTGTCAGCACAGGGCGCTGCGTCCTACGACTACAGGGCCTGGTGGAATAATAGAGGTCCTTGTTAATTGAATAGAAAGGCTTCAAGTGTGACTGTTATGACAATCAAGAACAAGTGGCAGTGTTTATGCAACTTGCAGGGTCACAAAGATCATGTATATGGCTGTCTGTAAACACAAACACAGTCTGTTATGAATAATAATGAAGTTAGTTTGCAATTAGTTATATAATACGTACTTATTTATTAGATTCTGATAAGTCTGTGACAGTGCTCCATACGGTTTCACTGATGGTATTTCGGGTAACAGTGTCAGACACATCATACCAGTTTTTCTGTTTTGGTTACGATGGGCAAGAATAAGGTGTTGCCCAGAATACTTAGAATACCTCTTAAAACAGGTTTTAGGCAGAGCTGCACTTCAGCCATTGGTCTGGGTGAAGGCCGTGTAACAACACAGGCTGTCGTCTGTATAAGATGTCAGCTCCAGTTTTGATTTTCCTCCCCTGTGTTTGTGTGTCGGCCAGTTGAAAAGGGCGATATTGTGTTCCTCACATATTATGGAACAACGCAGCCAATCACAGGTAACACAATCCTGTGTGTGTCTGTTGTTTGTAACACTGAACCAACTCTGTGATTCCTTCTGGTTTTTTGTGTATCCTGTTCCTGAAACATAATAACATGATACCACATTTAACTGATACTGCACATGTTTGCATTTAGGGCTGCAGGTAACAGTTATGTTCAATATTGATTAATCTATCGATTATTTTCTAAGAATTGTTTTCAGAAAATACAAAAAAAAGCCCATTTTAATATCTCAGACCGAAGTGACATCTTCAAATGGTTTTGTTTTGTTCAACCAGCAGTCCAAAACACAAAGATATTCAATTTACAATGATATAAAACAGAGCAAAGCAACAAGTCTACATCACAAAAAGTTTTTAGAATTTCAAAACATATTTAAATATATGTTCAGTCCTCTGATCTCCACAAATCCCCTTCACCTCCATTGAAGAAAATAATCTCATAGATGAATATCTCAAAACCTCAAAATAAAACTAAAACCATCTGCATGGCTAGACGCCACGAGGGGTAAGCGAGAAAATATACTTTTTTTTGTCACTTCAGTTAAATTTGATTAAAGCTGTAAAAAAACACAAAATGGATATTTCCATCCATGACCAAAGCCTTTTTTTTCCCCCCTTAAATTTCCCTCTCTTCCATTGAGTAACTTGCGGTGGTCCTGCAGCCGTGCCAACAGCACTCATGACGTGCTTTCCCTGACCTATGTTACAGTGTTGTTTTTCATACCAGGAGCTGTGTGCCTGGGCCAATCATTAGTCACCTCACTGTAACACCGTTCAGGGATTTTTTTTGACTGTTTTCATAGAGAGCAATTAGAAACCGGGCCTCATGCATTCGGACATACTCACGGGAAGCAGGACCTCACACAAGAAACCGTTCAGTTACAGTTACATGTCAGTGTAGTTCTATTTTTCCGATACGTTGATGGTGTCGGTACTAATGGCTTCCGTAGTGGTATATTTGTCTTGAGTCAGAACCCTGAAATATTTGGATAATGTCCGCGTTGCCCTCCGATGATTTAGGAACAATTAAATTGGGGGGGGGGGCTGTATCTGCACAAACCTTGAATACTGATTTGCCTCAGTGCCCGGCATGAATAAACAATAGCTGTGGTCATGGACCCAAAGAGACTCCTCAATTCCTCCGATTATTTGTCTTCTACCAAGACCCCATTCTTGGTTCACTGCAATAATAATAATTAATTTCACACATGTACCAGAACACTCTAAGAACCCATAATGAACTCTGGGCACCACCATTAATGTGTGTGTGTGTATGTGTGTGTGTGTGTGTGTGTGGGGGGGGGGAGGTTATCATGAGACTCAGTTCCTCATCACGTTCAGCAGCACATTCTTGAGGGGAGCGAGGGTGGGTTCGCAGGAAGGCAAGCTGTTTTTGAAATCTCTGCTCCTGCCTGCCTTAAATCTCCCTCTTAAATCAGAGCAGCAGTATGTTGCTGCAGATTAGAGTTGTTATCCCACATGGCAGGTTCAACAGGAGAGAGAGAGAGCGAGAGAGAGAGAGAGAGAGAGAGAGAGAAAGGGGGCACAGCAGGCTGGATCTGAGGGGAGTTAATACCTCTAATGTTGAGGATAGAGAGGAGAAAAGTATTCTGTTACAGCCGGCTTAGTGCCAGGGTGGGTCCCAACTTACACACTTGGACAAGGAGATAATATCTTAATTAACCCATTCACTCTGTTTGGCTGACGTCACTTCAATTAGTGTGAAGGAAAAAAAAAAAAAGATGTCAAAGCAACAAATGCCTTTTTCGTAAGAGAGAAACTCATTGTGTCCTGTTCCACCTGTATGGTTTGTTTGCGTGTGTGTGAATCGCAGCTGCTGCCCCCGCGTGCATAGAACAGTAGGGGTCAGGATTTCATATGCCAACTGCAGTGCCTGACTGACAATACACTGTACTGTAAAGCCTGTTTGCTCTGTGTGAGAGTGTGTGTGTGTGTGTGTGTGTGTGTGTGTGTTTGTGCTGAGCTTTGCGTGTCTGTGTGTATTCCTGTTTTGTGTTTTTTCGGTGTCTGGTTATGATTGTATTTTTGGTAAGGAAGGAGGAGTAGGTCAAGATCTTGGTATGTTTTGTAAAGAAAAACAAATATTTCCCAACAATAGCTCGATTACATTGCGCATTGTACCGAAAGACTGACAACTGTTGTGTCAAGGCTTTAATCTTATTCATGTATTACAACATGGTGTAATTCTCTTGGCATGATGGGTATTTGAGGCCGTGCCCATCTCAGGTTACTCAGGGTGTGCTGTGAGGTGTACTTTGAAAATAATGATAGTGTCTTCCCCTCAATCTTTCCTATTGCTCCAGTTTCTCCTGTCCTCTTTAAAAGTGACGGGTTGTACTCAGCTATGTCAGCAATTGTCCCAGCTTTTGTGCCTTTTCCCCTGAAAGGAAAAGGCACAAAAGCCCTGAACCAAGTAGCATTTGACCAATTTGGTTGGCACAACCTGTCCAACTCGTTTTGCTTTGTTTACGTGCATGCGTGCGTGCGTGCGTGCGTGCGTGCGTGCGTGCGTGCGTGCGTGCGTGCGTGCGTGCGTGCGTGCGTGCATGCGTGCATGTGTGTGTGTCTGTGTGTGTTACATATTATCAAATCTCTACTCTACCTTTGTTTTGAGTTTCATCATCTGTTACAGAACTTATTCTGCAACAACAAAAGTCAGGCTGCCAGTGTGATTACAACCTCTGCAGAGGACGTCCCGTTTTCAGCCCAGTTTGTTTGTTTGACTGTTAGTGGATAGTTTAGCAGGATATCTCAAAAACTGATTGACATCAAATATTTTGGGGGAGTCGGGGCTGTGGGCCAAGAGACAAGTCAACAGTGTTTGGTAAAGATCCAGATCCAGGATTTTTTTTAAAAGTTTTCTAGACACTGCAGGATGAGACATTTAGGAACTTTTTTTTTAATATTTACTCATAAACTACTCCACTTACTATGCAGAAATCATGTATGTCCATCCATAATTATCTATAATTATGTATTTTGATGCTCAATCAGATGCACAACTTGTGACATTCCGTAAAATCAGAAATATAAAGGATTGTTCAGAGCTGATAGCAGCACACTGTACTCTAATCGTTGCCTAATGTAGCCATGTGCGCTGGATTCAGTAGCTCAGGCGCTGATTGGTCAAGAAGTTGATGGTGGAAACATTCCAACAAAACACAACAGGAAGCTCTCTTAAGGACGGCCCATCAGCATGAATTTGATATCCCACAACAAAGGTGCAGTTTCACATGAAAACAAAAGACAACCCTATTATTGCCTTTTAGTGGAAATACAGGTTGTATATGTAAATAAACGGATACAGATTGTAGATGTTAAAATGTACAGACAAGTGTTATGTTCACAATCAAAGATATTGTTTAAATTTGTGTGCGCACTGTATATATGTGTGTGTTTAAGTGTGTACAGCTGCACGTCATGCATGCAGTGTTTGTATGTTTGCCTGCATAATGGCTCTTGGTGTTCCTGCAGTGGTGGTTTGAGATCATGGGAAAGGCATGAGGCTATAACACAGCGCTGTGTTCCTCCAGCACTCCAGATGCTACCATAGCCTTGCGGCTTGGGCAGCCTGGCTCCAGCACAGTTTTAGCACAGCCCTCCTGTGTACCAGCGGCTTTTAGCGTTAAAGTGAGAAGAACCCGAAGCCGATCCTGAGGAATACCTGAAGGGTTGTGCTCAACTCTGTTCCAGAGACACCGTAGGAACTCAGGAGGAAATACCTCTTACTTCCTCTTCTACTGTTCTCAACATCCTACCTTTCTTCTCCAGCCTCCCAACCACACCACACGCACACAAACCCCCGCCTCCTCTCCTCACCCAGCCCTCCTTGCCATTTTGCTCACTGTTTTTGTATCCCTTTCTTTCCAGGCAGTAACCAAGAAAAAATTTGGGAACAACGACTTCCGATCAGCGCTGGAGAATGGCGTTCTGCTGTGTGAGTAAGTACCCTGCTTTTCCCAGGCACCTCTCTTAAGCCACTCATTCATACGGAAGCCCTCTGCTCTCCTCCAGGTCTGCGCTCCAATGTAAGTGTCACTGATATTTCCCAGGCAGACCCCCTGCCGGGTCACTGTTTGTTTGTTTCAGCCATACAAAGTGAGCCAGTGTTTCAAGACAGCACAATAGAGGCTGTATTATGTAGCTGTTTTGATATTTCCAGTGTCAGATCTGCCCTCTGTGATCTTGTTTGAGAATATAAAGTGTGATCTATTTCAAGAGGAGTTGTGCTGTCTGTTTGACAGATGTTACAAATCTGTGGACAGGCAGATTACCATCTTCACTTTAATGAGAGCTGTGAAAAACCGTGTAGTGAATGGAAATCTTCCAGCTGAAACCACATCGGAGAGCCAGGGCACCCTGCTTTCTCATTAGCCTGGGTGCATCAAGAGTCTTGATGAGTTAGAGAAACAAATTTATCTTTGCAGCGCTGGCTTTCTCATTGATTCACCAACTGCTCTTCTAAGAGTTGTGGTGTTGTGGCTTTTCTCAGATCAGGGATGTGTGTGTATGTGTGAGAAAGAAGGTTAGCATCATGTCCCTTTATACATTTGTATGTGGGCAGCAGTGTTAGATGGACACAGTGATGTGATTTGCACGAATCAGCAGGAAGCTGTAATTACCAGCAGCCCATGGAGAATCTTCCAAACCTCTATTGGCAATGGTTCAGAGAAGAAGCCCCTCATTCTACTGATTTGAGCCTGACTCCACTCTTTGCTCTCTCTCTCTCTCTCTCTCTTTCTCCATCCCTCTCCCTCTCTCTCTCTCTCTCTCTCTCTTTCTCTCTGAGAACAACAGAGACACTTTCATTCAGAGAGCTGTTCATGTTTTCTCAGCATGAGGAAGAGGAAAACAGAGATTACATCGCTTTCACCTCAACAATCCGCTTCCATTCCCATTGTGTTGTGGTTAACTTATCACAACTATTTGGCAAGGAATTTGGCGTGGGACGCGCACTTGATTATATCCCACTTAGCTTGCAGTGTATATTATATTATGATATTATTACAGCTTTCTGTTGTTTCACTGCTGAATGACTAACTTGAACCCAAATGCCTTTTTGCATTCTTTCTTCACATGTCCTGCTAGCCTGTGCAGTCTTATGTCCTCCACCACCCCCAACCCCCTCCACCCTCCACCCTCTGTCTGCTGAGACAGCTGCACAAAACACTTGCCTTAACAAATTATTTAGCCTCAAAATAAGCAAAGGGTGCTACAGTTGCACTTCTTTTCTACTTGACAGATTATGATTTTTATGTATAAAACATATGTAAAACATATATCAACTTGTACTGTATTTTGCATTGTTATTCAGTAGATTTAACCAGCCAGCGGCACATAAAGTAGTCCCATTACCTCCACCTTGACCAGGTACATCATTACATGTTAGTGCATCTGTAATAGCAACCACATAATATATGTCATAGGTCATAATATAACATGGTGGATGGAGCTAATCAGCATGAGTCATTTTAATGCTTTGAATTAGAGCTGAAAGTCGATGAATCTATTAGTTGATCTACAGAAAATAAATTGGCAGTTATTTTGATAATCAATAAATCAATAATTTTTCAAGCAAAAATTCTTTTGAAAATACATTTGATTGTTTCAGCTTCTGACATGGGAGAAATTGCTACATTATAGTAAATTGAATATCTTTAGGTTTTTGATGGCATCTGGAGCTCTAGAAAATTGAGACTTTTTTTATTTTTATTTTATACTCCAAGAAAATAATCAGCAAATAAATCAATAATAAAACTAAGAATTAGTTGCAGCCTTATACTGAGGCTATTTTGCTGCTAATTCATTTATAATTTTACTTATGAGTGTTATACTTGTACCTGTAGCAGATCATCTTTTTTGGTGTGGTATTACTCTTACTTTAGTAAAAGATCTGTGTCTTTACTTTATTTATTTATTTTTTTGTTTTTGGTATTATTATGGAAATTTAGGATTTTTTTTCTTCTTCGTCCTAAGAATCCCTTTCAATATCCTTCTGAATGAAATCAAAAATGCATTGTCATCTATTAGAAATCATGACATTTTTTCTGAGCATATACAGTATGTGGCGATTCAAGGTTTGTTTGGGGTAGTTTCAGTAGAGGAGGGTGTATTTTAGGAGCAGAGGACTCCGTCTGTTTACATCATGGTGCAGCACTGGCCATTTACTAAACTGAAACCAGGTGGCCACCATTAAACCGAGTCATAAACACACAACACAGAGGCTTTGCAACACTTTTTGTTCGTTCCTTGCTAGTTAGACCTGTCTAGCCAATGACCAAGTGCTTTCACTTACCCCCTTCCTTTCCCTGATGTCCTGTCTCTTTTTTCTGCTCACAGTCTGATCAACAAGATCAAGCCTGGTATTATAAAGAGGGTTAACAGGCTGCCCACACCTATTGCTGGCCTGGTAAGTTGACTTTTTTTTTTTAATTAAGCCTTAATGTCAGACATAGGACATTGCATGTACATGTAGTTTAAAAGGTATCTTAACACATAGCCTCAACAGCTTATCCTAGTTTTCTCTGTGCACAGTTTTCTCTCTTATCACCGTTGCGTTCATGTTCAGGTAACGTCTGTAGTGGAGCAGGTGTGTGAAAGAGCAAGCAGAGAAAGATGCAGCAGTTGAGCTGACGGGTGACAGGTCTGAGACACAGCTGCCAGTGAGAGAGAGGTGTTTGCTTCAGTGGCTTGTCGTGCCTCATATCCATCCACACTAATAAGTTCAGTGAACGTGGAGCGGCTTGAAAGGCCACTGGCGGCATTTGAGCGCACCAGAAATATAATGTCTGCTTTGCTTGAGGCTGCGTTCAATCAAAGGTATTTAGAACAAAAAGTCTTTGTACTGGTATGATAATTAGGTTTCTGATTGAGTGATGGGAAGTCAGAAGAGTTTGGTTGATTTCAATGTTATTGAATCAAGTTTTTTTTTTACCTTTCCATGCCTGGCACTATCTCCAACTTTAAGCAGCTTGTGGCCCAGCCATTTGGGGCCACAGTGACTCAGTTGAAATAAATGTTTTGGGAGTGTCAACATACAAGTTCTCGGGAAGTAAAGGGTTGAAAACCCTACCTTAAACCCATCCCTCACAAAGCTCTCTCTTGTGGGAGTAATTGAGTCCAGCTGTCTGGAGGAATTATAGAGAACCCCAACCCTAACCCAGGGAGTGTGTGTCGGTGGGATCAGTAACACTCAACATGTTTGGAAAGACAATGACAAAGTTGGCGGTAGGAGAAACAGGCTGGCACTTAGGCTATATGTAAACAGTAAACATAGTATTTGCAGTGCAAAACACTGTACCATCATATCTGTGTTATGACATAAATCAAATTTCCTGCCAGTTTGTTTTGGACTGTTGGTAATATAACAGTCTGGGCACCTGCTGAGGTAATGAGGTAAAGTATCTCCTACATCAGTAGCACTGGTGTGGTATTTCCAAGACTTGGACACAAACTTTAAACCACTTGATCATAAATTCTCCCGCAAATGTGAAGGCTCCTGGTTGGCCTGTGGCTATCAGTTTCTGCCAACCACATGGAGAGAAGTGGAGAGCTCTCCAAACAAACCTAGCTCACTCTCGCTGTGCTGTGAGAATAGCTTTTCTCCCAAAGTAGTCAAGTAGTGCTGTTAAGATTGCTCGGTCCTCTGTGTCTCATCTCTATAAATACAGATGACCTGGGGAATGAGGGATTTAGCTGTGTTTTCTGAAACGTAATTCAACCATTTAATGTATATGTTTAGACATTTGTCAGCACATGATGCAGATTACTACATAGGGGCAATCTTATTGTATGCTACTTGTCTGCACTGGGGGTTGTCCGAGAAGAACAGAACTGGAAAAATTCTACTCTCCTAGTATCCGAATTTTCAAAAAGGCACAGGGAAGGAAAATGCAGTGGAGAAAAAAAAAAAGAAAAGCAAAATACAGAATGACTTTAATCACTGCTGAATGAAAGGGTCCTTGCAAACACGGCTCATTAACACTCAGATATGAACATTTTCTCCCTCACCACTGTCGTTTTTGTTTTGCTATCTGAAAGATTTCAGCACTCCAAATCCATACCAGGCTTCAGCTCCAGCAGAATAAAAAGCCCAGTGAGGGAAAAGAGGAAAAAAAAAACGGAAATCTGGTTTTGCGGAATATTTAGCAACATTGGCTCCAGATCCAGGGCCTATTCTTTGGCTTCACTTGTGTCCAAGGGAATGTTTCCCATGTCAGCACACTTCTCTGCCCGTTGTTGATCACTCTGTGAGCTGTGGGTTTCAGTCATGGCAACCTGGTTCGGTCCTGGTTCTGCTTTTAACCAGTGCTGGGCAGGAAGCCGGTACATAAGCTGGAGGGCTACAGTTGAGGCCCACTGGGCTTAAGCCAGAGCGACAGAGTTAAAGGTTACTCCATCTGCCTCTGCCCACTGTAAATACACTGTAATTGAGATGGTGCTGGACGTTCCCACATATACCAACTCCTTGGTGAGTTGAGGTAGCAGTGGGAGGAGATAAATAGCTTCAATGACCCTGAGGAGTCTTTACTCACCTAAATGTCTGTGTAATCATCTGTGCAATGACAGGCATTTTACCATGTTTTGTTACTGTGTTTGTGTTGTATGGGTGCATGTTATGACTGGATCTGACTGTCAGGACGGGAGGGTCCTTTACTGGGCCTGTTTCAGGGGAGGCAACATTTCAAGTATTCCATCTCTTCTCAGTTTATTGTGACAGGATTTGAAAATGTGTAGCCTGATATTTTAACCATAGCTTTGCTTGGTGCTAGGGGTCAGTTGAGGGTAATTGTAGAGTATGCCTATCTTAGACAAAGAATGCGGTGGAAGAAATAGAGTGACCACAATGCGACCAGTAAGAACGAAGATCCTTTTATATCAAATCAGTCACCTTGAGTAAGATGAGTAAGATCTTTCCGCTTCTTGGTGTTAAGTGCTTTAATCGGGGTCCTCAAGTCTGCATGAGAGGATTAGAGACTGCTGGATGGGTACAGCATATTTAGCAGGATTATGTGCAGGCACAAGTCAGCATAACATTCTTTCAACATCATTATCTCTGCATGTTCAGGGACTGACTGTTGGGGGGGCTTTTAGTTAGTTCGTAATGCTCTTTGAGGTGAAATGACATTCATAACCAAGTGATATTAATTATCCTTTTATATTTGGTTTTATTACATTGGCTCAAGGTGAGGTTTTGCTTTACAAGGAGAAACCCAGGGCCTTATGTGGGAAATGCTTCTTGAGATAATCATCTACATATCGTCAACAAAGCTCCACAGTCTTTTATGGATCGCATCTGTTAGAAGATTGAAAGCGTATCTAGATCTGGATCAATGAATCTACCGGGCTGATATATTAGCTGATGTTATCTCATTGCAGATATGTTGGTGTCACCGTATATGTTGGTTGAGCAAGTAGCGAGAACCTACTTTACAAAGATACCAACAATTTCGTATAAAGGAACTATTTGTAAGTTTTGCCATTGCTGCATAGCCAACGTTAGCATTAACAGCTTTTTACTTACCAGTCTAGAAGAAATGTTTAGCATCAAACTTCCTTCATGTACTTGTCAAGTGCTGTCTCCAGCTGTGTTAACTTGTTTTGCTTCTATTTCTATCACTTCTTTTCTTCCACTGAAGTTGGCATGCTAGCCAGCTAGCCCTGGTCCAGCTGGACCATCTTAGCACTTTCCGATACCGAGTCACTGTAGCTTCCAGTCTGCCTTGAAGAAATAGTGCTGCTCAGAGGGCATATTATAACCTCTTGTATTGTAAATGCAACAGTGGCTGAAGCTCTTGGCAAGACTGGTAAGAAAACAGCTGGCTATATAGCAATAGCAAAACTTACAAGTAGTTCCTTTAAAGCAACAATTGCATAGTTTGTCAAGCAGCCGTGTCAGTCTATAATCATATCTAACATGCAGAGTACTTGCACTTAAAGACATGTAATGTTGTTACTGCTGTCTTATTAATTAACTGCCCTCAGCATGTTAATTAATGGTAAGGCCAGGAAGGTAAGATGTCATATAAGCAGCAGTCGTATATACTTTGATATTTCTGACTGTACATGCTGTACTCATTCAATAAGTAGGTCAGAAATTCAGTGTCACTGTAAAATGTAGGCTACACATGAACTATGATGAGAGGGAAGTTCTCACTTTCTTTTAATTTGCAATGTAATTAAGTCAGTTGCTCAGTACTGTTCTGTTTCAGTCTGGAAGAGTACATTATCATTGTTTATTACCAAGACAAAGCACGAGATGAGAAACTCCTTACTGTAATGAATAAACAGCGACCCCCGTTGCCTCCATGTAAAGGAAGGGGTGTTTGATCCTTGACCTGTGGGGGCCCACAGTGACCTGTAGGGCCCTTCAAAGTGCTGTCAAGGGACAAGCAAAGCTGTCAGCAAGAGAAGCCTGCACTGAGAGGTCAGCTCTCTCCTACCATTTGCTAATAAGCATGTTTGCCATTTAAATTTAGAACAAGCTACCCCTTAATCATTCCAGCCCATGTTGAAACCATGTGTCATTACATGAAACCCTCTTAAGCAATGCTGTCCCAATGGGAAGTGCAGACTTATAAACAAGACTGACGGGATTACAACTGGAAAAGTCATAACCCCAGAGAGGAATGGTGCTACTGTGGTTAAGATTTGTTTGAAATGCATGAGATGTGTGTATATTCATAGAGCAACATGTATTTTTGCTATCTTACACTACACTTTCAGATCTGCATGAATCATGTGCACATACAGTATACTGTATATACTGTATATATATATATTTTTTAATCTGATATTAAATAAGGAGGAAGGAGAATGAGAAACCGTCCTTCCACTCCCATGTCCTCGTGAGTTGCCTCCGGGAAATATTTGTCAGTTTCAATCACACGACCTCATGTTTCATAGCAACCAAATGTCTCCAAAATACTCCACCACCCCACAGATTCCACAGGTATTCTCGAGTAAAGGGCTTGGCAGGGAGGGGAGGGGACAGTTTCAGGGTGTGAGAAGAAGAGGACGACAGCAGGCAATGTGCTCCTGTGTGTGTCAGCTTTGCACTCGCATGGCCGGTTGGGTGGAACTTGTGCAAAGCTCTGATGTCATCCTTCCTGGTTTTGGCTTTGTCCCCACCCTTACCCAGCCCACAGGTAGCTTTGCTGCTGTCAGTCAGCTCCTGTCACGCAGCCGCTCCCCCCCTGCATGTGTGTTTGTGTGTGTTCTGCACTGGGTCACTACTGACTTGCTCCACACATGCTCCTCCCCATCCGTCTCTATTCTCTGGTGATATGAACTTTGGAAGCAATGAGTTGTAGGCTGTGTCCTTGCCAGAGAATTCTTCAGTGATTATTCTTTGCCTCTGAAGGTGGACAACCCTCATCCTTGCTCTGTTCTTTGTCCAGGACAACCTTAACGTCTTCCTCAAGGCCTGCGGGAAGCTCGGACTAAAAGAAGCACAGCTCTTTCACCCCGGAGATCTTCAGGATTTATCCACAAGAGTTACAGTCAAGTAAGTATCTTTTGAGCCTTGTAAACTGTTGGTACTAACACTGTGATACCATCCTTGCCGTTCACAGAGATGAGGTCTTCTGACACCAACTCATAACCATCCTCTTAAGTTTCTATTTTAGCTTCCATTCTTTTGCGCAGTAAGGATGAATGTTTCACACTGTTCAGTATTTCAGGGCACATGTCTCCTCATGTCAGGCATGATTCAAGTTAACTGCAGAGGTGTTAAAAGAGGTCGGCACTATTTTCAGGGTGGATGTATGCTCTGAGCACCTGTTGAAGCACGGCACTGCGTGTTTGTAATATGATGGAGGGAACAATGGATGAAACACCACAAGTCAGCAGAGCGAAGGAGGATGTCTAGATTCGCCTACTGCCTGCGCAAGTTTAGCAAATTATCGCCTCAGTCACAAAAACAGCAGTGTTAGCGTTAGCAACGCAGGACAGACATTTCATGATGTGTTGTACACAGTATTTTTCAGTTTTAGATAGTTGGTCTTTTGTTAATTTCATCCCGGGCAGAGAGAAATGCGGTATGTCGAACAACCTGTTCAGTTTTTACACAAGTGTGCCTTCAGGAGGGAGCAGGGTAAGGCAGAGCACAGTCCATCCATAGTACCTGCAGGCTGTTAAACTAGGATTAGATCGGCACTGAATGGCAAATATGTCACAGTTGGTAAAACAATGCAAGGTGATTTCGTGAAGTTGTTGGCTTCTCAAAAACCTGCTCTTTCTCTCAGCTCTGTGTCACTTAGCGTTGTCAGTTTGGAGGTTTTTTTGATATGATGCCATGATCCACCCAAGACTCTGTCATTGATTCCTGTATCACTCTTAACAGTGATGTCGAAACCGCATTTGTCACAAAGACGGAGGCAGATGTACTGTACATGCCCCGGAATATGAACTAAATAAACAAATCTGCCCGTCTTTTATCAAAGACACACCTTCTCATACAGCAGATACAGCAATATTATTCACTGCATGTCTGATTCAGTGTCATAAATACAAAGATAATTCTTTTATGGGCCTTATGCCCTGTGTGTTTTCTTATACCGCAATATTTACAGTAATTGACATGTTTCGAAATGACATTCACAATGCGGGAAAAGGATACTTACAGTTATACGGCACAACCAAAACAAAAGTGAACTAAAACTAACTCTGAGACACAGTGTTATCAACTGACCTGAACTGTATTTCACCCTGTATTTTGAAACAATGTGTTTTCTGTGGATCACAGTCTTTTTTTGCATGAAATCTTTCAAACGTGTAATACTAAACCCCCATGCCCACTTTTCTGAGTATACCACAGCTCAGCTCTTTGACACCATGTCTGCCTGCGTGCGGGGGTTTGGTCAGAGGGGTCTCGCAGTCCTATTTTTAGGACCTGAGGGTGACTTTGACAAGCAGGATTGATTGGAATGGTATCAGGACTCATGGTGGAGGAGCTTTTAATAGTTTGTTGTCTCCGTCTAGTACATTCTCCCCCACCCCACCTAGTTGGTGTGTGTGCATGAGAAAGTTTGAGTGCGGTTATCGGCCGAGGTTGTGGATTTGTCACCATGTCTTATGTGGGGTTTGTGAAGGGATCGGTTCATTCAAAGGAGAAGACAGTGCAGTAAATAGTTTTTAGTGTCTTGGTTTGCTGCCGCAGCATGCTAATGCTCACCTCCTGCAGCTGCTCTCACTGTTGAGTGAGAGCAGCAATGACTCGGTCTTGATGAAATATATGGAGGACATCTTTAAGTCAGTCTTGTTTTTTGTTTTTTTTGAATGCAGCATATTTGCACTGGGCCAAGAGTTCTATTCACTAAAGACTTTGCACAAGATAAAGAAAAAGTAGAGGTATATGTGTTTATGGACACAATTATGTGGTTCCCCAGCTGCAGTATTTATGACTTATGCACAGAGAGAGAGATGGCACACAGAGAGTAACACGAGGAGATAATCCCAAACAAGGCTGCAGGCAACCAATGGAATTATTTCACTGTTGCTTATCAGACACTACGCAAATGAGCACAGCACACCACATGCACACACACAGAGTGAGAGAGAGAGAGCGAGAAAGTTGTTTCTATCAGCTGTCTTTGCCCCTGGTGTGTGTCCAACCATCCACTCCCTTAAACCCAGTCTGACAGGTGCTTTGCTCAGCTTCCCTGTTCTCCGTTTGCAGCAGCAATCAGGTTGTTATTCTGTTGCTTTCCACAACGACTGGTATTTGATTTTCCTGGCAAAACCCACACATACAGTTTCAAGCAATCATCATTTATTTTATGCCATCTCCTTGTCTTTTATGTACTTCTACTTCTACTTCTACTTTATTTGTATCATTTTTATTCAACTGTGATCATATATCTGTGTATGCCGAGCATTTGCTTCCCAAATCGGTTTGTACCTGCACTAACCTGAAGGAATGGTGCAAAACAATGAAAGTGTGACTTATTGATATTTAAAGTCAATCAGTCGTTGGCTGACAGAAAAAGAATCAGCAACTATTTTGATAATCAATTGATTGTTTAAGTCTGGTTCCAGCCTCTCAAATGTGAATATCTGCTTGTCTTCTGATAGTAGCCAAAATATCTTGATGATAGCAAAGGGGCAAATTTTCTGACTTTTTATGGACCAACTAAATGATATATTGATCAATAGAAAATAAATTTTAGCTGCAGCCCAAATGTTTTTAAGAAACTGATCCAACAGTGTTTCAGACTAAATTCAGGACTGCTGAATTTAGAAATGCTGAATTTCACACATTGATAGTTTGTATATTTCCAAGGCCAGTATCTTTCTCTTTGCTCTAAGCTGGAGTCAGATATTGGCTGTAGCAAAGTGTGCTGAGAGGACAGCCTAATTCACACTCGCTTGTGTTGTTCCGACAGCCATAAAAGATTATTGAATGTCTGTTCTGACCTTTGAGCTTTGCAGTCGTCGTTGTATTGGCCTCACCACCATCTGCAGTGCATAGTGCTCTATTGCCTTGTGTGTTGTGAAACCTGCTTTCTGATAAAGACGTTTATCAGCTGCAAACACGTTCAGTATCACATTTGTAATATCAATGACAAACTCTTGTGATAGAGATATACAAAGACTGTAGGTTGCTGGGTGATGTGCTCTAGAAGATTCCCTCACATCAACCATGTGTCAGTGAACTGTAACCAGGTGCAACCACAGTCCAAAAACCCAGAGGTGTAATAACGAGCAGACTGAATCTGATTCATCATCGGAGACTATGATTCACCGGCTACTTTAGACCAACTGTAGCAGCTGCCCAGGAAATGAGGGCACTAGAGTGCTGTGGATGAATCATGGCATCTAAAAATGTTCTATTTAACTTATCCACTTCGTTTAGATCCTCAAACTGCCATTTGGAAATTCAGCAGCGTGGACTCCAGGTTGGAGGACGACTATGACTCTAGAACACGCTAGATTTTCCCTAATGGCGCAAAATGTCAGCGGATTATTTGAGCTCTGCGTGTATTTTAACAAGTGCCATTCGTCACAGAGCTAACTCTTAAACAGGACATCTGGCTTTGCAGGTGGAAATTACAGAGCGTGGGACTAAGGATGCACCCGTCATTATCCTGCGCTGCTACACATTATGCTGTGACATTGTGCTTGCAAGGGAATTCTCATGCTTATTCCGCTTATTTCAGTGTGTGAGCTACATGAACCTCAGCCTTATGTTCCTCCTTACTAAGCATTATAGTAGGTTTAGAAGAATCACAGCAGATCATATCTGCACTCAAGGTATTCACACTTTACTTGAGTATATCCATTTTATACCCCACAACAGACAGATATTGTACATTTTACTCCACAACATTTATATGACAGCTGTAGTTACTTGTTACTTTGCCAGTAACATTTTACATACAAAACAAATCATCATCTTATAAAATATGATTCATGGCTACAACTTAAACAACCCACCACTAGCTATTAAACATTAAAACACTGCTTAAACGTTAATGTCAATTATAACAATCTAATGTACATCATTAGATTGTTACATGAAATCATAACCCTGATACTCAAAACGACTATAATCGATATTTTTCTAAAAACAATTTATCAAATACCAATTGTAAAAACAATGTAACAGTGTGAAAGGGGTCAGTTATTGCAGGTTTTCATTATATTTTATTGATAATACTTCTGTACTTTTACTTGAGTACATTTTGAACATTCATTACTTGTAATGAAGTACTTTTACACTGTAGTTTTACCGTTTTTAAATTTCTAAAGGAAAAAAGAAATCTATATATTTTTTTCTCATTGCACCATTGAGAATGTGTCCAGCGTTTGACCTCCACTAACTGACAGAACAAATCCCCCCACTGAGTTGAGTCCAAAGTCTCACTTGTTCCCGCCGTTTGATTGGGCAAATTATTGACAAGGGTAGACTACTCTCCGAGCTTAAAAAAAGAAACTGCCCGAGATCGGCATGTACATCCAAATTTTATTGTCCTTTAAGGAATGTCAGTGAGTCTTTCTACACAATGGAGAGAGAGGAGTGGCTATGTGGTATGATTACATGATTTGGATTATGCAATGGCATCTCTGGCTGCGGATCAAACCAAATGTTTGAACTTTTCTGAAGGAACAGACAAATTTGGAGAGACCACATGGCTCGTTATCAGAATTTATTCAACACCTACATATATTGTGCGTAACGTCTTGTGCATGTTGTCTGCATTCTCACGAGTTAATGCATGGGAAGACAAATGAAGTGCCCTCGTGTGTTAGTGTTCCGGGTGTGGTTCAGTGAGCTGGCACCGCACACACTGCACCGGTTTCACAGTTTAATATATGGCACCGCCGTCACTTCTTGTTACAGTGTTTTGTGAACTGTGGGCAGATTGTGAAACCAAACGAGCAATGATGATGAACGGCCAATAAAGTTCCTACACCATGGACACGGCCCTGGCTGTAAAAGGCCAATACAAGGGTTATATTTGTGCTCTTTGGATGACTCGGAGAGAGAAATGCCAGCCTCACCCTGTGTCCTCGCTCACAGAGGCTGCAGTGTCTCCGATAAGTACGACACAAGTGATGCCGACACTGTCTCACCCGCAGCTGATTCCTCTATTCACACTCTCTCCCCTTGTCTGAGGACTCCTGAGAGCGTCTGGGTGTGTGTTTGAATCCAAGGTATTTCATGACAATGCAAGAACATAGATGAAGGATGTCACATGTGGTGTTAATGAATGCAGGAGAACAAGTGATCTTCATTCCAAAGGTATGCTTCCAATTGTACATGCGCACCCATTAATTTAAGGCTTTGGTACTGAGTTTGTTTGTCTTTTGGATAAAGGAGCAGAGCTGCCATGGTCTCGTTGGTGGCTGTACATTGTCTGAGTCGCATCCTGTGGTCTCAGTTCTCAGTAGATTTTGTCTCGCTATAGATCTAAACAATTTAGTCTCTGCCATAGCACAGGGAAGTGATTGACATAATTGGAAAAATTGTTTCTTTTGGCTCACGTTGAGAAGGTATTTGTCTAACATTTGAATAGTGGCTTATGTTTCTTCAGTTGTGTGTCTTTCTATTCATCTCTGGTTTGTATTGGCAGAACACAATCTATGACTCCTTCACGATAAACCAAATTAACTTCAAGTTTTGCAAAAAACAGTGTCACGCAATCAGAAACCTGTTATGTGAGAAAATTCTATTTTTACTGTGGGTGTAATGATTAAAGTAATCCTAGTCTTATGCATCTAATTTGGTTGAGCGGCTTGCTGTCTCATATTTTCCACATGTTTGGCATCGTGTGGTTAATGTGTGTAGCGGCGGTGGTGGTCGGCTTTGCAGGAGTACGGTGGTCTGGTGTCTTTGCATTTCCACTGGAAGTCAAAAGGAGAAGGATGTCACTGGCTGATGGGGTCTCTTACCCTTTGACCTCGGCAAGAGTGTGATGATGTGAAAGTCTGTGTAAACATGCAGAGCTTGAGGGTAATGGCTGAAATGAATGTGTTGTGGAAGCGATGAGAGCATCCTGTTAATTTGTCAAGCTGGAGGGTTTCCTGTCAGAGCTCTGTCCACCCACTTTACAACACGTATACATTGTTTGATAGGGATCAGCAGCTTTAATGACCATGAACGGCCTTGTTTTACTTCCTAAACTTTTTTTTTTTTTTTTCCCTGCAGTTCAGGGCCTAAGTGTCTGAACAGATACACATTTTCTGTTCCCTCCGGCTCTGAGCTTCAGCATTAAGCTTGAAATGAAATAATGGACGCTACATTAAAGTGCCGAGTCTCAGCTTTAATTTCAGTAGATTTACACCAGGATAGAAAGAAATGTGTGGCATAAAACAAAAAAAACAAAAAATCACATGATCACATTTTGATATGAATTTGATCCATTTGACATCATATGCATTGAATTTCTAGCTAAATTAAAGTGGGATGTGGTGGTCACGTTTATCAGATCAATTTTCAGTGTCTTTGTTACTTGCATCTGTGCAAGATGCACAAACACAAATGGCTTCCTTCTCCTCTCATCATATCATTTGATTATTTAACTGATAAAACAACTTCACAGAAGCTGTGCTCCCTGTAAAGAACTTTTGTGTATCTCTGGTGACGCTGATTTTTCTCAATCATATGAGCACTCAGCTGGTTCTTACAGGCTACAGCAACGTCCTGAGGCTCTTAAGGCCTGAAAATAGTCCTTTTTATTTTCTCTTCTGTTCAGCTATTACCACTAGCTATAAATGAGCATTACAAGAAGCGATGTGGTGATAGTTTTGGTACACAGCTCATTATTCTCTGGACCTAGCTACCATTGCTATAATCTTAGACTTTGTGATTGTGTTCCAAGCCACAAAAGAGAGGGCATTTTTTTCTTCTGCCGCTTTTATTGGGTCCATAAATTTGCAATATGCCAAACTGGTAAACTTCCATTTCAGTTTTCACCACTGGGGAATTAGAGTGCTGGAAACCCCTGGTGTGACATGACGCATGCTGGTGGGAAAGTTGAGCTGCTTCCCGTCCAGTTAAATGCCGTCAGTGGTGGAAGGGGTGCTCAGATGCTTTACATAAGTAAAAGTACTAGAAAGAACATTGTAAAAAAATACTCTGTCACAAGTAAAGGTTCTGCATTCAAGATTTTACCAAAGTAAAAGTACAGAAGTAGAAGCAAAACATGTTTAAAGGTGCTACAACCAGAGATTTATCACCTGAAATTCCACTATACACCACCTGCTCAGCACCAAACAACAGGCAGACACACTTAGCAACGAGCTGGTGAACCAGGAACAAAGTCCCAAATGATAGTATAATGTTGCTCTGTAACAGCTGCACATGTATATATGCTAACAGATTTACCATAGCAACTTGTTCTTGAATTATGAATGTTTTGTTAACAATTTGTTTCCGCTGCCGCCAAGTGGCAGAGAAAAGTCAGTTATTGCAGGTTCAAAGCTGAGAGTGCTGAAATTAAAAGTAGCCGTCCCTGAGAAAAATGGCCTCTGTGAGTCTGTTACATCATTAGATTGTTTTTAACACTAATGCATTAATGCATAGATAGCATTTCATTGATGTATCTGGTCAAGGACCATTTGACCAGATACATTTGTTGTGCTTTATAAACTGATCTAATGTTTTTAATGTAAAATGTTAAAAAAAAAAAAAAAAAAAGTAACCATAGCTGTCAGATAAATGTAGAGGAGTAAAAATACAAGTATATACGATATATTAAGTACAGTACTTGAGTAAATGTACTTAGTTACTTTTCACCAATGCCTGTCTGCCCTACTTTTATGGAAGTTATGTCCTGAATTAAATCTCCCTGCTTCGTTTCCTCCTCCTAAACCAAGCAACCTATAGGAACTTAAACATGTTTGATTGACAGGCAGTCATATAAGATGGAGCCACCGTACATGCATCACATTCTCAGCAGGTGCCGTGGCGGCATTGCCGGAGGGGAGGAGACCGTAAGAAATCCGAGCGTTCGTGGGTAGAGAGGCGTGTGTGGCTATTGTCTTACCACATGACAGTAGGAATGTGCAGTATGCAGAGAAGGTGTGAATCTGACTATATATCTTCGTCCGTCACCCTTACGGTTGCTGTATGTGCTGTAGCTGTTCATCACTGTGTATAGGCCTCAGTGCTCAGGTACTCAGTGTACACAAGAGAAAGGGAATAGCAGGCTTGCAGGTTGAGACTGAACTTTGTTTGGTTTCATGGGAGCAAGAATGAGCTGACATTTTCCTAAGAAAGTGATTTAGTGACTGCTAGGTCAACTGTCAAACCCCCAGAAATATGACTGCAATCCTGCAGGACCCTGGGTAGCTGTTTAAAGCTTTGTTGCTCCAACAGTGGAGCCTTGTTTGTTTGTTTTTTCAGATGTGAAATCTGCAGTCATTAGTTTTTATCATGAGTCAGAAACAAGAGCTGTTTTTGAGCCCCTAAACTTTAACTAATGCTTTTACAATTACTTGAATTTTGCAATTAGTGTAAAAATACGCACATAACTTGTTCAGTTCCCACACTTTTTAGCTGTGTTGTTTTTTTGTTTTGTTTTTTTTTTTCTATTTCAGAAGTGTGTGTTTGTTTTGCCCTCTGCCTTTCTGTTGTTGTGTGAGAGAGTGAGTGAGTGAAGGGCTGGCAGTCGTCTGGATTGTGCTCTCAGTTTCCAGCTCTTTCACTGCCTAACACATACACCCAACACCCATGCCCTCTGTTCTTTTATTGTCTATTTTCTCTCATACGCATACACCTCTCTTTTTTTTTTGCTCTTTCTCTCACAGGCATCAAGAGACCAACAGGAGGCTGAAAAATGTGAGTGGAAAAAATATAAGCTAAGTCTTGTTTTTTTATTCAGAAATAATAAAACATAAAACCTTATTTAGTGTCAGCTAGAGTCTTCTTCATGTATCATTAGAGAATAGAATCCCTTAGTTTTATCCACTAAAACATTTTGTACCATTGCTACAATAACATTTAATGTACTTTTATGTAATACATATTTATTACCTTTTAGATGTACAACAACAAATATGTGATGGTCATACCTCAATTTAGCTTTTAGTATTTTTGGGACATTTATGCCTAAATTACTTAGGGAATGGTAGAAAAGTGGAAATAAGGGGATGACAGACAACAAAGGTTCCCAGCCACAGTCACACTGTGGGTGGTGCGATTACGTGAGTCTTAAAACCCGAGATCACACGAATGCCTCGTACACTCACGCACTGAATCAAACAGATAAACCTGTTAAAATGAGAACGCGTGATAATTCCAACACGGCCCCTAGATACCATTAGACTGACAGAAAACATGTAACACAAAATTAATTGATTTAGTCTCAACGTTAATCCCTGACTTAGATTTGGTAAATGAGTTCATGAGAGGAAACAGGAGAGTTTTTCCTCTACTGAATTTCAGTTTGATGCTCTGCCTGAAAAAAACAAACAAGGTATTTATATCTCCATAACAATATGAGGAAAAAGGGGGTTAAAAAAACCCCAAAGATTCATTTGATCACTTGGTCATTTTAGTGAAATGAGCCTGGAGACATGGGTTAAGTGTTTTTAAAGTGGGTCATTTTGAGGGGATATTTGTCCCGTACATGTGGCATTAGTCATAAATTTTGTTTCAAAATGTTCAAATGCAAGTGAAGTCATTGCTGAAGACACCTCGTCTCTCATCACAGCGTCATCATGGCTTATCCTCCTATCTTTGTCGGCTGTACACCCCAAATACAACAATAATCTTTTTTTTTTTTTTTTTTTAAATCTTGCATGTCATAAAAAACCAAAGCGCTGACGTGTCAGTTTGAACCGTTTCATGCGTAATAGGGGGACCAGCATCATTGATTTAGAGGCGTTTGTTTGCTTTAGTGCGCTACATCTACCTGTCCAGGCCAATAATGCACACACACACAGACAGCAGCAGAGTATTCTGGATGAGCCTGGAAACAAGAGCATGGCACTGGGTGATATGACCCCTGTGTCAGGGTAGGGCTGCAGCTATCATAACAATCGCCTGCTTTAGCACTGCACAGAACAGTCATCACTGAGGGTAAAGGTGTCGCTTTAATCTGATGTGTGTGTTTGTTTGTTTGTTTGTGTGTGTGTGTTCTGTCTGGTAATCATTCATTTTCATTCACAGGCATGTATGATTTGTGTAGTAAACTGTCTGATTTCCTCTTTCCAGGTATTGATCACCATTTACTGGCTTGGCAGAAGAGCTCAGTGTGACCGTTTCTATGATGGGCCTTACCTGAACTTCAAGGCATTTGAGGGATTATTGGGCACAGCGCTATACAAGGTAAATTTCTCCAAGTGGGTAATGAGCTGCCTTATCCATGCGGTCATGAAACAAAAGCTTAATTTTCTTGTAGAAACCCAGAAAGAGGCGTGAATGAAATCCTCTTTTACAGCCACTGCGCAGTACATTTCCGTATCCTCCGCGGTATGTAGACTATGTGTGGAAGAATGAGTGCGATAGGTGGCGGGGCCCACAGATTGCTGGCCACTAAAACCAAAGCTACGTTAAATCAAAAATGACCTGACCCCCACCCCCCCACCACCCCCCACCCTCCCTTGACTCAGCTATTTTAATCATGTTTACCACACAGCACAAAGTTCGAATATAGTTTGCATGTGAAAATAACTGCCTCTTTTCTTGAAGAAGCACCCCCCCCCACCCCTGCTCATGCCAGTGTTGAATTTGGCACTTTTCTTTCACACAGATTTATAGGTGGTGGTGTGCAAGGCCTCTATAATTCAACCGACTACAGGGATTTTCAGTAATAGCAGTTGGTTGCTGCACGTCTTGTACGTTTAGCCATGATAATCCAAGTTCAGTGGAGCGGGGGGTTAGGCGGGGTTTAGTTTGTGGACTTGTATTGTCTGGGAGGATTCAGTGGATTACAGATCTGAAAATCATTTTCTTTTATTGTGGTTGACAAGTTTTTGCTTGTTTGTAGCCGTTGCTGGTTAAGGTGTGTGTTTATGTGCAATGACATTGTTTTTGTGCAGCAAACCCAGTCATCAAGGGTGTGTGGGTCACGGCTCTGTTTGTTTTGACAGAGATGGCGGCGGATAGAAAACAATGAGGTTATCCCATTTAAATTGCAGCATGCTTTTCCCCTTATAGTCAGTATAGGAGTGGATGTTTACAGTAAGTGAGTCTGAAAGAACGAGAAGTCCAGACAGCTCAGACTTCACGCTCTACCTGGGGGATCTCTCAAGCACGCCACACACAGTGGAGCTAAATATTGCAATTGGCACCCTGTTATCTGACTGCATGTGTTTGTGCGTGTATGAAAGGCTCTGCAGGAGTCGTCCGGTCAGAAAGACGACAACGTCAGAGACAGCGGTTTTGGAGACAGCTGGTACTCGGAGAGAGAGGAGCTCTACCAACTGAGAGGAGGAGTTGGAGGAGGCAGCGGCGGCGGACACAGGAGAGACGACTCCCTGGACAGTTTGGACTCTTTGGGTTCCCGACCTCACAGCATCTCCTCTGACACCACTCTGAAAGGCAGCAGCGAGGGTAGGAGATGCCGTGTCCTTTTTTTGCATCCACATGCAAACTCACATGAACACACTTTTAGACACTTTCATTCTTTGCCTTTTTCTTTTTCTACCCTGCTAAAGCTGAATTTATGGCATTTAAGAGGCCTCGGCATTATTTTATTTTCGAGGCTGACTCTCACACCCAAGCAGCAGATTGTCATTAAAGTGTTCAAACTTTCTCTTATTGTGTCTCTGTATCAATATTTATAATCCAGTTCATTTGTGTAGAACTTCAAATATTTGGACAGGGTAGATATGCGGCATCAGAGCCAGCGAGTTGACTCCCATTTATGAAAACAAATACCTATTGCCATCTAGTGGTGCGCTTTTGAAAGGGGCTATTTTAACCTGGAAGGAGAGGTATGGCGACGCTAAAGCCTGTCTTGTTTCATGACAGAAGTGTAGTACGCTTTAAGAGAGAGAAGTGCTGGCCGGTGATCTCAGAGCAGCCCCCACCCCCACCCCCTCCCACCCCACACCCCCTTTATAATGAGAGGGCAGTGAGACATTCCACAGTCATCCACACTGGCTTGTAAATGAGGAGGCCTCCGCTCCCCACCCTGCACCCCTCTGTTACTCCTTCAAAGTCATGCCAGAACACACAGCTACACCCCCCCCCCAACTCTTTTCTCTATTTCACCCCATTTGTCCTTTTTGCTACTGTCCTTTTCTTCATTTCTCATTTCTCCCATAGCCTGTCTTCACACATGTTTGTCCCCTGCTCTCCTGCCCCCCCCCCCCATCCGTCCGTCCATCCACACTCCAGGTTGTTGCAGTGACACTGAGGCAGACTCTGTCTTCAGGATGGCTGAGAACAAGGACGGTCTCAGTTACCGCCGCTCGGTGGTCATCACACCCAAGGCCAGCACCCAGTTTAACCAGTTTCTGCCCACTAAAGACAAACCCTCAGGCTACGTGCCTGCTCCACTAAGGAAGAAACGGGCCGAACGCAATGAGGACAACCGGCGCAGCTGGGCCAACCCCACATACACAGAGGACGAAGGCACACTCACCAGGTACTGTTAAAACACACACTGATCTGTTTGAAGGTGCTGTTCTAATCTCAGCTAATTAATGAGTTATTATTCTTTTTATTTCCATCTTACAAGCATCAAAACAGAAAGTGATGGGTTCGTACCTAAATGTCTACTTTGTGCTTGAAGTTTACATTGTGGTTGTTTTTTGACTCTGTCCTCTCCCATTGCTGTCGGTGTTTGTGGTGCTGTTGTGTTGTCTGCGAATGGTCGATGGTGTTGTCGTGGAATGACTCAGTGAAACAAGGCTTCCCTCTGACTACTACGGCCACAGTCAGGTATCCCAGAGTGCCTTGCCCGCAGATAATCTACAATGGGCCTTTGACTATGAAAGCGGCAGCGACTCGGACGCAGACCGACCGGACCCGGATCTTGTACTGGACGACCTGGCCAGCCGACGCTTCCACAGCCCCTCCCCAGCTCCCCCCACCAACTTCGCCTTGCCCATCAGTCCCCTGGCAGGGGGAGGGGCCGCTGGGGGCAGAGGGGGCCTCTGGCCCAAGGTCACTATGACTCCCAATGTTCCCCCTCAAGAGAATGTGACCTGCCTCAGGTCAGAGAACATGAAGCTACGTGTGACTTTGATTTGCCTGCCTGATGAGAGCAAACTAGAGCGCTTCTCTTACCTTCAGTTTGCATGGTTCGTTGTAACCATGAGCAACGTCTTTGGTCATAGTGTGCTGCGTCTAACAGTGCTCTGAAGTCTTCAGTTTGTTGGTTTCTGTTTGAATTGTGTTGAATTTTAGCTGCAGCACGTCATTATTTGCTCCTTCTGTGTTTAATGAGCTTTGAGGAGTGATTTGAGTTGGCGACATTATTCCTCAAATCAATTTTTTGCCTCCTTTGCAGTTTGGTTTTGAGCTTGCATTGGTTTGCTAATCCTTGCGTCATCTCATCTGAGGTTGTTGTGCTCGAGGAATGTGCCTCCTCTCTGCGTGACTGGTATGCTTGTACTGCTGCTGAAAAATTCTTTTGACACCTGTGGTTGGCTGTCTCTCTTGAGCAGCAGCAGCATCGTCAGTGGGGAAAAGCAGCCCCCCGAGCACGGCTGCGTGGAGGTGGACCACCGCCGAGCCGTGTCCTCAGCCAGCCTGTTCAGGGAGATTTGCGATGACTCTGAGGATGAGGACGATGAGGTGGGCTATGCTGACCCCGTCCAAGATGATCTCTATACCCGCAAGATGGGTGTCAAACCCCAGCCCGCCGGCAACGTGTCGTACGACAAGTTCTTACCCAAATTCTGGTCGCCCGAAGAAGACGTTCACATACAGAAGATCAAACTGGGCTCTCAGAGGAGACCCTGGTACAAGAAGATGCAAGGCTTCAGGTGTGTGAGGGCATTCAAACACAACACATACATACATGTACAATATAGCCTTCATCCTCTCTACAGACAGACTATACAGACATACATACTTCATGTTTTACAGACCGGTAATATCATAGATAGAATTCACTTGCTTCTTCTTGCAAAATCTTTTCTTACTTTTCTTCCTGACACCCTTGACTCTGCCAATTTAACCTTTTATACTGTAAGATTTAAAATTTGGTTTTCTGTGGTTCGCTGCTCTTCCTGTGTAGATTCTTATTTTTCGTTCTCTTTCCCCCTGCTATCGCCTCATGTCTTTCCCCTTTTCCCCTCTCTCTCTACTTCTGTCCCCTTTTTCCTTCGTCCACCCTGCTGTAGCTATAAGAAGTCGGGTTCTTCGTCAGATGATTCAGACTGTGACATCAGTCCTTGGCTCTCCTCTGCCCCCTCTCCCTGCGGCCCCTCTCCCTCTCACTCCCACACACACGAGGCCCCGGCTCACACCACCCTTGTTGTGGGGAAAAGGTCGATACAGCTGCATGACTGTGACGATGAGGGAATGTTTTAGGAGAAATATGAATCTCTGATGAGCTGCTTTCTAATATACTAATGGTAAAATACATGGACAAGCTACTGGAGGTGCCCTAACACACTTCCTAAAGCAGTTTGCTTGTACTGACCTTAGTAGAAAATAGGCTGTGTCTCAGCAATAACCTATTTTTATTGCAGCCTATTCTAGTGAAGACTTATAGCAACTAGCATCACAGTTTTACTTCATGTCAGTGTGATTGTAGTCCTCATTTGATCAACATCTTTTTGATTCAAATGCCACCACTATGGCTGCTTGTTGTATCTTTTCCTCCTTTTCTTGCTCTGTGATGCGGTTCACATGCATGCACTCATCACCTCTCCTGTCCTTTTTCTCTCCTTTTGCCCACCCTGCAGTCCTCATATCCAACCACACACTCTCCCACAGCTCCCCAAGATACAGTCCCCTCTGTTAATGACTCCCCCTCTGGTGTTCGCCCCAGTGGACCCCACCTCAGGTCCCAAGCTGGTCAAATGTGAGAGGTGGCCTCTCCTGGGGCGCCATGACCCCCGGGAGCCCCCAGACACTTTTGATTATGAGAGCATTGTCCCTGACTTGGAGAATGATGACATGTTTGCCAGGCGGACCCTGGCCTTCCAGTCCAACACGGACCTCGCTATGATGAAGACGCAACTGTCCACCAACCGCCGTCGCTACACATCTGAGCCGCAACTCAATATTGTCACCCAGCGACACGGCCGTGGCAGCCCCGAGGACGACGATTATCCTGACATCGAGCAGGACGATGTGGTGTATCGTAAGGAAAAAACCCAGCAGACTCAGCAACAACGGCCACTCTCGGGAGCCCCTGATAACTATGCCCCCATGCCCATCCCAGAGCCATGGGCTCTGCCTCCTGAGCTGAAAGCCAGACTCCTCTGCCCCCCATGTCCTCTGACCCAGGAAGCAGCGGCAAATAAAGAGAATGAGATTGAGAAGGAGATGCGTCCTAAGACGGATGACATGCTGGTACGGAAGATCGGAGTTTGTTCCAATCAGAGCCAGAGCTCACTTAGAGGCCCATCGGCCAATGGGATGACTCCCTCTGTGCCTTCCTCCTGTAGCGAAGGTGACCTGCAGAGGTGGCAGGCCATCAGGGAAGCCAGTCAGATAAGATATAAGAAGAAGCTTTTGGTGGAGAGGTTAGCTGCTCTGAAGTTGTAGAAATGGATTGATGTAACAATGCCTGTTAGTTTCTCTTTACTTTGTAGATTTATTCTTCCATTTTCCATTTCAGTCTTGAAATATTTTCTGTCTGATGCTGAATTGGTCTTGACAGCATGTTAAACCGACTTTTTAAGGATCGGTTTTAAAGGCCTTCAGAGTTAGAGATGGGGGTTTTACACAGTTAAGCTCGTTTCTGAAAACTAATTTGTGACTTTTTGCGTTCACTGGATCAGTCGTGGGTTTTTTTTAACAGAAACCACAGTGAAGCAAATGCAGAGAAATTCACAACAAAGTTGAACTTTTTCTTGTTTTGAATGTTTGTTGTTACCTCAGACTTGAAAGAGTGTTCATCAATCAATAAAACTGTAATGAAAGGAAGTTCATTATGGTTTTCTGTATAATGGGTATTTGGTATATTTTACCTGACAAACACACGGAATGTAAATGCAGAGTGGATGTCCGGACTGCACATTAAAACTGCGGCTGCTGTGTATTTTGAAGTGTGATTGATGAGCAAAACATAAATACTCTCTCACGTTGTTTGGTTCATGATGACTATTGTTAAACAGACCCAAACTCTGCATTTTATTTTTGGTTTTCTTCCCCTATCAGACCGAGTTTGCCTGTGAAATATTCATGCTTAATAAAGAAAAGAAGACACTTCATGACCTTGTGATGAATTGCGTCGGACTGGCCATTTGTTGACCTCACCTAACATCTACAGAAACATGGATCTGACCAGAGTACAGTGTTGTTTTCCTCAGCAAAGGGAACCTCACTGACATGTGAACGCTCAAAGTGCAGCAGCATGAGAGTGTGGAAAGCCTGAGCAATACGCAAACATAACATAACACTCCTGACTGCGCTGAGCAGCGCAGTTAAATGTAGTCTTGTCTGCAGAGCCGACATGGAAGCCTATAGAAATTCCCCCACAGCTTTGAATGAAGGTGCGACTTGTGGACTCCATAGTAACTTGAACACAAATCTGCGCTGCAGTGTTTGCACATGAACAGACACACACAAGCATTCACAAAGCGACCATTTAACCTAAGTCAAGCCCATCTGGATTTACTTCACATCCACATGTAAAGCCATGTTTCCAGTGACATCATGTTGCAGTCTGCAGAAAGGCAGCATTGTTTGGGGAGAGATACATGTTCACACGCCTCCCCGGTTAAATGTCAGGGAAAGGAAAGGTGATACTGCGCTGTAGACATACTATATACACACACTGTATCTTCTTCAATGTGCAAAGTGAAAACCAGCAGAGTCATGTTTTGGATGAGTTTACACACATATGAAGCCCAGCACCTGGGGATGACCAGGTCTGAGACTCACTAATTGGCCTCTCTGCTCTTAATGAATTAATCCACTTTCCGACTCAGTGTTGAAGGCCAAATCTGCAGAAATGTGATTTTTTTTGTTGTCTGTGGTTCTTTCTGGTTTCCTAGACAGCGCCAAATTGAAGAGAGTATTGACGGGTGAGTTGATACGGGCTCCCAGGAATGTGGCACGTTTGCATTTGCTCTGGCCTCTTACAGTCGCACCCCGCTGCCTCCTGCTTTTGTGCTGCTGTTCTCACTCTCTAGCTGCTAAATGCTGACACACAACAAAGCGTATTGTATGGCACAGGGCCAAGTTCAGGGGGTTGGGGTTGGGGGGTGGGGGGTGTTGCTCCACAAAGCTCTATTGACAAAATAACAAAGGGAAAAAGATGGGCACAATAGCAATACGCTGGGTCATCTACCTAAACTGCGGTGTGTCCCAGCGAGAGTTATGACTGAGCAGTAGGTCTAAACACTGATAGCAGTAAGTGAGGTGTGTGGGTAAACCTTTACAGGTAAGTGAAAACGGAGAGTGCATTTTTCCATAGGCTGTGAGCTTTGAGTGACCTTTGCATGATGGGAAAGGCTGTGATATGTGTTACTAACCCACTCCGCTTACATCACTCCACAGTTTTTTTTTTCATGGTTGGCCAGTGTGCTGTGTTTGCAGGCTAACACTTGGTTGCAGGATAAAGGTTTAATGCAGCCACTTCGAGCATCAGTGCAAAAAAAAAGTGGACAGGAGGTGTAAGCTGGAATATCTTTTGACTATTTGAGTGATGTTTCTTACAGCAAGTAAGAGATGGTGCATGCATCCTTGGAGTGGAATTCGATATGCAAACTAAACCTCACCTCCACCTCCTCACTGAAGATGCTGATTTTCTCCACAGGAGTAAATCAACAAGTGATATCCAGGTCGACCCCACCGTCGTCCGTCAGGCTCGCTACGAAGAGCTCCAGAAGTACCGCGAGCAGATAAAGGACAGTGATGATAAGTGGCAGGATGTGAGTACAACTGATATACAGTATGTGTTGTGCACAGTACCGCTCGGGGATATCTGTTGTTTGACTCCCACCATTCTTGTTACGCAAATCAAGACAAGCCGACGCTGGCAGAAAGATGGGGGAAAAAAAAAAAAAGTTTTGGTTTCCGACACAGATAAGGTTGAAGTGAAAGGTGAGCACATGATCTATGGGATCTGTGCGGCAAATCAGGGGGAGCAGGTGTTGTGATGCAGTAGGTGGCCACAGGGTGAAAGGAGAGGTGTTCAGATAGAAGCCAGAGACGGAGGCAGGCAGCGCTGCCCTGTGGCTACCGACTGTCCTCATTTCCAAATCACTGTGTTTGTGGAGTGAAGCACCAGATACTGTAAATACGAGTAATAGAATTAAGGTGAAAATGTTATGATGTAATGTATGATGTAATGATGATGTAGGATAGACACTGGGATTATTCCTAGAAGGGCAGCAGTGCTCCAAAACAACATAAATGACACATCACAAGTGTTCAAACTTGGGTAGAAAAATTAAGTTTAATAAAGTTATCTGTACGTACATGGCAGCCTGTGACAGTGCTGTGTCTGTCAGCAGTCTGATTGGTGTCATGGCAAAATAATGGAGTCTTAAAGCAGCATTTAGGTCACACAGTCCCCAATACACAGGGGAGGTGAGCCGGGAGGAGCCTAAAGCACACAAATAGAACACCTTCAAATGTAGCCCTTTCTCTTTTTTCTGTCTTTCTCTCTCCTTCTCGACTTCACCGTACCGTTAAGACATGCAACACGACCAGTCTGTTTTATCTAGATCTAAGCGGAATTGTCGGGAAATGATGCGTGAGGTGATGTGGGTTCACTTTTTCCGCAGGACCTGAGCAAATGGAAGAGCCGGCGCCGGAGCGTCAACTCTGACATTGTGAAGAAGAAAGAGGAGCGGGAGAAGATAGAGCAGATTACCTACGGCGGTAACAGAAGGTCCAGGACCTTCAAGGATGTGCAAGAGGATAGGTAAGGGAAAACACACCTGCTCAGGTACTTTTTGATAGTGTCAGAATAATGCAATATGATGTTGGTTGATTTATTGCTATAGAATTTACATTTTTATTTTCTCACCAAAACAAAACAAACAACGCACAGTGAATTTCTTCCTCTCTTACACCCTTTTTACCCTCGGAGGGGAATCCTTTGCTAAGGTAATCTAAGAGAAGCTGTGTATGAGAGGTTTTGCAGAGATTATTTGTTGCAGGAGTGAATGAGGAGACTCGAACTGTGCCTTCAGTCAGTGTGAAAGTGTAATTTAATCATGGCTTACAACCTGCCTCCTTTTTTCTTTTTTTTTTGCCCTACCCTCTTCTTTTCAACCCGTGCTCCTCTTTCTGCTCTCCTCCTCGTCTCTCACTGTCCTCCCCATTTCAACTTCTCTACCCCCAACACTTTGTACTTCATCTTTAATTTCATCCATCACCGTCCACTTTTTCTCTCTTTATCTTATCCCCCTTCTCCTCCCCTGTCGGGTCCACAGAGAAACTAAAGGAAGAAGCAGCATTGGCAGTCGTCTGGGATCTCTCTCTTACCTGGACGACAACGAGGACGTATTTGATAGACCCGTCATTGCCCCTCGTACCCGAACCCTTCCTGCCAGGAGCTACACTGTTGACACTCCTTGCTTTTCGTCTGAACCCTCTGAGCCTTCTCTGAAAGAGAACGAACCCCCCGCCGCTTCCCCGGCTACTGGCAGGGCCGCTTCCCCTCCCGCTTCACGGGAAGTTGACAGTGTGGACAGTCTCGCAGGCAGCGACACCACGACCACCGTCACTCGCAGCTCTCTCCGCAGCTCCCAGCCTCCGGCAGCTGCACCTTCACAGAGGAGTCCGGTCTCAGAGTACACCACAACAGCCAAGACAGAGGAGACCGCAACCATCGTCTCCGCTTCCAGCACCCGACAAAAGGTGCCAGAGCCAAGGCGCCCATTGTCGGGCGCACGGACTGAGGCGGAGGCCCCCTCCTCTGGTTTTCTGCACAAACAACAACCACAGCTCAACTCGATGGAAGCCAAGCCTCCCGGGGTGTCTCGGGTTTCCGCCTCCCTCCCCAGGAGCTACCAGAGATCGGATAGCGCACGTCTAACCTCAGTTGTCGCACCAAGGCCCTTCGGGACCCAGCCCTCCCGCATCACCTCACTTCCCCGGGTCATTTCAGTGAGTACTACTTCATTTTACAACTAAACACAAACTATCAGAGCAGCACTTAAAGGCTGGGAGTAGTAGTAAGAAATGTTTGCCCTGTTGGTCAGGTACAGTACTGTTTGTTTTGAGTACATCAGTGTTACCAAACAGTACGATCTGATTACTGTGTGAATAATGGATGAAGCTAGTGTTTTTATAATGCTAATTCAACCACTAGAGCTGCTATTTTCAGCCTCCTTCACTTTCATTACTGTTAGAGTAAATGCAAAAGAATATATAATGTTTAATTGTGTCAGGGGAAATAATCTACAGGGCTGATTGTGAATTCTTGAAACACTTTCACACACACACACTTGTCACCAGCTGATTTCCTCTCATTTTAAGGTCTTTTACAGATTGAAATAGATGATTTTCTGATCATCAGCCAGATGTTGTTCAAGTTTCTTTTACTCTATCTTATTCTTAAGGCTCAAACATTCTTTGCCGTTCACCCCGTACAGATGGACGACTCTCACAAGCGTGTCAACGGCGAGGTCGACGTTTCTAAGAAGACATCAGTGCCGAGCCGCTATCGCCAGTTCGTGACCTCTGAGGACGATGCTGACTCCAGCTCGGCCCACAGCAGTGAAGATGAGGAGGAGGAGGAGGAGGAGTCGCTGCCGCAAAAGACAGCCGGGAAGAGCGCCACCTCCGCTCAGAGCGTCTCACCTGCCCCTCTTCCGGTCAAGAGTGAACCTCCAGTCAGTCCTGCTCCAGCCAAAGAAACCAGCCAGGTACTTCAAACACCTCCAGATCAGCCCTCTCTGTTGGCTATGTTGAAGGCATTGAAAAATAACATGTCTTTGTTACATCAATTTTATTTAAGACTCACAGCAACATATCGATACTGTCTCTGATAATGAATTAAAGTATTTTAAATTTTGCATTAAAACTCAATCTAATGCATCATTAAGACTGTTATTTGATTCAGCCTCTTTTCTTATGTATAAATTGAAATTAAAGTGTAGCTACAGGTTGGCATTTAATCAATAGACATAAATGATTAATACAAGGCTTTCTTGCCAAAGCAGGCCTGCATACACACAGACACACAACCTGACACTCAATCTGACTCCTTTCCAGAGTGATAGAAAGTCAAGACCAGTGTTGTACACTGAATTCTTCTTTTTTTTATGCTTGTAAAGTTTATTTGCTGTTCATCTCTACTCACCCGTGTTGCTGGGCTTGTTTGCAGGAGAACTACTGTGAGATGCGGATCAACCTGAACCAGAAGCCCAACAGCAGCAGAGACTTTGGCTTCCGGGCAGCCTGGGACTCAACTGGAGCTCGCGTCACGACCATCCAGCCAGGTAACTACAAAGACGTGTGAGAGAAACACCCTCAAACAGAGGGATGGGAATTGTTCTCGGTTGAGCTTTATTCACCTTCAAATGTGATGTGCACAAGTCAGCCAGTCTGGCAACCAGCATTTCCTGCGGTTAAACCCGGTGGAAAAAGATCAGACAGGCAATGGTTATGTATCACTCTCACTAAGCACCAGCTGATGTGTTCAAAGATACAGATACAGGGGTAATACTGGAAACTATTATATTTTACAGCCAGGCTCTGCTGGTTAGTTGTCAGCAGGTTTTCCAGTCCATTTCAGTGGCATTGCCAGACCTATGTAGGGCAACACCTAACTGGGTCAGATCTGCTGGGCCTGAGCCTCTCTTTCTCCTGAGCTTCCACCACCTCCACATTACAGAACGCCATTTCTTTTAGTCACAAACTGTATATGTGACACACACATCCCACAGCGATACGTGAACTCTTAAGTTTGTCACAACAGTTTCGGCCTACGGTGTATTGAAGTGTATTTACCTAGCATTGTTGAGTAATGTCGTGTCAAAACCTCCCTGTGTGTTAACGTTTCACTTCATTTTCATGTCTTTACTTATAAGGACACACTGAATGACATTTCTGTGAACGTGTCAGTGTTAGCCACATGGCAAATGTTAAGCTGCAGCAAGATGTTTTAAAGCCAATGAGGGGACAAGTTAAGAAGTACAAGCATAAGACAGTGAGATGCTGAAATGAGAGCAAACGCAACAAGGTCATCATGCACAAGACAGAGCACAAATATCCATATCCATATGAAAAAATACATCAAAAATCAACAGGAAGAAGCAAAAACACAGATGCAACAGTATAATGACCACATTCACCGTTCAGTACAAGCAGCCAGAGCAGTTTAGAGCAACAGAACATAAATGAGCAGTCGTATTATTTTGCACAAATTAGCCACGCAGATCAATAGATGAAATAAAATTCTAATAAGCATCGCATTGATCTTAATAGAATGTTAATCGTAATATCACGTGTTAAACATGAAAGCCGCGCAACGAAAAACATCATTGTAAAAATATGAATACCATGTTGTTAATAAAATACTAGTCACCATGTAATTAATGCTCTGTCTCGTTCCACTTGAGATGAAGTAGAAGGTGAAGATGTTTGAAGAGACTCTCTGCATTGTTCAGCCTCTTGCACACGAAAATACATTGTGAATATGTGCATACATTTCCAAATTATTTGTTGATATAGTGTTGAATTGCTTCGCTGCAAAGGCTGTTTGTTGAGGATCCTATAAGTAACTTGTAATAGCCGACCATGTCACTGCAGCGGTGGAAATGGCGCACCTTTCATGCTGCTAACGCCCCGTCCCTGTGTCTGGTGCAGGCAGCCCCGCTGAGATGTGCCAGCTCCAGGCCGGAGACGAGGTGCTGACAGTGAACGGGCACCAGGTGGCAGAAATGAGCTACACAGACTGGAAGTCCTGCTTGGAGGAGGCTCTACAGGAGGGCAGCCTGGTCATGGATGTTCGCCGTCATGGCAAGAACAGTGAGTCATCTGAACACTGTGCTGCATCTGAGTGCGTGTGTGCGTGTGTGTGTGTTGTTTTGTTTTGTTTTTTTGTTTGTGTGAAATTGAATTGAACCACTTTAATGGTTGCATTCCTGGACTGACAGTTCTGCTTATGCTGCTTGCGTTGCTAAACAGTTTTGACACTTTAGATTGGTCTGTAAACTATTGTGAAGTGATCCATGAATGATCTCATGACAGCTAAATGGTGAAGGACCTGGGACTTTTTTTTTTTTCTCATCTGATGAGGGCGGACCGCTATTGTGCTGACCTCTGTGGCTTTTATTTCTTCTCTTTTTTTCCCCTGTGTGTTTATCTTGCTCTGTTTTTCCATATTCTTTTCTTCCTTGTATTTCTACTGGTTGTTTCTTCTTTTTACTGCCTTTTCTCTCTCTCAAGCATTCCTCTCTCTGTCCCTGCGGTGTGTTCCTTGTGGAGAACTAACCCAGCTCAGGTCCATGGTCCTATGAGTGTGCTGTTTTTACAGTGTTAGCATAACAGGCTTACTTGTTCCAGTTACGTCAGTCTCACCTTATAAAAGTAATAAACCACTCGGAGTAGCTCACCTGAACTAACACACGGTACTGGTTAATATAGTTTAGTGAAGTCCAGTGGTGGTGAGCCTGTTAGAAACACTGTGTGGGTTTATGAAGGCTTTAATAGGCTGCATGGCTGGGGAAGGTGGTTTCTCTGTCACCCCCTGCTGCTCTCTATAACAACACCATAACGGCAACCTTGTCCCCTGCTTTTTAGTCTTCTTTATGCAAATAGACAATTATAATATATATGTTGGATTTCACATATACAGAACTATTATCAAAATACAGAAAATGCACAAAATCGTGTGGTTTTATGTGCATATACACATCCTATTTTTTGCCACTGCATTATCTGCATGCAGACTGGGACAGAGATCAACCTTCCCTGCCATTTAAAAGCCATAAGACCATCAATCTGACCAGTACAGATCATCCGATACTTCTAGGTTCATCTGACCCAAACACTGCAAAATCCAGTCTGGATTTCACCTCACACATTTCCAAGGAAGCGCTGACATCCAAAGAGGCCCCCGCCAAGCCAGTCATTGTAAGTGACCCAGGATCACTCAGGTTGACTCTTGATCAGTTTTTATCCCTGCATTGTTCCTGTTGTTTTTAATGAGTGGACCCTGCCATGTCTCCCTGTAGGATGTGGCTTCAAACGGAGTTAATGGAAGTTTCCGTGAGGCGTCGGTGACCATGAGGAACAAAGGTAAAGAGCAGAGCACACAGTCAGAAAGGTTATGAAATTGATCTTGATGACTATTTCTGTATTGGACACAAAAACACACCAGTAGGGAGTGTGAGTGTTTGTTGATAGCTGTGGGAGAACAATTTTTGCAAACACATATTAACGGAAAATGATATCTGCAAAACATAATTGATACATTTTTAGCAACGTGTACTGTTTGTGTAATTCATGTATTATAAATATAAGGTTGTATCTCGCTCTGGTTGAAGTTGTTTCTCTCCTCTGCTGTGCCTCACTGTATCTTATTTTCCATTTCTCATGTAGAGTCAGAACCCCTATCTTTGAAAAACTTAAAACGGAGGTCAGAGTTTTTTGAACAAGGTAAAAAAAAAAAAGAAAAAGCACTGACCGAAGAGGGGCGGTGTACTCTTAATGATAATTATGATTTCTCTGTCATCTATCGGCTGGGTTCTCTGTGCTTCTGTGTCACTGAATTCCTCAGATTTCCAAGGGATTTTTGCATGTTTTTTTTTTGTTTGTTTGTTTGTTTGTTTGTTTGTTTTATCAGCTACATCCTCATGTTCAATGGATGAGGAACCTATTATCAATTGATTAATCATGTCAGTATTGAAATAGATTCCTCCCTGGGTCCTTTTTTTGGGGGGGCTATTCCTCTGAGAGTCTTGTCTGGTGCCAAAACTTAACCCTTCTGCTGTGCCCCTTCCCTCCTTCAGGCGGCTCAGGGTCCAGTGTCAGTGCGCTGGTCTACCTCTGTGGTAAACAGGGTTGAATGTGCAGTGACCTCCTCACCTTCGCTTGGTACAGTCTGGGACACTGACATTCTGTTCAAACCAAGACGGCCTAGTGCCATGATTGCCCAACTTCTGGAGAAGTGTCTCCTCAAAAAAAACATCATACCAAGCCAAACAAGCTGTTTTAAATTCATTTTGAATGTAAGAAGAAACCTTCAAAAAATAAGAAAACTGAAAAGACAATGTAAAAAAAAATAGTGTGTGAACATATTTGGCTACAAAGGCTGCACAGAATGTCAGACACAGTGCCAGAGTACCGACCACAAATACAAATCTTAAAATCCTGTTGTGTTTGTGGTGTTTCTGAGTGGTGTCCAGGCTTTACACATGGTTGCACTTTTCACTTTGCTGGGCATGAAGTTAAATGTGTTCCTGTTGCTTTCTTGGCATGTACGTATTGAAGCGTCTGCTAGACTTTTTCAGACTGGCTACGCTGCAATGTTGTGCCTCTTATGCATGATGCTGATGCATGTGTTTTTCTTTCAGTTTGTTGTTCTCGCAATCAGTTTATTGATTTTCCTATTCAGAACTATTGGGCTTGCATCCAATGTGAATGTCAACAAGTGGGTGAACTTGAATTGAGAGAATCAATCAACAAGTCCTAGTGGGTGAAATGTGACCGTTGTTGCTGGAGGCTTGTTGAAAACATCAATTACCATGGTTTAAAATGTCTTGCTCAATGATGAATTGATACTCAACTTAAAAATCAAGTTGATACTTTAATAAGCTGGTCGACTTTGTGTTGATGTGGCGTACGGCCTCAGGGTTAACTTGTATATCTACGTTTTGTCTCACTGTTCTGCCTGTGCATGGCACAAGTATTGACTGCATGGTTTTCTTTCTTTTCAAGGAGGATCAGAGCCTGCAATGCCAGATGTGAGTAGTATTATTATGCACTGAGTGTGTTTGCTCCTCTAGCATCTTTTAAAGCAGATACCCACAGTTAGTACAAAGCTCAGATCAATTATTAAGCATCTCACATGGACCGCATTGCTAGCTCACTTCAGAGGCAGGTTTCCTCTGCTTCTTAAGCCTTTTAGTCTCCCAATTACTCCTCTATTATTGCAGGGAGCCTTCATTTTAATGAATCTTTGAAAATGGAAAGTTAAATTCTCAAGGGTCTAAGGAGAGAGGGTATTGTACGTTGCATAAGTTCGAAAGCCTTCTGAGATAATTTTGTGATACTAGGCTATAGACTGTAGATAAAATTGATTTGACTTGATCAGCTGATGGCTGCAGTGATGCAGTTAACTTATATAACAAATGTGAGAAGAGAGTTACTCCCAAAATGGATGGATGTATATTTGCAGTTTCAAGCTTTACCTTAAAACCAACATCAGAAACGGGTGAAGGTGTCAGGAAAACAGTAGGTAGTAAATACCAGCCGACCGCTGTCACAAGCCTGAGCGGTTTGTAAGCCCAGATGTACAAGCATGTACATTTACTTTATATGTCTGTCTTCTTTGTCTCCAGATACCTGTTCCTTCAATCACTCCCTCCTCCAGCCGCTGGTCTTGGGACCCAGAGGAGGAGCGCAGAAGACAAGAAAAGTGGCAGAAGGAACAGGAGCGCCTCCTACAGGTACATAAAGGCATACTTATGTAGCACTGATGTTATGTTTCAACTCAGTTGCCAGTTTCCCAGATACCCCCGGCTCAGTTTTTGTTGGAAATGTTTCAAAGAGGTGTTGTTTGTGCTGTGGTTATGGTGTATTCTGTTACACTGATTTCTAGACAGTGTACTTTTTAATCCAGACAATAAATTGAACTGTTACAGCATCAAATCACAAATGTTATAAACTGATAAAGACAAGGACCGTATTTTAATTTGTATAGGATATACACAGTATTTTCATGTTCACTCTGCGCTCATTGATATAAACAGGGTGGACAAAATGAAAGAAACACCTTTCAGAATAACACAATACAGTTACAACCTCTAAAATGACCATACAGCTGAATCAGCATCTGTCTGAAACAGTTTCAACTTGTATCAGACTTGTATATTTGTTGTATTAGATTGCAGTCGGTTTAGATAGGTGTACCTAATAAACTGGAAATGGAGTGTATAGTCCAGCAGTAAAAACTGAAAATACCAAACAAAGCAACCACACAATGCACTTGATCTGAAATAGCCATCTGGAAATCTGCTCTGCGTCCCATCTGACAACGAGACGAGGCGCAGAGCTCACATCCAACAGAGTCTGCTCCTAATAGGCTCAAACCAGAAAACTTTAGATGGTGCTCAAGCAGCTGAAGGTAAAGCGTCTGTCCAGTATCCAACTTAAATGTAGTAGAATCCTGTCAAAACATGTTTCTGAGGGTCTATTTTTGGATGGAGATCAAAGGTGTCCAAGAAGAGCTGTAGTGTAGCCGGGAAGCCGCGTTACTCCTCCAGTCTTATTCCCTGTTGGATAAACGGCCTGATTTCATGATGTGCCAGGGAGACTTCCTGCCCAGGGCAAGCTTCTGTAGGTTTATCAACTTTCAGGATGGTTAGGTAACATGTAGGTGAGCTTGGAATTATCTGAAAATAATACAGCTACAACGGGTTTGTATTCTTTATGTTATTACTCAGTCTTCCCGCTGTACTGCGGTACTGCATGGCCGTATAATATACCATCCCTTTAAATAGATCTGTGTAGGTTTGTATGTGTTGTATATTTATTTTTATGTTGTTTTTTTTTTTTCGGTGACCATTCTCAAAACTTAACCTTAACTTGAAAAGCCTGAAAATAATGTACTTAAAATAAAAAAGTTACTGCCCTTTAAAGCCTTGTAGTTACAGTCCTAACCCTGTTCTCCTTTGAAATGTTCTAAATTTTATTTTTTTTAAAAGTCAGAATGAATATAAGAGATACTTAACCAAAGTTACAGAGGCACAACACGGTAGAATTGCAAGTTTGTTTGCCTTGTTTTTTGGCATAAAAAAGGGAATATAAGGCCTGTAGTTTATCTTTGAATGAATTCTGTGTCGACAGCTGTTGCAGTGAGATAAGGATCTTAAAATGCTTTGTACAGATAGAATCAGAAGAGAGCCTGCCACTGTGTGTGTGTGTGTGTGTGTGTGTGTGTGTGTGTCGACGACTTTGTTTCATGCTGCATACTGTTATAGAGAATAAATGTGGAGTTCTGGTGTGACTGGTGTTTTTCAGCATGTCATTAAAGCGGCATGACCTCTGACCTCTCGTCCTATTTTTTTTCACCCCAGGAGAAATATAAGCGTGACCAGGAGAAACTGCAGGAGGAGTGGCTGAAGGCTCAGCAGGAGATTGCCAAGAACGTGGTCCCACAGCAGGTAACAAGGGCATTTTAATGTGTATAAATGATTCCCTACTACCTGAATGAGCTGGAGAGTATTACAAGGTGGCAATAAGTTCTGACTCATAGCACTAAATTGTCTAAATGTATCCAAAGAGCTTTGATAGTGTTGTTGATCAAAATTGCTATAATTTTCCTGCAATTATGTGGCCAGACACTGGTACTTTTTGGCTTTGAAAAAACAGGTCTATTTCACATGAGAGTGAGTAAAAGTGAGAGCAGAACAATGTCCAGTCATGTGGATGATATTCACACAGGGCAGGCAACATGTGTGGCCATCCTTTCAGTAATGACAGACATCTTTTCAGTTCCTAGAGTTACAAAAAAACTCCCCTCTAGTTGGAGTTTCAAAACACTTGCTGGTTTTTCACCACAGGGAATAACATGAGTTTCTTCATTTTTGTTGCAGTTCCTCCTAGGGGTTAATTGGGTCAGATTAGTTAACGCCATCATGTGTTTTAACGCTTCCTCCTTTCTGTTCTTTCGTCTCTCTGGCAGCCTGGGAGCCTGGAGGTGAACAGCCACATCATCAGCCCACAATTGCCCCTCTTTCCATTCAACCAGCCCACTTCTACTCTGTGGGAAGAAGAAGAGAGAGAGAGAAAGAGGAAGGAGGAGCAGGAGCGCCAGAGGCAGGCGGAGGAGAAGAGGAGGAGGGAGGAGGAGGAGCGAGAGTTGCAGCGTCTCCAGGAGGAGAGGAAGAGGAAAGAAAGGCAGGAGGAGGAAGAGAGGAAGAGGAGGGAGGAGGAAGAGCTGAAATGGCAGAGGAGGAGAGAGGAGGAGAGGGAGGAGGAGAGGAGGCAGCAGGAGGCTGCAGAGCAGCAGCGCAGAGAGCGGGAGAGAGCCCTGGAGCTGCAGCGGCAGCAGCGCCAGTGGTCAGTAAAGACGCTGCTCCTCCTGTACTCTCCTTAAACACTTTAACTCACATGTCTTTTGCCTTCCTTCATCTGTCCATCAAGCTGATAATAACACATTCACATGTCAAACATTACCCGCTTTACTGTCTCTGCATTAACATAACTGCAACTAATGAGTTTGCATGTGCTTTGTCGCCCACCTTTGCGCTGTAACCCATCTCCCTCTACACACTGCTCTTCACCAAAGGGCTGGTAGCTCCCATGGCTTTGCCAATGTCCAGCCTCCACTGTCCTTTACAGACAGGTTAGTACAGGAGAGTGTGTATGTGTTTGTAAAACTGCACCTAAAGATAATGTTTCTTTCTATATTGAACTAATCATCCATTGGCACTAATAAACCCTGTTGTTACATCATGTACTTTTTATGCGATACATGTTGTGCTTCTTACCCTGTTTTGATGTGTAATAACAATAACAATAATGCCTTAGAATGATCACAATTTATTACAGTATTTCAGTATAATGACTTGAATAAGTTAAATTGGCATATTTATTATAGGTCCCCAATTTAGCATTTATAAGCAGTACAATATATAAACAATTAGTAAATGGTTTATAACCCACCATAATGTAGTTGTAAGTAGTATATAAGTATATATAACTATTTTTTAATTGTATTCATTAACAACTATAGCACAAAAATATGTATTCATAGGAGAAATTATAATTACCTAACACTTAAAATATCCCTATATGTGCTTACAACTACATTTGAGTGTATTATAAACCATTTATTAAATGTTTGTATACTGCCTGTAAATGTTGAATAGGGGAACAAGTAAAGTGTCATTGGTTGTATTTAATGAATGTTGCTTTCACTTTATCTTCTCCACGTTTTCAGCCCCAAATTCACCTTTCTCTGAATTCTTAGCATAATTCTCAGCATCAGGAATTATCTTGGCAACACAGTTTGTTCTTGCCTGAATTGTACCGATTACCGAACCTGCCAAAGCAGTGTCTCACAAGCATATAATCCTGCCAAAACATCAATGCCAGATTTTAACAAACAAGAAGAATTTATCACTTATGTGTCATTGCAACCTAAAAATACTAACACCGGATAGCATTACAGTAGATGCAAAATTTAACATCATGTATGTATGTGAAGTAGTAAGTCATGTTTTTCCTTTCCAATACGTTTCCTTTACTAAAATAAAATTGTCACATCTTCACCGAATAGTTGACGTGTCCAGGTACTCTTACTGGACACATTTGAACCGACTCATTCAAACAAAGTCATTTTTTAATTGCATCTGTCTTCGTTTCATTTGACAGGGCAAAATCCAAATCATCTCCCCAGCTTGATGAAGAAGAAAAGCCTCAGAAGAAAGGTCAGTTTTCTTGATTTAGCTGAAGTCATGTCAACTGTGACCTGTGTTTCTCTTCCTATTGGCGGTTTTATAAATGACTCCATGTACGAATGTTGTTGCACATATATGTGGGTTGTACCCTACCGTAGGTGTGTATGTTCAGCCGGGAGGCATGGCTCACTGGCTGCTGGAAGAGCAGTTGAGGAATGCGTGTGACAAGCAGGCCCGCAGTGAGAGGGCTGCGTCAGAGCTGGAGATGGAGAGGAGAAACATCCTCAATGCCATGAGATACAGAGAGCCGGAGAGAGGTGGGCTCGGCCCCTGAAGCTCCGCCTCGCGGTTTTAATCTGAAAGCCGGTCAATCAGCTCTTATTTTGACCTCTTTGATTCAGCCGATCAATCAATTATGACATTGCACCAATTCTAAACTTTTACAGCTGTTTGATTAACAGTGGAGGCACCAGAGAATTTCATGCGACAAAAACAATTAAGTGATTGATTGCAGTATGATTTCTCTGGGGTGGATAGAGCTAATGCATGCTAATCTAGTGCATTTTTTATGCCATGACGTAACTAAAAGGAGTTTAAAAGGAACTGTCTAATCATTGGCTGCAGCAGATTACTTCATAATAAAACTTGGGAAACGTATCTACATCATCACAATCTCATTCTGTTCATCCCATTTTTCCCTTGTGTTTCTGTGCCCGTCGCCATTTGTGATCTATTTTTGACCTCCAAGAAACTTTTCATTTTACCTAGCATAATGTTTCGTTTATCTCTCCCCTCTGGGTGCAGTGACGGGCGGTGGAGTGGGTCAGCAGTCCCTGTCGCATGCTGAGCAGGAGAGGCAGCAGATCCTGAACGAGATGAAGAAGAAAACTCCACTCCTGACGGACAGCAGCTGGATTCGCCAGCGTTCCTCCAACACCGCCACCAGCCAGGAGAGTGACATACCATCCATGCGCCGGTACGGTCACTCTAGCATATACAAGAGTAAAAAATGTAATCTCTTTTGTGTGACAACGGTGGTTGGCTTTATAAACCTACTAAAATTCTGTTCACTTGAAATGAAAACATTTATCACTCTGGCTACCACTCTGACTTTGCTTTGGCAAAATGGGCTGTACCATAAATGTCAAACAAAAACAACTGCCACAGGTACAGTTGGTAGCCAGACGGTTTAAATGTCTTTACTAACCAGTTAACGTGGGCGTGGCATGGGTTGGCTTTGCAGAGGCGAGTCTCTTGACAACTTGGATGCCTCCTACAACTCCTGGCGCTCATCATGGACACCCAAAAGCAACTCTTATGTCCAAAACTACACCCGGCCTCACTCAGCCCTCTCCGGCAGCACTTCCTTTTACAGTGGCGGGTCTGCGGCCCAGCGGCCTGCTTCCTCCACTCTGCCCTCCTCCTACTCCATGAGCTCCCTCCGTGGCGGGGCGGGAACTCCCTCGGCCCCCTGGTCCCGGCAGACACCTTCCCCGTCACTCTCCTCTCCATCACCCACCACCTCTCCAGAGCCAACGTCTGAGGCTGGTGGCCCTCAGCAGCAGAGCAGGTAAAGTCAGTAATGCTGCTTCGCTTAACACTCCCAACAAGCTGCCTCTAACCTATCACTGGTGTACTGGGTTGTAGAGACATAGTCAAAATGGTGGTGGTGTTGTTAAACCATAACTATGAATGGTGGTAAAGGGAATCTTGAAACTTTTTCTTTCTTTTAATATTTTTGAATGTACTGTAATATGCTGTTGCAGTTGATATTGACATGCCCCATACATTCACCCTCCATTCCAGATCCAACAGGTTATATAAGCATACAGTCTATTTACATCTGGTCCTTTTGTACAGGTCCCCTGTTTAATTTCATTGTTACACTTGTGTGTTTGTGCATCATGAAGCAACAGCCTAGCATTGTTGTTTGTCTGTCAAAATTAGAAATGATCATTGTTTGCTCTGAATTTCATTTTTTTCAGGCATAAAAAAACTTTACTAAATACTTTATACATAACACAAAAATCTTCAATTTAAACAAATTATTTAAAGGAGCTATTTGTAAGTTTTGCTCTCGCTGTATAACTAACCTTAGCATTAGCGGCTTTTTACTTACCAGTCTAGCAGAAACATTTCAGTTCAGCATCAAACTTCAGTCCTTTACTCACCAAGAGCTGTCCCTAGTAATGCTTCTATTTCCATCACTTCTTTTCTTCTACTGAAGTTAGCATGCTAACCAGCTAGCCCGGTCCAGTTGGACCGTCTCGTCACTTTCCGATACCGAGTCACAGAAGTGTAGGGTCTGCCCTGAAGAGGTAGCGCTTCTCAGAGACAATCATATAAATAGAAACAACTGAGTGAACAAACAATTAATTAGTTTAACCCCACTGTATACCAGTGTGAACATGTGCTTTGTGTGTGTGTGTGTGTGTTGTGGTGTGTGTGTGTGTGTGTGTGTGTCTGTCTGTCTGTCTGTCTGTGTGTGTGTGTGTGTGTGTGTGTCTGTGTCTGTGTCTGTGTTCATACATGCTTCATGCATCTGTGCTCGGCTCTCAAATCACAGCTGTACATTCTGTAATCCAGGTCAGTGAGTGGCAAGAAAATCTGTACGTTCTGTGACACCCCGCTGGGAAAGGGAGCGGCCATGATCATCGAGTCCCTTGGGCTCTGTTATCATTTGGGCTGTTTTAAGGTGAGAGTTGGGCTCCCGTCGGCATCGGAGCACATCTGCAGCACGACTCAGCCAATCCTCAAATCTAACTTGATCCCTCCAGACTGTTTTTCTCTTATTACTAACCTGGTAAATCCTGGTGAATCTCAAGGTCCTGATCCCTCTACAGCTGAGCAAAGTTTTTCTGTGCCAAAACCTGAGTGCCAAACTAATCAACCCCTCACTTTGATTCTTTCTTCCTACAATTAACTCTGATTGTCGATCCTGGAATTTTGGTCTTGAGTTTGGTGTCATGCATCTGAATGGTTACCTTCCCTGCTAGTTTTTGTCTTTTGACTTTCATTCCTCTTCTTCCTTCATTTTTCTCCTTCTGTATCTACAATCAAAGGCTTTCGGTCTGTCTTTCCTCATCACTCCACCTGTGGTCCTCAGTGTAGTTCTAATCAGTTGAGTGGCTCTTTAACTCTTCCCTTTCCTAAACTTCCTCAGTGTATTGACTGTAAGTCTGACCTCGGAGGAACGGAAGCAGGGGCTGAAGTCAGAATACGAAACAAACAGCTCTTCTGTAACTCCTGCTACATGCGATTCAAAAGTAAGTGCGTGATCAATCCGATCAGTATTAGGACGTGTTGGTTTTGGCTTTCCTTAAGTGTAATGTTGCTGTTCTTTTCCTTTTAGCTGGCCAGCCAACCGCTATGTGATGTGGCTGTACTCCAGCAGATTGATGAAGAGACTACTTGTGACAACAACCCATGAACATTGAAAGTGAACAGTGAAGCCATGGGCAGATAGCTGGGAGAACTTGGCTCGGACGTAGTTCCATTTATGACACTAGAAAACCCAGTTTGACTCATTGATGAGAATTATGTTTGTGTTTTTACAGTGTGTGATTGAGAGGGTAAGCTTGCAAAGAAGTTATCTAGTTTAATGTGTTTATATCGTATTAAGTATTACAGCTGTATAAAGAGTAAGGGTTCTGCATGCACCAGAGATTTTAAGTGTTTTAGCCATGAAACTAGTCAAGCAGTAAACTGACTATAAGATTACAGAGGCAGAGCTTTCTTATGACCTTCACTGAGACAGATTTTAGAGATACTGAGGGAGAACTCTGCAGGATCTTCTCCTCATTTTCATGCTTGTTTTTCTGCTGAATCTTGTGGTGTTAACATGTTTGTTGACCAAGGTGTTCTTGTCAAGCGTATGTGCCTTTTCATTTGTAACAGGGAGAAGTAATTATTAGAGTTCTTTCAAAATATATTTAAAAATAAAGATCTGTCTGCTTGGATAGCACTTGTCTGGAGTTATCACTGATAGATGGAGGATTGTACACAGAAGCAGGTTCCCATGTGGAGAATATATATCCTACTGAATGGTATTGAGGAAAACAGCAACATTTGTAAATAAAACGACTAAATGCTCATCTTCTGTGTTTTTGTTTACTTTTTTTTTTAAAGTGAAATTGCATAATTTTTAGTAATGATATTCAAGGATGTGATGCAAGGTTTTTCCTGCCTCTGTTATCAGACATCATTATACTCATCTTTCTCTGTCTGTCCCTCTTATTTTCTGTTTCTCTGTAGTGCCACAGTCATAATGAAAGGAATTTCAATGAGCTCTTGTGCAAAGGTTCAGAGGACCTGCCTGCTCTGTATTCTCCAAAGCCAATTTGTCATGCATATTTCATTCAGTGTGCATGCATTACATTTGATTACACATTGATAGGCTATTCTCTAAATGTATTCTGTAATTCTGGATGTTTCACGGAATCATATCTGCATAAACATATATTGCATATTCATACCAGTAGGAACGATCATGATTGTTCAGTTTTGCAGCTCCCAACTGCATTTGAACAGCGAGGTAACAAAATCGTCCTCATTTCCCATAAATGGATGTAAGCTCAACTGAAGCACTATATGGAAATAAGTTGGACGAAGCATAAATTGGCTCTGTATTTTTGAGGTGAAGCACAAACAGCCCCTGGAGGCAGACATCTCAAATTCTTAGATTCCTTTTTTAGATTTTTCTTGGCGCTGTCATGGGAGAGAGAGATTTTAATCCTAATGCTTAGAAAACAAGCACGGCCTGAATGGCGCCGAGCAGAGTCGAGTGGCTGAGAAATATAAAACCTTTCGGGATAAGGATCCCATCTTTTTCCTCCAAAGCCAAGGCCACAACCAGCCTTTATGGACGGCTTTGACGTGGAGAATCGAATAGTTTGTGTGTGTGTGTGTGTGCGCGCACTGGGGCTTACTGAGAAACTGTATGGTTGGCTGCTCAGAAGAAAACGGTCTGTAAAAAGATGGAACACAGATGGAAGAGCTTAGATATGCTTGCGCTACCCTCCATCACAATGTCATGCCTAACTCTTAACAGCTCACTGTCTGCCTCTTTTTAATGCTCGCCCACAGAGAGGAAAGATTCCCCATTTTTCAGGAGCTTTCCAGGCAGCCCCATGTGGATGATGTTTCATCCTACAATCAGCACACTAGAGCGAGTCCAATAATCATGCTCCATTTCCACACCATAGTCCTTTTTGAGGCTCAAGTGTAGCTTGGACTGGCCAGAAGGGGGCACTGTGATCTAGGATTTACATCAAGAAAGACTGAAACGATCTTTCAGCTGGAGCTGGATGACAACTGCGTTGCTTGCACTACTAAGCATGTCATTTAACATTACATACTTTATAAAAAAAGATGTGTCCTTGGAATTTTGCTACAGTAATTTAAAAGCATAATGCCTTATGTAATATGTCGTTAGATTTTGTGGTTTAGTTTGCAACTTCATTGTAAGTGACACAGAATTTTGGCTTTGAGCATTATCAGTAGCTTGGCTGTCAGATGGGGACAATCTGTTCTTTCTTTTTAATTAACTTTAATTTCTCAGTATAAACCACATATTTAACTCACTTTTGACCTGCAGGTCGACAGTGTTTGGTTTAAAGATATCTGAGACAAGCCGCCCCTCCTGCCATTTGCCACTTAGAAGGGTTGCTTTTCACACTTCAGAGAAGCCATCAGGCTCTAATTCACCTGCAGTTTGATCTGATGCTATAATTAGTCATGTAATTGCAGACACTGTCTCACCAGACCTGTTGCCATGGCTTGCAGGCACCATGCATACAGCTCAAAGCTCAGTCATGACTTCAATTAACTACAGGGATTAAAGGAAATGGACTTTAAGTAAACCTGTAAATTCCCAACACTCCAAGATGAATCTGTGAGGCTTCACGGTGGCGTAGGTTTTGATTCTCCGTGGAGAATCTTTTCACTGATTATTGAAAATCAATGAAAATGTGAACAGGCAGTGGTTTCACAGCTATAGAGACATCACATGACAGTGAAATCTTTACAGTAGTTGTAATGTATTCACGTAAGCTGTGATTAATTTGCCAATTACACCTCTGCAGGCTGAAAGATGACTGTGCTGGATTGATTTAATTACAATATATATCTGCAGCTATTGGAAATAATTTGAAAATGTTAATAGGTGAAGCTGAATATGGCAGGAACATAATTCATAGTAAACGTCCAATATCTTGCAAGGCCAAAGAGTGTGAAGAAGTGAATGGATTTTTGCTCAGCAGCATGTAATGCATATACTGTACATACCTTATGCACTCTCACGGTTTAATCTATTTTTTAATTCATTATTTTGAAGCAGGTCTTTCAACAGATTCTGCAAATGATTCCCATTTAAAATCGTATTATGTTTGAGGGTGTCTTGTTTTAAGCATGTGCATGTAAGTGGTCACAGTCAGCAGTTGCATTTCTGCTGGGGCAACCTGTAATTAATAAGTGAAATATAAGTCTTGATGGTATGTGCCAGTTACAGTAAGTGTCCCTCATGGGTGGTACAGGTGGATATTAATTGATGATCTATAACAGATAATCACCTGCCCCCTGCAGATATGAAAACATTTTAAAACTTGTATAGATATTGATCTGTGACCTTTTTTTCCCTACTTGTCCTCATTACGAATGCTGACTCTAATCTCTGACTCACAAAACCACAAAAGGGACTCAACCAGAAAAGAGATGTGTTGCTTTTTTTGTTGTTGTTTTTTGTTTTTTGTTTTTTTTATTCATTTGGGGATTTGACAGCTTTAAATATGACACATTCACCTGAGCAGGTTGATTTTTCTCATTAAACATGACTCATCATGAGCAATGCTGTCCCCTTCTCCTCGACTGCAGCGTTACCGTTCTGATAAAGAAAGACATTTTTATCCAATGTTTTCTAAAGAACAGTGTCTCTGCAGGCGAAACAGTCCAACAACCAAAAGAATTATTCATCCAAATGCACAAAAAAAAGTTTTTTTTTTTTTTTTATCTGTCTTCTTCTGCTTGCAAGAAACCTCTATGCAGCTGTGTTACAATCAGGAACAGGAACACATGTGATTTCTCTTCCTGACCTTAAAGAGCACTCTGATTTATTTCCGTTCCCCTGCTTAGTGGCTGCGGAAGGAAAAGTATCACTGGCAACAAGATGCATTGGAGTTGATTTTCTAGTTAGCGAGGAAGAGAAACGGAGTGTAGAAAGTGTTACATGGCTCTGAAATGATAAGACTGCATGGTCACAGCTGGGGCACCCTGATATGCTTGAGACTGCATTATGCCTGGGGTGACAGGGGACCAACTTTTCTGTCTTCATATTAATTCATCGTGCTTCAGTACTATGGCTGAGCCTGAAATGGAATACTGATTCTCAGTTAAGCATTCCCCACTCTTTATCTGGTGTTTTTGTGTGTTTACAGCAGGGGAAGATGAATAGAGAAGAGCAATGATTTGCTGAGACAGAATAATATCAAAATTATCCATGTGCCTGATATTATTCTCCATTCACATTTTCTATTTGGAGCCTGGATGCTGTAGCAGGAGGCATAAAAGCAGCACACTACCTTGCAGTCTGCTCCATCCGTTCATGTCGTCCTCCCAAAAGGAAGACAGATGTGTGACAGTAGTTGATGCAGTAATATTTGGTTGCTTGTCACCTTTCCAACTCAGTCACACCGAGCGAAGTAGGGATTTACTTAAAGAGTTGCAGCAGCATCCATTCTGGTTGACTTGGAAAGAGTCCACAGATGGGCAAGCGCAATGCTTGTCTGTCACAATCTGACAGAGACGTCATATCACCGTTCATCAGAGACAGACCCTACCTCGTCTTTTACCATGTTACCCTTGTCTCTGTTCCCCACCCCTTGTCCTCAGTTGTCACCCAGGATTGAAGTTAATTAGAATTTCATCAGAGGCAAACTTTAAAGAGAAGATGACACGTTCTCAAATCTGCCCTTCATTTGATATCAGGGGATTCATTTTGACGTTTGCACTGCACATATCACTACACATCACTACAAAGACAGACGTCATGATGGAGGTCCTGTTTGTACTTGCCACCCACAACGTCCAACCCGCCTCAAAGTAGCTGACACAGTAATGTCTTTTACTGCCTAAATGTTCTTGTCAGTTTGGCAATTTATTACACCAGGTGCACTGAAAACTTAGAATCAGAAGTGACACAAACAAAACAAAAAGCAGATCACTGCCATGCAGCCTAACTATCCCCACATGACAATTCAACTTACCTCAAAGTAGTCCTGCCCCTCACCCCCAATATCATAATATACCTAGTAGTGTAGTATAACTGAATAATAACAAAGTCTACATGAATTTGTGGTCAACAATTAAACAGTAACACAATGACAACATTTTGCTGGCTTCAAAGGAGCTATTTGTAAGTTTTGCTATTGCTACATAGTCAACATTAGCATTAACAGCTGTTAACTTACCAGTCTTGAGGAAATGTTGCAAGTTCAGCATCAAACTTTCATTCCTTTACACACCAAGAGCTGTCTCCAGCGGTGGAAAGCAACGCCAATGTTAACTCTTGTCTCTAGCTATACGTCTTTTCTTCTATTGAAGTTTAGCACGCAAACCAGCTAGCCCCGCCTGCCTCGTCATTGTCCGATAGCGACTCACTGTAGCCTCCAGTCTGCCCTGAAGACATAGCGCCGCTCAGAGGACGTATTATAAACCTCTTGTCTTGTAAACACAATGATGGCCGAAGCTCTTGTCAAGCGACAATCACCAACACCCACTCCTGGCAAGAAACCACGTTTGGCTGGAGAGAAAACTTTCAGATAGCCCCTTCAAAGTAGCATCCAGGTTTTCAAGATGTCCGAAAGATGTCCTAGCTTTCAAAGGAGAGTTCTCTCTCTTATACTGTATAATACTAATACTATCCGTTATATTCCTTTCCCAAAAACCCTGACTTTGCTTTGAAGGGTATAATTAGAATATTGTGCAAACTATAATATCATATGGTGTTTCACAACAGGGTATATTAGACAAAGACCCATTTGGGATTTTCTGTATGTATACAGTATGACATTTCTTTCTCATCAT